TAACACACTTAACACATCTCAACCAGAGCTCGCCCTCTTTTTTTGTGTTTGATTTCAGTGGAAATTATTTAAATTTAAAATGTATTTAGTGTTTACTGATATAGAGAATAAGTGCTTTGTACTTTGTAACATTGCAGACCTTTTTCATGATCAAACAGCAACATTACACTATAATTCAAGTAGAAAATGTAAAAAGCATAGCACTCATCCAATAGGACACATGTATATAGCATATTTCAATTATATAGCATATTTTATAATTGTTTTAACATTTTCCTTAGGCCTTGAATAGAATATTTAGAATATTTTAAAATAAATAGAATATTAATAATTTAAAATAAATATTTTAGAATAAATAGAATATTTTAAAGCAATTTGGTTTATTTAACAAATAACATTAATTATCAAGCCTAAAGTATAACTCCTGTGTACTAGTTCTACTCTGGCTCACCAACAGACCCTGTGACGTAATTTTTGTCATCCACACAGTGCACATAAAAACGTGTCGTCAAATTATGTTTAAAATGATTATTGCCACTTTCATCGACATCAGTGTGTATTTTACAAACTATAAATGTTATTATGCTAGTACTATGTGACTACTAGGTCTGAAACCTAAAATAAATATTGTGTGAAAAACACTGCACAATCGTGATATGAGAAACGCTCAGTGTCTTTGGCTCAGCTTCAGTCAAAGCACACTCTAAAAATGCTGGGTCATTTTAACCCAACTTTGGGTCAAATATGAACAGACCCAAACATTGGGTTAAAAATGCAATTAAAACATTTAACCCAATGGCTGGGTATGTCCATATTTGACCCAAAGTTGGGTTAAAACAACCCAACAATGCTTTCAACAATTTGGTATCTTTCAGCTGGATTCATATTGTATCTTCCCGACATGATTTTGTCCTCCGATATTGTGTGGGTGACGTAAGGGGGTATTTTCAGCCCTTCCCACCCATTGTCCTCTGCATTTCCCGATTCCTTTCTTCTCCCATCCCTCGTTCTTACAGTCAGCTGCTCCCACACAGGCACATGCCCACGGTGCTAAAGATGGAGAGACGGGAATATTGGCAGGTCCGTTGTGTAGTGCCACAATCCCTCTCTCCCACTCCCTCCTCCTGTTTCTCCCTCTCTCTCTGTTCTATAAACACACGGCACTCTGATCTGAGGAGCTCTGCCGCCAGCGGCACATTGAGATGAGCATCACGATTTCAGCAGACTCTCTCTTCGCTCGCATGAGCAGGTGCAGCTCAGAAAAAGCAAAGCAGCCCAGCACAGATTGATCCCTAGCCTCCTCTTCCTCCTCTGCTCCGTCTGCCTCGTTTCACACAACCTTTGCACCCCTTTGTCACTCGTTCTAAACAGCTTCCCACCTGAAGCCATCGCCCGACACGCGACGCCTAATCGCAAGTCATCGCCTTCATCAGCTTGGCACCCGTCCATCCGGGACAGCTTGATATATTAGTCTGGCCCAATTAAACTCTCCCACCATTTCCAAACAGTGACATTTAACCTTAGCAACACAAGCTGTCACATTCAATGACCTGCTGCTGTGACCAATCAAATGGCACGTCCGAAGTGCAACGCTCCTATCACAGGTGAGCTCCTGACCTCTCCTCGAAAATAGGAAAAGGGTTTAGGCGACAAGCTGTGAAAAACAAGGTTTACCCAACAGATGCTGCCTCATCACATCATGCTCAACCCCGTCAACACTTCAGAGCACGCTTACACGATACAATAAGACTTTAAAGTGTTTCCCTTCAGGATCCTAGTGGTCAAACAGACCTGCGGCTTATTAACCAGGAAGGGCTCTGTAAAAGTTACCGGGTGCGTTTTTCTATTCTTGAACACAACTACTAGAAGTCAGGTCTGGCAGTGCAAAATCCCCAATTCAGTAACTGTTGTAAGACTGAAGTTCTTGCTTTTTGTCCTATCCATTAACCCTTTGATGTGTCCAAACACATCGGTGTATTAGGAAATTCAGTGCATCACGTGGTGAACTGCTAAATTCAAATCTGCACTCTAAAAATTGCTGGGTTGTTTAAACCCAAACTTGGGTCAAATATTAACAAACACAAATGTTGGGTTAAAGATGTAATTACATTTGAACCCAACATTTGGGTTTGTCCATATTTTACCCAAATAATGCTATGCTCTATGGCTAAAATCATAAATTACAGGTACTTTTGTAGATCAGTTTTTTTTTGTAAATTTATATTTATAATATTTTTGCAGTGCCCTCAATATGTCTCAGGTGGTGTCCTTGAAAGCCCTGTATATTGAACAGAACTTATAACTCTAAAGTTATTATCCAGACTTTGTCATTTACTGTGGATTTTGGAGAAACAACACAAATAACAAACATCATCTTTTTCAAACAAAAAAACAATAATTTGTGTTTAGAGGAGAAGAACAGTTTCACTGCTTATTTAAATCACATTCTCCTCGAGAACGCCTGAGAAAATTTGTGTTGGGCAGTCTGAGGATAAAAGTATTGATTTCAGTTTAAAAAATGAAAATCATTCACAGAACAAACCATACTGTTTTAAAGTGTTTGATTTGCTCAGGCGTATTGTCACAATTTGACATTAGCACAAATCACAGCTCAATGCAGCAAAATGAGAAAGTAGTTTAAATTCTGATGGTGTATTATGTCCCTATATCTCTGTGAAACAGCCAACCAGCAATGTTTCTGACACTGTTAGCTTTAATGTGCAAAGCCCCAGGAGATTAGAAACACATCCTTTTCAGCTGCTTAGAAAAAGGTTACATTTCATCTATTCTTCTCTACTTGAAAACTGCAGTCACAGTATAGCACTTAATTTCTATTAGAGATATTTACCTGAATTTGACTTTCTTAACATTTACTTTTATTACAGCATTGAACTTAATATTTTTTTTTATTTTTAAAAATATTTAGATTTATATTATACTTATATTGACATATTGAAAATCATGTAACTCACAAATAAGAAGAGTGAGCTTGCTGAAATCTGTCAAAATTATTAAAATTCCAATCAAATTGTCAAGCAAAAAATAAATAAAAATGTTAAAAATAATAACTGTGATTTTCAAGACATTGCTAAGAAAAGGCCCAAACACTAAATGCACATTTTTGCCATGAAGGAATTAATTTCTCATCCCTGAAGCACTGCATTATTGACTAGTATGTCTAGATAGAATGTCACACAATCCGAAATAACTGTTGAGCATATCCAAGCAACACACAGTAGTGGTTAAAGCTGCAGTCCGTAGCTCTTTTGGGTTAAAAATGATCCAAAAGACATATTTAAGAAAATACATAACCAGACAGTTTTCACAACTATCTGCTTGCCATAGCTTAATTCAAAGTGGTAAGCTATGTATAATGTTTTTTTAATTCCAGTGGTACTGGTGGACAATGCTTGCTGACATTGTTAACATTAACAATTTGAGAATAAAGTATAATTTGCACAGTTTTGCGTGATATGATAACTTATAAGTGATTGTTAGATTTAATCAATGCAATTTACTGCAATGTCAGAACCAGAACAAAAGTGGATGTTTCTTACTTGTTCAGACATTTTCCGGTAAAAAAATTCTTATGTTGGTTATACTTCCAAAAATAATAATCTGTGATTCAATGACAGTATCCACACCGGCGCGGCGACTGCCAGCATCACACTCTCCTCAAACATTGTGTTCATCCACGCTGTGCAGTGTCAAGGGTGTTGAACTACAGCTCACATAAAGTTGATAATTCCGCAAATGACTGCAATTGCAGATTTCGAACAGAGATGGCGACAAAGAGGAAAAACGCCAGACTGCAGCTTTAAGTAAACGATTTAATGACACACTAACGTAACTTATTTGTTTTTCAATGTATCCATTGGGTCATAGCACTTGCATATTGTTGGCCTATTGTTAGTTTCATTGCTTCTATTGTTCTCATATGTAAGTCACTTTGGATAAAAGTGTCTGCTAAATGAATAAATGTAATGTAAATGTATCCAGTTCCACGTGTATTGTAAATTAACCATTACTTTGGAGTGTAATGGTTACTTTTCTGAAATGAAGCAGCCTCAATAATGACTGTGGCTGACAAATGAAACCTCTGGAGGACGCATCATTTGAAATGAGACAGTTTGTGTCTTTGAAAAAATCCTACTTTACAAAGTTACAGCAAAGTTCGTTTGGAATGTGCAAAGTTTCTACTTTTAATCTGATTTTTTAAACTAATGTTTGAATAAATAAGATTTTAGTGCCTTGTTTTGGTAACTTATCGTTAATCTAACCAGTACAACAAGCCAGAAATTGCACATTAACTTTACTGGAATCTGTGTATCTGCCTCTGAGGTATGAGGTACGTGAATCAAAATAAAGCACACCTGGGTGTGTGTGGGAGCATCTCTGTGCAGTTTTAAAGAAAGCATATCTGCATCAGGGCAAAGGCACTTTCAAAGCAGAACTGCGCCAAGTCCATATAAAAACACCAGTCGGGGCAAGTACGTAGGACCATTCCAAAGCATTGAACATACCTTGAAGAAAAATAAACTCTGTATTTCTTTAAAACGTGTAACAGCTGTGAATAAGTATGTTAAGGAGACCACTAAAATGCTCTCAGTAACTATATAAGAGTTACAGCCCTCCATGAAAGATTGAAGAACATGTGCATGAGACAAAAACACCATGAACAATGCATAACTCTTGTAGTCTTGTTAAGTCAGGTGTTCTTTTTCCCCAAAGGAATAAGTGAACCAACACTCACAAGGATGTTAATATGGCCCAATTAGGCCAAATGTGGATGCTTAAGTTTAAATCTGACAAATAGCACCGTTTCAGCGATGCAGGGATGTTGCTCGGGGACAGGAAACTGACAGACTACCTCAATTTATTTAAAGGGTTTTTGAACAGCCTGTTAAGTCTGACATTATTTCAGCGAAGCACTTCTCGGCTTGGTTTCGTTTCATTTCCTTCCCAAGTAATATCTTCATTCACTGCTGTCTCACTTTCAGATGTATGGACGCTACACACAGGAGTTGGGGGCCTATGCCAAAGAAGAGGCAGCTCGTCTGCGTGAGGATGGAGCGCTGCGAAGGACCACCAGTGTGCGTGGCCAGGCTCCAGAACTGCTGGAGTATGAGAAGAATCCATGTGCCAAGTGTCAAGGTGGGTGTGTTATACTGTAAATACATGTGTGTGTGCCAACTGCTTGCTGGCTGTTCTGCTAAAGTCATAGCTTGCTATTTGCAGTGATGGCTACTGAGCAAAGCTATGAAAGCAGAGCCAGCAAATACACAATGATGAAGGGCAGCAGGGATTGAAAGAGGAGAAGGGTCACAAAGGCCAGCAAGCGATGGAGTTTGAATGTGCTGGAATTGGGGATTAGGTGAGGCCATTGATGAGGCGAATAGACTGTAGATTAGAGCTTTACTCTGGCTGCTGTGATGCATCTACACTCTTGGTCAGGCCCTCATGAAATTAGCGACAGCAGAAATTTGCAGGAAGATTCAGATTTTTACTGCAGACCTGGACCAGTCGTACTTTCCTCTCCTTCTAACACAGTGGTTCTCAACCTTCTTGACTCCAAGGCCAATATTCAGTGGCCCTCCTATCTAAGCTGATATGTGTACCTGTAGTAATTCTGTAACCCAAAAGCATGTCAGTTTAACGTTTTACATCTTTATTTTTTGAGTTTTTAGCTTTAATTTAATTATGATTATGGTAATATGATTAATGCCACGTTCACACAGCAGCAGAATACGGTTGTCAGACCTGTATTTGAGTCCTTAATGAAGTTGCATTCACACACATTTGAGTTATTTATGGAATGACAACCGCATTCTATTACCCGTAAATTTTCCATTTTCAAAAATCCAACCAGTGTTCTCCACCGGAGCTGCTCCCATCAGTTTTGTGTTCTATGCGTGACTCAAATGCTCTGCCTTTCGCCCAGATATAAACCCCCTTGTCGGTTGATGAAGATTTGATGAATTAACTCGCTTAGACTCTTGTCGTGTCAAAAGTGATGAAAATGTTCAGTTTTATGGATGCACCCATCTTTGATATTACTTCGATCACTGTCGCTAAGGTTATGGTAAGAGAATTCGGGCTTGACTCCTGTTGCACGTTTATGCATACAGTATTCGATCGAGACACAACTGTAAATTGCTGTGTATAAAGGATATTTTGAGACTCACACTTGTAAGTAAATGCGGTTGTCATTCCAAAAAACTTAATTTTGACACGTAAATTTGAATCATTTTAAGACTTATTGGGGCTCCTCTGGAAGCATTCCTGCATCATTTGTCGATGTCAAATGTTATAGCATTATGTTGTTTTTGGATCCTGGTGTCAGTGTGAGAATAAAACAATAAAAACAATATTGAGAAGAAAAAATGTTGGGCAGAAGCATTTTGTCCATCAGGAATTGATTGGATTGTTGGCATTTGCTATTCCTGCGATATGAGGTAGACCGATTAATCGGTCAGCCAAATAATCTGCCTATTATTGGCATTTTTTAACATAATCGGCATCGGCCAATATCCGAGTATATGAAGCCGATTATTAGGCAGGCGCATCTGTGGGCAGCCTAGTGTTGTCGTGGAACACGTGTTTGACGCACGCTGCCGCTATAGTCATTTTCCAGTCGTGTGAGCAGCAGACCTAAATATGAAGGCGTTCATGAACTATCGTTCATTTAACACGTTCAGGCACAACACTGACCGTTAGTTAGTAGCTGGATTAAAAATGGTTAAAATGCTAGCCAAACAGTGTAAAGTTTGACTTTATTTCACTGTAGACTGAAAGGTCTAACAGCAGGATGCCGTTGTCTGAAGAACAACAGACGAACGGTGCGTTGTGGTGCATTTAAAGTTCCCATCTGGTGGTTGTTTTTGTCGTTCAACAGCAATTTACTAGTGAAATACGTTATTGTTAGAAGTTAAATTAAATAAAATATAATAAATCTTATATATAAAAAATTAAATCATTTAAAGTTTTTTTTCTCCTTTTTTTGTGATAATTATGTCCATTTGATAATAATTATGTCCATTTGTCTTTGTCCGTCAACAAACAAAACAAACCAAAAAATGCACGTTTCAGGATAAAATGTTTTTGTTGAGAAAGTTTGTCTATGTTAAGTAATTATTATTTCTTTTACATTTTATCTTTCGAATAGAGGTTAAAAACCAAGCAAATATCGGCCAAAATAAATCGGCAGCATTAATCGGCCATCGGCCGACCCGGATTTCAAAAGATCGGTATCAGCATGAGCGTGAAAAAAACCATATCGGTCGACCTCTAGCTGCGATCTCATGTGAGTGACAAGTTGCTAGAAGAGAGGTATTATTGTTCCACCCTCATGCACTCAAAAAAATTTTAATCATACCTGCGTTCCACCATACTGCAAGAAAGACTGTCTACACATGCCTAGATGTCAATTAAACACTATGTTAAGAGATCGCTGGATAAAGATACACTTATCAGAGATTTTGCAGCAAGCCTTCCTCGGAAAGCCAAGTTCTAAATGTCAAAATCAGATTTGACATGTCAGTCAAACCCTCTAGGACAGTCCTTGGCCAATGAATGTTATGATGGAGACCAGACCTTCTGGCTACGCAAGACAAGATCAGCACCTACCTAAAAAAGCATAGATTTGATCATATTCAGATCCATATTGAAATCGATTCCAAATATTTTCTGCGAAAATATGAAAAAATTGGAAAATATAACGTGAAAGGTCCGTCTGGCTCTGCTCATGTATTTGAAGCAGTTCAGTGAGACAGGATATGGTCTGATGCCTGCAGATGTGGTGGTTTACCTACTGCTTTCTAGATTGCCCTCTGCTGGTGATTAATTGTCCCTGGCTTGCGTAGCTGCCGTTGTTTATCAATCTGTCACGCTCATTCCACAGGTTTGGCCATCACCTGAATCTTAAAAGCGTCTTGATGGTCTTCACATTAATGGCAGAGATATTTTCTCCCAATCATTTTTCAAGCATTGACACTGAACGTTTGCTGTTGTCTAGCCTGTAAACTACAACTTGCAGCATTTATCAGCCTGTTCAATTCCCTCTGCACCTCAGTGCAGTGCTCGCCATTCACCAGCAGGGAGCATAATCAGTCTGTGCTGTTTAGGGGTGATAGATGAGACACTTAGACGTGCAGTGTATCTGTAATGAGCCACTGTGTCTTGTGTGTGCCTGTGCATCTGTATCTAGAAATACATCACTGTTCACCAATGGATATGTCTTATATGGACTGTTAGATTATCTATGTTCGGTTAGTAACAATTTATTTCCGTTTAATGGTACGATAGCTTTGAGCTTTGAACAAAAGCAGTGGCAGTTCATAGAAAACTATTAAAAGAAGCCGGCCGGGTCCTCGTTAAATAGGCAACAGTGTCTCACAGTCCAATGTTTTTAGTGCTAATGAGGTATCTCATTGGTTTCTTGTCATATAAATAGACTGCTCTTTTGGCCTTGTGTAATCTCCAAAGACACACAGCATCTGTCTCTATATCATCCTTCCCGCCTCCCTGTTGAGTGTGAAAAGCATGAGAAATCTATCAGCACAGCGTGCAGCGGAGGTCTTCTGATCCTCCTTGACTGAGTTTGAGGGGTTTGGAGGGTTGTCAGCTCACTACCTACACACTGGTCTACAGATATCTACATCATATGTCTCTCTGTGTGTGTCTGTCTCATTTCTGTTGTATTCCTCCATCTAGTACCGTTCCAAAACCTAGCGAGCTGCCACACGGGTTCTGCCTACATACTGTAGGCTGCGGTGTTCCATCATTAAACCTCATAAGTGACTGATTTGAAATGCTCTGCATATGCAGCGCTGGCTCTCTGCATTGAACTTGACTTACGGCTAAATAAGAGTTTGCTATTTGCTTGTTGCTAAGCTATGCGCATGACACACTTATAAGCATTAAAATACAGAGATGCACCGATCAACCGGGCGGCCAGGGACCGGAATCGGACTAATTTCTTCGGTAACCGGCCGGTTGCTCTCACGTTTTTTAGATTCCAAGCTGGTCCATTTTGTTGCCAGCGGCACAGGCAATAATGTCAGCTGCGCGTTCTCGCTCTCGTCTCTACGTCGGCAAAGTGAGCCACACCCGCCTCTCTCGTCTCATTTTCTTTGATTAAATGCTTATATTGCGCATCATTTTACCTAATTCCCACAGGTTTTGCACTCACACCAAAAGCATGTGCATCCCTGATCTATAGCCTATAAGTGGTGTGCACAAGCAACGTCTCGGTCCTTAAGCAGCTTGTGAGTCGCAAGCACCTGCGGCGCTGTGATTGGGACCCATTTAAGGTCCGGGCCCACGCATTTTGACCCAGGTGAGTGATTTTCATTCTAGCAGTTCATTCAAAAAGCAACCTGAGCAACGCTTTCTGTGAACACTTCTCAGCCAATCAGTGGCTTCTACCCCACTTGAGGACTCTTAAGCCTGCCTACAGGCTGCATCGTCACCAGCAAGTGATCCAATGAAATGAAGGACATTGGCGCGCAAGCTTTTGAAGCAAGCTCAATGAGACAGACGGTAGCTAGCTATTAGCTAATATGAAATGCAAAGCAATGCGAAGCAGATTGTTTGTGCCACAGAAACACAGAAAAGCGCTGAAACTTTTTTTTTTGTGGCTTATTTTTACTGGCCCAGGGGCTCCAGTTTTCTGGAGGCCCACCTACAATCAAAATCCTGGCACCGCTAGTGGTCGCAAGTACCAAAATGAGTGGCTTACTGCGCTTAAACTGTCAAATACACACAAAATTATGTAAAAATGCCCATCTTGGTGAGTATTAGAACCAAATTTTTGTGTATGTGTAGCTGTATATTGAGTCCGTGCGTTAACTCTTAAAGTGACAGCAGCCTACTATTCCTCTCATTCTGCTCTCATGTTAAAGGGTTAGTTTTTTCACCCAAAAATGAAATTTCTGTCATCAATTACTCACCCTCATGTGGTTCCAAACACGTAAGAAGAAATTGTTGAATAAAGTTGTTATTTTGGTTTGTTTGGCAGCTAATGAAAATATCTTGTTTTTGAAGATGAACAAAGCTCTTGAAGGTTTGGAACAACATGAGGGTGAGTAATTAATGACTTTTCATTTTGGAAGAACTAACCCTTTAATATAAGAAGAAAAGACAAAGAAAATCACTCTCTGCTCTTGACTGAATTACTTTTGTAACTAATTTTCTGTATATTTTTACAGTCTTATTTTATTATTGTCTTTTTCCTTGTTTTTTATGAAAAAAATTTGCATTGAAGAAAATTAGATTTTTGTTTGTATTCGCTGTCAAAGGACTCGCTGTTCTTTAAAGGAAAATGGTATTCACAAAATAAAAATTGAAATCGGAAACAGCCAAGAAAATTTATGTTGGTGCATCTCTATTAAAATACATAGCACACAGAAATAGATAATAATTTGTATTCACTCTTAATTATTTTGTCAACACTTTTATGTATTGAGAAAGATGCAATAATTTCACTCACCATGTCCACCATGTTGGAATTTTTTATGATCATGATGTTTTAAAAATTATTGTTGTTATGCCCTCTTATCATAAAATACTTTTAAAAAATGATGCCATATAATGCAAAATAGTTCATAATTTTTATGCCTTTATGCTACAATAAATAACATATTGAAATCAGCTTATTCTCAGTTGGCATATTTTTGGGCTTGTTTTGTCTTGAGAGATCTGGCATAAGAGTGTATATAGCCATGCCGAATAGCGTATATAAACACATACTGCTCTCCCTGGTGTAATTAGACTTTATTTGTGAATTTTAAGATGACAGAGGGGGGTAGATTTGCCGACAAGCTGTCAGCATCCTGCAGTTTGTTCTTTCTGCAACTTTAGAGTGAAATCCTACCTCCATAGCTGACATAATCTGTCTATTTCAGTGCTAATTGTTTTGGATCTGTGGATGAAAACAGAGAACTGGCAGCAGTCCACCAGCTCGCCCTCGTGGGAAATTGTGAGTACTGCTCAGTGTAGAAAATCCCGCATAAGTTGTCATATCAGGCAGAGTGAGGGCAGATACTACTGCCTTTCACCAAACCTCCTACACCTTTCTACTCGCTCTGGGAATATAAATAGATCTTGGATGTATAATACATTGGTATATTATGCAGGCATTCCACATAAGGATGTCACTTCCACTGCTGGCCTGTGACTCACTTGTCAAAGACACTAAAATCTGTGTGGGGAAGCATGGGCTCTGCATATTTATACGGTTATTCCTCAAACTCCAATTAAGTTTCAAAAATATGCTGCATCTCAGCACTTCTGTCTGGTGCAGTTTGGAGATAAGCACTGCAGGTTTGCTTGTCCAAAATGCAACTTGAATTGCGATAAATTTGGTTCGGCTTATTGCTTTCTCGGTTGTGGATTGTTACAGGGTTTATTTTGAGAGCAAAGCATCTGTTGTGCCACTTCAGTGGACAAATCGGCCCACGTGCCAACTCCCGCTCAGAGGAACCGGGCAAAGGGCCACTTAGCAGGTACTGAGGCTGGCGTGGCAGCGACTCTGTCCCATCACTTCCCGTGACCCATCCCTTTCCGCTGTCTTTCAGATGCGTCTTATCTTCACACACACAAGCCATTTCCTGTCTGGGTCTCCGCAACCCCGGTCCACCTATGCAACAGCGCAATTGTTCACACTCTCATGAGTCTGGAAATGTGGGAATCCAGGAAAACAAGCTCTTTTATGAGCAATTGTTCACTTCATTAAAGCATACTGTGCACCTACTGCTGGGTTCGGGTAATTTCTCTGGGTTGTTCATTTCCTGTTCATACAACCTATCTCTATGTTGTGAACAGACTGACTTATAAAGAAAAGGAAAAACGCTGAATATAGGTGCTTAATGGATTAGATCACTCAAAAAATAGAAAGTTCTGTCTACATCGATCTACTCAATCTCACGAAACCAAAATAGTCAAACATCAAGATATTTTAAAGAATGTTTCTGCTTGCTCTTGCAATTACATAAATGCATCATAAAAAGCCAATGTATAGATTGATGAGCGCAAATCACGAAACCCACAGCACACTTTCATGTTTCGAGCCTTTTTTTCCACGGTATTTGTCAAATAAATGCAACCTTGGTGAGCTTTTTTTAAACAAAAAAATCATACCCACACAACTTTTTAACGATAGTGTATACGGTATAGCATATACGTTGTTTTATATGTTGCTTTTGCATCTTTTTTTAAGTTTCAGTGGCTTGGTGCTCATTACTTAGAACTACTTGGACAATATCAAACAGCATATTATTATTATTATAAATTTACCTTTTGTGTTCCTCAAAAGAAAGTCATACAAGTTTGGAATAACACAAAAGATGAGTTACTGTTGCTACATCCGTCAAACTTCATCTGGGCTCTGGTTTGGTATCAACATGGCTTATGCTGTGACAGCTCTTCCTGCTGAAATGTTATCAAACCTTTACAAAGCAGCAAATAAAGTGTCCGAAGTAGGCAAAAGGGGCTGCAATATGCGTTCGAAGGCTATATTCAAGACATATACAGGTGAAACGCAAGAAACAACAAGGCATCCAAAATAGAGGCAAAACCATAACGTTACCGGTCACAGTCAAAAATGAACCACCGCATATCCTACTAATCGAGACGGAGGCTGGGACTAACACTATCAGGGAGCAACACTGTTCATGCAAAGCTGTGTAGGTCTCTATTCACTTCTATAATCGTTATTACAAAGCAAACATTGTATTTATTAGCAGCGTGTGCTAGCTAGCGTATCAACAACCGGTATGAGAACCGAAATCACAACCTAAAACATTTTTGCAACCTAAAGCAAAAAAGATGTGCTTGTTGATCTTTGAGGGGTTTAGCTGACTGAGGACGTCCATAGAGTTTAATCCAAAAACGACACATGTCAGGATTTGACTTCGCTTTTGGGAAGGAAAAAAAACGGACACCCCCCTCCAACCTCTCTGGGAAACGCGCATCTGTGTTAAATGGCCCAGGCACAACGTTTAACCATATTTTTGATAAAACTACGACGGTAATAGCCTGCCGAGACCAAAACTTTGAAACGCCTGTGTTGAAAGTCAATGGAGCGCTCTGAAAAAGTGTCGGACCTCTGTGGAAGCTCGTTCTTGGCTGCACTGTGATTGGTCAATCTACATTCTAGGGCGTGGCTTAGCCAAAGGCGAATTGTCATTTTTGGGTGAACTATCCCTTTAATTTCTGTCTGCAGTCTGTACATCACGATGTAAGAAGTTCCTGATTTCCCGTGTGGGTGAAGACTGGATCTTCCTCATCCTCCTGGGGCTTCTCATGGCATTGGTCAGCTGGGCTATGGACTACACTATTGCCTTCTGCCAGCAAGGTGAGAGAGAGAAAAGAATGAAAAGAAAGAAAAAGACAATTTTCTGCTTGACAGGGTCCCATGAAAGTACAGATGGTGTCATTTAGTCATGTATTGTTTTTTTTCAGTGAGGTATCATCATCATGTATATTCTGGGATGGAAGGTGCATTAATGCCTGAACGAATTGGTGCCAACTCACTGACCTCTTTTTGCAAAAGAATGAGTTTATTTACAAGAACTGGGGGTATGGCAGTTCAGTCAATTAACAAAAAGGCACATATCAAGGGCGACTATTTTTATGTTGCAGCATTAGCTAAAGGAGCATGAAGTGAAGGGTCAAGAAATATACAAATATGTCAACTAGTACTTTTGACAGATTTGTTCAAAAATTATTTACACTTACATGAAATAAAGACCTCAGTGATAATAATGGCCTATTTTCTATTACACAGGGTCTGTTTCTCCTCTGAGTCCATCCACACTTTCATAAATTGACTCATAAATTGACAAATGGCAAACAATGACCAGAGCACTTGTACACATCAAGGGTGCCATACAAGACAGGGCCAAATAGTAGGTAGCCCATCTCATGGTGGTTGCCTCATGGGTTTTAATCATAGGGGGAAACACTTTCCCATCAAATGATCATCATTTTCTCAGTTCTCGGACATGCGTCGTGGCGCTCTCGTGAACTCACGTCAGAGGCCCACAGGGAAGAAAATGAACAGTTGAATAAAGTCGTTCTTAGAGTGTTTTTTGCCCATAAAATGTATTCTCGTAGCTTGATGAACTTAAGGTTGAGCCACTGTAGTCACTTGGACTATTTTAACAATGTCTTCACTAACTTTTCTAGATTGGCAGATGCAATTACATAGCAGCATGAAGGAATGATTTCATCAAAAATATCTTCATTTGTGTTTGCGGAGATGAACAAAAATCTTACAGGATTGGAACAACATGAGGTTGAGTAATTACTGACAGAATGGTCATTTTTTGGTGAACTAACCCTTTAAATAGAAGCCCCTGCAACGCCCCTGCTATGTGCTGTACCATCAAGTGTACGAATTTTAGACAGTTGAGTGCATGTTGAGTGCATGAAGTGTCCAAAATTCCACACTTTTTGCTGAACTAAGTGCATTATCCAGGTCTTTTTGTAATTTTCTATGCGAACACAGAATAGTCCATAAGTATGCAATTTGGGACGCACCTTATGTGTCTACAGAGATGTAATTATGTGTTGTGTGTCGGTGTCTGCAGCACAGAAGTGGATGTATGTTGGTCTGCACAGTAACATTCTGCTGCAATACCTGGCCTGGGTCACCTATCCAGTAGTTCTCATCACCTTCTCTGCCGGATTCACACAGATACTGGCACCACAGGCAGTGGGTGAGATACGCACACACACTGACCCATGCTCACGTAATCAACTTAAGCCAAATGGCCTTTACATGTTCCCTGATCTCTTTGTAACCTCTTTCCTCTTTTCTTCCTCTAGGATCTGGGATCCCAGAGATGAAGACCATCCTCCGAGGTGTTGTGCTGAAAGAGTACCTCACTTTCAAAACCTTTGTTGCCAAAGTGATTGGCTTAACTTGTGCCCTTGGAAGTGGCATGCCTCTGGGCAAAGAGGTGCATGAGAGGGGATATCTGATCCTAGATAAGCCTTCTAATGCTAATACCGTGATCACATCTGTTATTTCTTTTTCCTCTTGCATCCTTTAGGGACCATTTGTTCATGTTGCCAGTCTGTGTGCTGCTCTGTTAAGCAAATTCATGGCCTTGTTTGGAGGAATCTACATGGTGAGAGGCTTTCTAGTGATCCTGTCTCGTGTCAATAAGTTTCTGACATTTCAAATTTTGGTAACGCTTTATAATAACCTGCATTAAGAACATTAACAAACATTATCACAACATATTATGCTTTACATAAAATCATTTATAATCAAGTAATTAGAAATTTCATACACAGTGGTCAACACACAACACTTTTGTACACTGTCACACTAAAACATGTATGAATTTTATTGCGTTAGATAACAAATTTGCTCCAACATCAAGTTCGTAGCTGATATTTTCAGACATCTTAGTGATGAACAAAAGGAAATGAGCCTATGTGACTTTAACTATTGCATCATATAATGATTGTTAAAGACCTCTTAATGAAATGTCCTATTAATAATCACCTATTAATGAGAGATATCATAAAGCGTTACCAATGACTTGTTTGTATTATCACTTTACATGTCACTGCACTTGAAACGTCATGGCCTTGTTCTTCTAGTCTCATCTGCGTGTATCATACAAACAAGCAGCTGAGGGTTCTCTAGGGCTTTTTGCTAGGCTGCGATTAGTCAGAATGCGTAAGGTATCGGCTCTCTTGGGATTTGCAACCACAGTGAATGGAACTGTTTGTAAATCGTGCTAAAAATGAGTCGAACGGCCTTTGTGCGATTAGATTAGATTAGATTAGATTTATTTGACCACTTAAATATAAAAATATGAAGAACAGTAAGAAAAACTGTTGCATACATTAAAAACAAATACAAAAGTAGTCAGGGATAACACAATAAAGCCCGAAGACTTATTTCCATTGTGGTCCCTTATAAAGGCAGCAGAAGAAGTCAAGTGGCAACACATCACACATCAATCATTCACATACATAAACCAAATTCATACATATTATACAAAAAAATAATAATAAATAAATAAATAACCTTAGTTACTAACCTTAGTTACATTTGGCCCCTAAACCATAATTTCAGACCTTGTTTAAAATGACCTATACTTCTTACTGTCTTCAGTGCACCAGGTAACCGATTCCAAAGGGTAGTTCCAACATAAAGAAAAGAATGTTTGCCCAGGTTTGTATTAAATCTGGGGGGAACAAAATCAGTTGAGCTACCCCTAGTGGAGTACCTGTGAACTTCGTCTACTCTATTAAAATAATTTCTAAAATATTTAGGAACATCTCCATAAACAATTTTTTGTACCATACCCAGCTGCATCTGAGACACACGATCCTCAACTTTTAACCATCCCACCCTTTCAAAGTGGGAAGATTCCAGATGAGTTCTAATGGGGAGGTCTAAAATTAGCCTTATTAATTTATTTTGAGACGTCTGAAGTCTATGTTTCAGGTTTACTGTGAGACCATTGTACCATGCACCACAAGCATAATCAAAAAATGGCTGAATTAAAGCTCCTGCCAAAACTAGCTTTGTTTTTTCATCCAATAACTTTGATATTCTGGCTAAAAAACGAACTCTTTGATTAACTTTGGTGATTACCTTTTGGGCCTGACCTATTCCAGATAAATTACAATCTAGCATACATCCAAGATAACTGATTGATTCCTTGGCATTAATTACAGTATCTCCAACCAGGACCTTAAAACATGAGGCTTTTTTTAACTTTATCTTTGTTCCAAACAATATGGATTCAGTTTTCCCTAAATGCAGTGATAATCTGTTTTCAGCCATCCACAACCTAACCTTTTGAAGTTCTGTGCTAAGTATGCTTTCAATCATATTCTTATCCTTGTGAGAAACAATCAGCGCAGAATCATCTGCATATAAAAAAAGACTGCATGAACAAGCAGACTTTAGATCATTTATATACAGTAAAAAGAAAAGTGGGCCCAAAATTCCATATCAACCCTCTGGACTTTGCCCACAAAGTAACCTGAGAAATCACTGCATGCTGGGGAATGGATCAATAACATGTTGTTAGCGCAGAGTGAATCTGACAGAAAATCGGAGGCCATAAACATTCTGACACATCTTAACTGTTCCTCTGTAATTTAATGCGCTTTAATTGGGCAAATGTCAATGGCATGTTTACATAGTCAATCAGGCAGGGAGGTCCGGGGTAACGGGCCGTGCAAATAATTATTTGTCTGACACTTCATACCTGTGGGTGTCACTTTTGATAGTGGGATATCAATGTTGAGCTCCAATTAGGGCCAGGGTAAAAGAAAAAAGTATAAAGGGGATCCTTTTTCCAGATAGATAGATAGTGTCACGGCCAGCTCATTTTTGACCATCGCATAAAGAGGATCACTCGCACAAACAAACTGTTTGGATTATTCTTATGTAGATTTATCTATACATAAACTATATATTTCAAAAGTAACAAAGTAAAGGGGGAAATAATAATCCATTTGTGTGACAAATATCGGTGAGTCTTAAACAAAAGGAAAAGAAGCAGAGCAAATTACTTCTCTGGAAAACCTCCGTACTTCTTTCTCCAGAGGTGATGTTGAAAAGGACACCACAAACTTTTATACCCTGCATCCCAATGTCCATATCCATCCTAAATAAAATGTGAGATTATAATAAATGTGTCCCAAAGCATATAGCCTATTTTGAAAAGAGTATGTCAATTTAGATTGTCAATAGTAGATTTTCGAAGTGTGAATCTGTGCACACTCTAAAGGCTAATATTGCCTTGAGGAACTACAAACACGAGTAAAAAGCTACGGTAAAAAGTGTAAAAAGTTTTTTTAAAGTGAACTACTCCTTTAACATAAATCGTTTGTGTTTAGGCAATGCATTGTATTTTGTACTGTTTAGTTGAGACATTATTACGTGGACCTTAATAGAAAAAAAAAATTTTAAAGTCAAAAAACACAATTATTATAAGTAAACTAAATATAAATATATTATGTAAAGTGCACAACCTTCCTTGTTTATTTTTTTTGAGTGAAGAGTAAATACTTTTAGAGCGTAGTATAAGTAGGTGAAATGAGAAACGGCAATACTTTTAGCCAAAAATCAATCAATTAATGAAGACTCTCGCCAATCACATTTCAACACCATATACGTACTGCCCTCAGGAGGCAGAGTAGATGATAGATGATAGGTAGATAGATCTCATTCCCATTACAATAAATGTGAAAAAAAATTATAGATACAGACTTGAAACAACTAAACAACACTGTAAGTACTTAAATTATTGATAGCCTTTGAACAAGTTCCGATATTCACATGTATATGTGTTATTTTGATTTACTGCTGAAGGAAGAGCCCTTTGAGGGAAACAAGGTAAGATGCAGGTATTATTATGTTTGGGTGTGTCCATGTGATCAGATTGATTAAAAGTGTTAAAATAAATGAAAAAGCCAGTTTTATTTTCTTCTCCCATTTTGTGAATTTTCATTTCTCAAGTTTACCATTTTTCCATTGCAATCTAGAGTCCACTGGACTTCATCCTCCCTGGCCGTATAGCAAAACCGTTCCCAAAGATAGCGTATAGTGAATGAAAGAGCAGTGTTTGTCCATTTTTTAATTGTGTTCATAGCGATACCTTGTTCAGCATGTCGTTGCCATGTATCCATCAGTGTAATTACCCTGTTTCTTGGCTGCCTGCAAAATGCCACCGCGACAGTCATTTGAAACAGGATTTGCATGTATTCGGTTTTCTCGTTAATCTGACAGAATGAGCTGAGAAACACAGAGATGCTGTCAGCCGCCTGTGCCGTGGGGGTGGGCTGTTGCTTTGCGGCCCCTATTGGAGGTAAGACCAGACACTTTGTGATCATAGCTGGCCACTGGAGATAACGCCATATCACATTCACGACAGTAACGTTTCCCTGTATACCTCCAGCTTTGAGCAAAGTTGTTTGTTGACGATCTGCTGTGTTGTGGCAGGAGTGCTGTTTAGTATTGAGGTCACATCTACGTTCTTTGCCGTGAGGAACTACTGGAGAGGATTCTTTGCCGCAACCTTCAGTGCCTTTATCTTCAGGGTGCTGGCAGTGTGGAATAACGATGAGGGTGAGGGAGGAACCCGTTATGATAGCCAACGCTGTCAGATGATTCAGTCGCCATACATTTCTAACTGTCAATCTCTTCGCCAAATTGCAGAGACGATCACAGCTCTCTTTAAAACACGCTTTCGTCTGGACTTTCCCTTTGACCTACAAGAGCTTCCAGCTTTTGCTGTGCTCGGGTTTGTGTCTCCCCTTTCTACCAAAAACTAATTTTATTAGCATAATTTGAAGATTTTATGCAAACTAACATCCTTGTCAAGGAACATGTGTGTTAAAATGTCTAATCTCATTAGCACTGTTTATATGAACACTGTGTGTCTAATCTTTAAATCCAACTAGTTTGTGAATCTTAGTTCTTTGCTGTGAAATAAATGTGCAATGGACACGCTTACTGTTTCAGATGTTGTTCATGTTTTTCCTCAGAATTGCCAGTGGTTTTGGAGGGGCGTTGTTTGTGTACCTCAACAGGATCATCGTGGAGTCTATGAGAAAACAGAAAACCATCAACAAATTTTTGCTGAAAAAGTTAGTTTTTCTAGTGCTTCTTTTACAATGTTGAAGGAATAGTTCACTTCAAAATTAAAATTCTGTCATCATTTAATCGCCTGATGTACCCCATTGACTTGCATATTATTTTGTTACATCAACAGTCTTCAAAATATCTTCCTTATTGTACCATGTATTTTATTTAGGGAATAGCTAAGAATTATTTTTAGGGCTGTCAAACGATTAATCGCATCCAAAATAAAAGTTTGTGTTTACATAATATATGTGGGTGCACTGCGTATAATTATTTTACATATATAAATACACACACATGCTTGTATATATTTAAGATTTATATATAATTTATATTTATAAATATTTCATATATAAATAATAATTTTTCTTCTTAAATATACATACATGTGTGTGTATTTATATATATATATATATATATATATATTATATATATATATATACACAAAATAATTCTACACAATGCTCCCACATATATTATGTAAACACAAACTTTTATTTTGGATGCGATTAATCGCGATTAATCGTTTGACAGCCCTAATTATTTTATTTAATTGTTAAATAATGTAACAAATTAAATATATTTTCTGTTTTTAGGACTTTTAAAAATGAATAATAATAAATGATTTATGTTATATTAAATAGTAAAATGTTTCTTTATTATTATATTCAGATATTCAGTCATTTTTCTCTCTCATGTTTGTCTTCCCATAGAAGACTAGTGTATCCGGCAGTGGTCACTCTTCTTATCTCTACACTGACCTTTCCTCCAGGGTTTGGACAGTTCATGGCAGGCCAGGTCTGATGTTTCAGATGTATTGTGTGTCTCATCAAAATTGTTTCTTTCTTTATAACTTTCTATACAACCAAACTTTTTCAGTCTTTCACATGTGCTTCATGGGGATAGATTAATTTGTTCCGGATCAGTAATCATGCATTCAGTAACAAACTGCATTGCCTCCTCATTTAGCTTACTCAACACGAGTCTCTAGTGGCACTGTTTGACAACCTGACCTGGTACAAGCAAGGTGTTGCGGAGGAGTTTGCGTACTCAAGTCATGTACCTCAGGCCTGGAAGCACCCACAAGTCAGTGTGTTCATCACACTCCTCCTCTTCATTGTCATGAAGGTGGGTCTAACCATGTTTTTGTAAATTATAAAGACCATGAATGTGAATAGCAATGGGCAATATGTGAACATTATTTGATTGGCTTCTTGCTGCAAAAATCAATAAAAATCTGGTCAATGTCAGTTACTCAATATCAATATTACTCAACTTGTTATATTACTATAACTTGTATAAAAAGTTGCCATCATGCTGTTGTGCTGAAAATCAGCACAGTTTCGATTCGGCTTCAGATAAATCACACTCGGCCTGATTTTCAGTGCAGCATCACAATTGCGTGTGTGATGGTGCTTAATTATTAAAGGGTGCCTTTGTTCGTGTGTGACCTTGTGGCTCTTGAATGTTTCTCTTCAGTTCTGGATGTCAGCTGTGGCCACAACAATGCCTGTGCCTTGTGGGGCTTTCATGCCGGTTTTCCTCATTGGTATGTGATTTATAGTGCGTGTGTTGTTTTTAAAAGTCAACACTGTGGAAAAAGGTTTTTTTTTTTTCATTTCAAGCCATTATTGTGGTCTACCAGTCAAAAGTTTGATATAATTACAATTTATAAGATAATGATAAGAAATAAGACTCTTTCATGCTCACCAAGCTTTCATTTATGTAATTGAAAATACAATAAAATAATAATATTTAACTGTTATTTTAATACGGCATTTCAAAATGTTTGTAAACAATAGGTGCCGCGATACTTCGGGTGGCAGAACGCGAGCGGCTTCTACTGACTAACTGAAGAGATCCAGCCGGCTTCTGTAACAGTTACATAGTGAAACGCATTGTTGTTGATCAAAGTTGAATCGATGATGAAAACGTCTTGTGTTTGGGGTTGCGCTGCCAGATTTACAGCAAAAGGTCTAGGGGTTGTATCGATTTCTTGTGGGTGAGAAGGTTGTGTCGTCAAAAGTAGGAAATCTTAATGATGTCCTAAATTATATGATTCATTCATCCAATGTTTATTTCTGCTGCCAACCCCTTCAACTCTGCTTTGTGTATTCTCAAAACGGTCCATCTACAATATCATAGTACCAATATCTTCAGCCGGGACTATCATTCGAGACTAATATTAGTAAACTTGTCTCTTTTGAAGAGCAGACCCATTGCCAGTCACTGCCTGAAGTAAAAGAGAGCTGCCCACTCTCACACATTGACTGTGAGACTCACGCAATTGTCACTTTTCACATTCATTTTCTCACGCAACTTACCGAAATGTATATTCCTCATATATAATATCGACCAATCAGTGTTTTCAACCGCGCAAACAGGTTAATGTAACAGCTGGAGAACAATTGTCACATAACATTTACCTCAGGAAAGCCATTTAATGACCATGATAGGCTATATAGCACGTTATTTTGGCAAGAAATATATTTTTCTAATTATGTGTAGGTCTACTATATTACCTATTTATTATATTTTTTACATATATCATTAAAAACAGTTGTTATTATGATAAAAAAAAAACATTATATTTAATTTAAAGAAAATATTACATTTTTACATTTGACGGTAGGTCTCCCTTCCAAGCAATTTACTAGCGCTGCCATAGGAACATAGGCTGCCATAGGCTTTTGCCACCCGGAAAAACGTCTATTACTGTTGTGACGTCATGGTGAATTGTTGTGTATGTTTTAAAATGCAATTTATTTCTGTGATGTCAAAGCTGATTTTTCAGCATCTTTACATCTTTCAGAAATCATTTGAATATGCTATCATTCAATTCTAAAATACGAAACTTATTTCAAAAATCTTAATTATTCCAAACTTTTGTCTGGCAGTGTATGAGCGAGCACGTTTGAACATTATTTTGCTTATGCATTCATACCAGCCATCATATTTGAGTTTGTTCTTAATGGTTGTTTTCCTTTTCCCGCAATCATGTTCTCCATTTCCATCCCTCATCACTGTCTGAGTCACTAAAGCCTGTGTGTGTAAACTCGTGAAATCACTGCAGCTTTATTCTGGAATCAATGTGTGTGGCCTCATGTAAGTATACGTCAACCAGGTGTTACAAATTTGACAGTTCTTTTTTTGTCAGCCCCAAAATGTCATCAAAACTAAAATGTGAATTCTGTGTGTCACACAGGGGCTGCATTCGGTCGACTGGTCGGCGAGAGTATGGCCGCTGTCTTCCCCGAAGGGATACACGCCGACAACACTGTATATCCCATAGTTCCCGGCGGATACGCGGTCGTTGGTGAGAGTAACCATTGTGCATGCCTTCTCGTGGATGTCCATTTGTTTTCTTTCAAAAGCCATCAGTTTCAACCCGTCGTGGCTGTATCTTATTCACACACGTAATTGAACCTGCAGGGTGTTGTATGCAAGAGTCATACATTTTTCATTAACCCACACAAACCAACAGCCAAATTAGATCTTGCCTTTGGAAATGGCTTCAGCGGTAGCGCTGCATTGTGCAGTGGAGCAGAAAGCTTGTCAGGAGCACAATAGGAAATCAGATGGCTTGAGGCGGGTGACTGCTACTGTAATTTGATGCGGGACCAAATGGTGATTCCCACAGGGGCGGCGGCTCTTTCTGGCGCAGTCACTCACACCGTGTCCACCGCCGTCATTGTGTTCGAACTGACCGGTCAAATCTCCCACATCCTGCCCGTGATGATCGCTGTGATATTGGCCAATGCCGTGGCTCAGAGTCTACAGCCTTCCCTCTATGATTCCATCATCCGGATCCAGAAACTTCCCTACCTGCCAGAGCTGGGCTGGGGACAGGAGTGAGGGCCATTACGTTCCTTCCTTTTCAAATTATCACTCTCATATTATTCCCCTGGCTTTTTGAATGCTCACTCCCATCTTGTTTTTTTTGTTTTTTTGCCTGTAGAAAATATAATATCCGTGTGGAGGACATAATGGTGAGAGACGTGCGGTATATCACGCTCTCCTCCTCTTACCGGGATCTGCAGGAAGCTCTCGTAACAGGCCATCTTAAAACCCTGGCCCTGGTGGAGTCCAAAGGTGAGACATGCATAAAATAACTATATTTTGCGCAAAAAAAAGTTGTTAGTCCACCTTCTACACATCCATCTTACCACTATCACAATCTCACATTGGGAATTTTCAGGCAATCTTTAACCCAAAGTGTCTTTTTTCCTCATTTTTCTCAGTTTGGAAAAGCAATTCTGATGAAATGTCTCTGCAATGTCAGTCTTTGATTGCTGAATCATTTTTGCCAAGAAATGAGGTTTTCATCAAAATGGGTTTTCAATGGCTGATGCCAATATCCAGAGAGCGAAGTATATATTTAACTATATGGGGCGGTTTCCTGGACAGGGTCTAAATTAAGCTATTAATCTAGAATAGTTAATCATGGCTTAAACAATTTCTTTCTCAAACACAGATTAAGTAAAGATTACTAACACCTGGACTATGAAGTTTTGAATAAACTGTGCTAATCTGAATTAGCATGAGCAAGGTTGCCTAGAAAACATGGTACGAACCAAGAAAAGCTTAAAATTGTATGGAACCGAGAAGCAAATCCAAGAAAAACAATGACAACAGAAAAAAAGACTGCAATCAAAAATTACTGAACAAGAGACAATTATTTTAAAGCAAATAGCAACGAAAAATTGAACACATCACTTGTGGAATCTACGAAGCCCCTAAGGCCGACAAATGCTTTGTGTTCTTCCGATATACTTATGCAACTTTCCGAGCAGGATTCGAACCAAGGTGTCCAGCATGGAAAACAGACTCGCTAACAAGGATGCTAGTCTCCAGTGTCAGTCACTAGTGCAACTCTTGAGGCCAGGGAAGTGAAGTTTATTTCTTTTAATCTGGTTTAAAAGGTCACTTTAATCCAGGAATAGGCTTAATCTTTGTCTGGGAAACTGCCTCTCTCTCTCTCTCTCTCTCTCTCAGCTGAAGAAAAGGAGTCTGATAACGCCAAAAAAAAAACACCTCTAGTCGTTCACCTCTATTACCAGACTCTAATACAAACTCCACATAAATATTAAAAACAAAATGAAACTAAAATCTCAGTATCTGCTGAAGCTCGTCAGGCCAAATGTGAATCGGATCGACTTCGGCAGAGCTTTTGATCATGGAGCATTAGTTCAACATCAAGCCTATAAAAGTAGTCTATTATTGTAACATTGCAGAGGGAGTTTACATGAGTTTCCAGCATGTTGTGTAATGCTTTCTCCGGTGTGTTGAAAGTCTCAGTGTGGCCGGTACCACGAGTGATTGTTCTTGTGTTCGAGCAAGAGCACGAGCGCTCTTGTAAAAATTAGTTGCAATCTGAAACATCACCGATAGAGGCCACTAAAAAATCCATATAGCACCTTTAATCAAAGAATCCTGAAAAAATTAATAACTGTTTCAACAAAAAAATAAAAAATAAATAAGCTGCACTGGTTTAAACATTTATAATAATACTGGAGTATGATTTGAGATTATCCAAAGAGCATCTGATCATCTGGGCAAAGAGTCACATGATCATTTGAGTAGTGCAGAATCTGAAATATTTCAGAATTATTTAATCTTTTATGCATTTCATATTTTTCAATATCGTAAAAAAATCATGCATATCAGGGTTCCCACTGGTCCTTGAAATCCTTAAAAGTTTATGAATCTGAACACGAAAATTCAAGGCCCTGGAAAGTTTTTGAAAATAAACATGCATGTTTACAGGTCCTTGAAAGCGCTTGGATTTATTTTGTGCCAGAAGCTTTCTGCAAAAAACTATTATTATTACATATTATTCCCTCCGGTCCGCAAACCTGTTATTTCGCCAACACTTCCTGGCCTTAGCATACTAGCTTGCTTGGTTTACATTAGTTCGCGTTTCGTTAAGTGTTTCCCGTGTGAGGTACTTTGTGTTGTTTTTTGGCATGACATTCACATATGCACGAAACTATTACGATGATACCTCACGCCGTGAAAAATTGCAAAAACAATCTGAAACTGCTGAAACGATGTAAGCTTGCTCTCACTTGAAATGTGTCCCGATATTAAGTCCTTGAATTTGATGGTATTGGACCTGGAATGTCCTTGAAAGGTCCTTGAATTTGAAGTTAACCAGATAAGTGTGTAAAAATAAGGATGAAAACACTTTTTGATGTTTCATTTCAGTAAAGTTTCCTTTCCTGCCATTTTCTTGAAGTTCCCAAATGAAAGCTCACAGTTGGAAATACTGTATTTTCCCACAATTCCACCTCATTCCCTGTGACAGACACATTCTTTACCTTCTCCATCTCCTTTCCCGACCTTTGCTATCCCCCATTCCTCCAGCTATCCCGCTGTGTCTCTCTCACTTCTCTCTTTCCCTCTCTGCTGTCTCCCTTGCCCGTGTCCCCACCTGGATCCAGAGTCCATGATCCTGCTGGGTTCTATAGAGCGCTCCCAGCTACAGTCGCTGCTCTCGCTGCAGCTCGGCCAACCTCGCAGGATGGACTTCTTGAGAGAACGCGCTCAGGACAACGGCACCCATGTGCCCAACTTCGCCCAAGACTCTCCCCCCAAGACTGGGCATGGCGTACGTTTCCTGGTATGAACCTCGGAGAGAAAATGCTAGTGTTAATTAGAGCCCGACCGATACCGATACAAATATTTGTTGGTTTTAAAATCCGATATTCCGATATATCGGACGATATTTTATTTTTAGAAACGCGCAACAAAACATTAACAGATTTCCCTAACATTAGTTATTTGTAGTTATTTATGAGTTTTAACTAAAATAATATGATAATGCATTTTAAAAAGAAACTTGTTTCTTTTTTTGTCACAACAGAACAGACTGATGATAGTGGCATTAGCTAGCTTTGTGGTTAGCTAGTCTATGATGAGCCATAATTTAGTAATGGATAACGTCATACTGCAAATTGTAAAAAAATACATTTTCAGTATAACTGTTACACGACAGTCAGTCAACTAACCTGTAACAACGTAATGCAATTATTACTAGCTTCTAGTAATAATCTACTAACGTAATTATTACTAGGTTACTAGCTTATTACTAGCTAAATTCTGCTTCACTCTCTGCTTATTTAACAGCAGCAAAACTGGACGTGATGGTCACAAATTTTGTCATGCTTATTTGAGTTAAGAGAACTGATGGGTATGTTCTTTTAATTGTTATTCAAGCAATGTGTGTCTCGTGACCACACCATCGAGACAACAAGGACGGTGTAGAGTGCCCTCTGGTGGACAAACTATAAAACTCCAACACTCGTGACATGGTTGAAGCGCGTTTTGTCCGTTTTTATTTTATTTCTCAAATATTCATTTATCGGCCATTATAACTGCCAATACCGATAGTTTGGAAAATGCCTAATATCGGCCGATAATATCGGCCTGCCGATAAATCAGTCTGGCTCTAGTGTTAATTACAAGACAGGAATCTGAAACAGCAGCTAATATTAAATTAGATTACATATATTTAAACATAGACTTAAACAACACCAGGTTATAGGATTGGTTCAACCATTATTGTTATTATTTACTCGTCCGCATGATGTTCTAAACCTGAATAATATTTTCTGTGCAGCTTAATAATTTTCTTAGCAATAATAATAATAAACTTAGCAATAATTTTTAAATTGCACCAGGTTTAACGTTATTGACGGCAAAAACCAGTTAGGGTGCACTGCTATTAACATTATAGTCAATAACAATAAGCTGATAATAATTTTTATATTATGGCAAATAAATTCTTATAAAGATCTGTGATATTTATTTCTTTCTATACTATATTCATCTAAATACAAAAAAAGTATAGCCCTAAAATTATTTTATTTTTTATTTTTTTTATTGTAAAATACAATTTTAATTTTTTTCTATTTATTATTTAATTCTTTTCAATTTTCTTGTGATTGTTAAGTGTAATTATTTTTATTTATTTATTATTTGTATGTAATTATTATTATTTTACAGATTTTAAGTGAGTATACAGCAAATGTGGTTTAAATTTTAAATGATTAGAATTAATAATGCAATTTTCAACCTATATCGATAAATCAAAAATCTAACCAGTACGGTACAGATTGATCCTGTGCTTGTAAAAAAACATGGTACTGTTATTGAGAATGTGGGATAAAGAAAACGATTTGTGGAGAATAAGATTGTTATTGATGTTCAGTCTGTTTAGTATGGATTTAGAAGATTAAATGCACTGTATGAGTCTCATGGTCTCCATTAATGGCTCTTTTTATTGTATTTTAAGTGTTTAGTGATCACATTGAGCTATACTGGTAATTATAAATAGTTCAAGTGAAAACAGGCTTGAAATGACACGGGCAGCGTTATAAATAATTTTCAATTCCAAGTGAAGTATTTCTTTAATTATGTTCAATGTTGGTGTGCCATTGTTTTTGGAGTTTGTGATTCCCAGCTTGCCTGTATTTCTCAAGAACAACAAAGGATTGTCAGATCACCATCAGGCGATTTTTTTCGTCTTCATGTTTTTTGTTTTATCCCAAAGAATTCCTTCCCGACAAGCTGTCATCTTTGCGCTAACTAATACATCTGGGAGTACGTGAAGTCTGTTTTAGTAATCAACCATACTGATAAATCTATCTAATACTGTTTTTTTCCCAGATCTCCACTGAAGAGTCCTCATACAGCCCCACGCTGACTAACTCCCAGATCCCCCTCAAGTCTGCTCTGAAGACAGTGTCTGCAATCAGCAACACAGAGTCACTGAACAGTGTGTATATAACACTTACTCACACATTTCAACTCCTACTCATGTATGTCGTGTTGCGAACTGTCTGCGACCCCCTGGTACGCACCCATCTTGTGCTAATCTAATCACTCCTCTTCTGCAGGCTCTCCAAATCTCTCCTCTGGGGAACCTGTGAAGGAGCAAGTAGAGGTATGATGGCTCTCTGGGGGGATTGTGGGTGATACGCAGCACTTATGTAGCTGTAGATTTTACAGGTGCCCAGAGGCTGAATATGTGACGAGCGACACGAGAAACCATTTGCCAAACCAGCATCACAATTAGCCTAAGCGTCTGTTTTGACTTTTATTTTTAATGTTTCAATGTTTGTCTTAGGCTTTGATCAGACAGGCTGTATTCTGTGTTGTTGTCTGTTTGAACAATTGTTGATTCAAAGCCCAAATATAATATTTACTGTTAAACACCCCTTTCTGCCTTGCTCTTTGGAGGACTGATGGCTCTAACAGTGTCCCTTGATAACAGTCGATGTTGAGGGAGCCTTACGTTAGATTTGCATTAACGCTTTATGCTCCTCCCTTTTCTATCTGTTATGTCTGGAAGAGTAATGCTGGCCCCAAGGCTCATAAGAGGAGCAGGAGGCCCAAGCGTGTGAAGATACCCATGATGGTAAGCACGCTGCCGCAGGGACCCTCGCCCACAAACACGTATTAACGGGGGTGGCAGTGGAACAGCCAATAGGGCCTTGGCATCTCAGAGGCCTTATTGCGTTCTGCCTGTGTGCTGTATTGATACACTCCTCCTGCTTAGTACTTCCCCTCTAGGGAACGGGGAACAAGCTGAGTCACAAGATGAATCGTGCCAAGTTATGAAGCATATTTTTGTCTCTCGCGGGATGAGTGCGTTTGTGTGACGCACTCATGGTTTGGTTTTGAGGTTCAGATTCAGAACGGGCATGCTCGTAAACCAACGGAGAGACGTCAAGGCATGTTGTAATTGGACCCATTTCTTTTGAACAAAGCTTCACAAAGTTGATTCAAGTCCAATTTTCAACTCTAGCCATAAACTCTCCAATCAAATTAAGGACCTTTCGAAAAGCTATTCCCTGTCTTAGTTCTTTATTGCTATCGTAATGGCATCCAATCTACCTCACCCTCCCCTAGGCTGCGTTAAATGTATTGCTTAAGCTTGCTGATGTTTAGCTTCGGTAGATTACATTAGTATGTGTAGCTTGTCTTGTGAACTGAATGTAAATGCATGAAGTTTGTGAGGACGAGAACGTATGAAAGGGACATTTGTGCGTTTCTGTGTCTAATTCTCGACTTAATGTTTTCAGGATACACCTGATGTAGAAGATGACATGTCAACTGCAGAGGTATAAATATTGTAGCATAATTATGTTGTAATTGTATCATGATTCTTGCGGCGAGTTTTTTTTTTCTTCCCATTTTGTTGTAACTAAGGTGTGTTCTAGAATTAATTTAATCGTGGAAATGAATCATTTCATAATGTTGAAATATGAAAACAACAAAAAGTCAATTTGTGACTGATCATGTGACTCTTTGTACAGACAGTCAGATATATTTGTTTTCATATTTTTTGCTTCTCTCTTATGCTTACATGACATGCAACAAGTAGTCAGTTACAATCCATCTTTCAAAAAATAAATAAATTGATGTTTAAAATACATTTATGAGGAGCAAATGAGATTTCACTGTGCCGCGGGACACCAAATCACTGCCAAAATGTAATTTTGCTTAGTCGAGTACATGGAAGAGATTTTATATATATATATTTAACTGTGTTGCTCCTGGTTTGGATAATGTGTAATAAAGCGAATTTTGTAGCTTCTTAGAAAAAACATTCAGTCATGGAACACAAAAGGAAAAGTTCTGAATAATGTACACATGGTTCTCTTTCATACAATCGTAATTTTTATGAGGAACAAACTGAAATGTAATATATAATTCACTGAAAAGCTGACCTTGAAAATCACCCTTGAAAGCTGACTGTGGTCACCTCACATTATTGTATGAAAAAGAGCATAAAAGTGGACATTCTCAAGTCATAGTATAAAACCTAGGATACTTTTAAAAAAATGTTTTTTTTAATTGAACTTTTAATTTTTCCAGATAACAGAGTGGGAGGAGCAACAGTTGGATGAGGCTATTAATTTCAACAACTGTAAAATAGACCCCGCCCCCTTTCAGCTGGTGGAACGAACATCTTTGCATAAGGTAAAATCTGCATCTGCTGTATCTGCCAATGGGATTTTTTCATTTGGCTTCTGGATTGTTGAAGAAAATTAAGAAAATGGCTTTGAGACCAGCAAAAGTTTGATTTTACTTATCATGATAATCTTTTATGAATTTTGAAGCTTAAATACAACAGCCAGAAGTAAAAAGCTATAAATGAACTACACAACGGTTGCATAACTTCAACATCACCACTGTTAAGCTTTTGACTCACTGACATTTTTCCAGAAAGGGCTTAAAGGGTTAGTTCACCCAAAAATGAAAATTAAGTCATTAATTAGTTACTCACCCCCATGCTGTTCCAACCCCGTAAGACCTTCGTTCATCTTCGGAACACAAATGAAGATGTTTTTGATTAAATTTGAGAGGTGGATCACTGCTACATAGGCTGCCTAAGGCTTGCTTCTTAATGAAAAGTGAACATCAGTCCTTTTCTCTGTCCCTTTTTGCATTACAGACACACACCATTTTCTCACTGCTTGGCCTGGATCATGCCTACGTCACCAGCACCGGACGTCTAGTAGGCGTCGTCTCTTTGAAGGAGGTGCGTGATTGTATAGCTCTTCTTTAGATCCTGTAAAAATGCTTACTTTTCAAAAAAAAATTGTGTCTGTCTGCAGCTGCGTAAGGCCATCGAGGGCTCTGTAACTGTGACCGGAGTGAAAGTCCGTCCCCCGCTGGCCAGCTTTCGCGACAGCGGCAACAGCAGCAGCGTCTCGGAGGTCACAGAGCTCCACAAGTTCTGGAGTCGTCACAAGAGCCTGTCTCTGCCGCGGGAACCCAACCTCCCCGACCTGGAAGACCAAACGGAGCAGCCGTCTGAGGCCAGCTTTGTGAATGAGACGGAGTGCACAGAGCTGTCCAGTCAGAACAGCCCCTCTCACACAGACGACCAATCAGAGCTGCCCTACACCGATGCTACGCCCCAAGAGGAGCAGCTACCGCGGCTCCCCTGTGACTGTACCCTCCCGATGGAGGACGGAGACTCGGAGGCGGTCAGCGAGCAGTGCCCAGCTCCCAATGAGGAAGCGGAGAAAGAGGGAGACCCCTCGCCGTCAGCCGGTCAGCCGGAATGACAGCTGCTTGCGGTTGGTAACGCACACTCCATTTACACCATAAGCGGGATTGTGAAGTCAGGTTGAGGAGAACCTGGAGGGAGTTTTTACGCAGTGAAGCACACTCTCTGCTCCGTACCAATCAAACCAACCCCAATCGCTGGTCCTGCCTTCACACGAAACACGCCGTGTGTGGGGTGCCATAGATACGCGCTGCAGTTTGAGTGCCGTGTGGCTTTGGATATGTTCGGGACTCATGAGCGATTGTCTGTTCGTACGCGTGTGTTCATAAATTTGCGTGTTTGTTCGTTTATGGCCTTGTGGGTCATTTCTTTTTGTGTCTGTGAGTTGATTTCATTGGGTTAGATTAATTTAAACCAGTTTATGTTCGAGCTTTTTGTTGCTCGTGCGGGTTTTCATCATAAGTGTGTTTGTTCGTTGATTTGTGGCTTCACGCCACATTTGTTTGTGTGTGTGTTTTTTCCCTTCTTTACGCAAGCGACAGAGTGTGCGTAAGAAAAGCAGAGTGTGTGTGCGAGAGTGACTCAGCTGCACCTAGCCAACGCACCCATCTGGTGCCGACACTTTAAATCCAAATAAAATTGTCTCCGAGAGCCAAACTACAATTTTGCTCTAAATATAGCCCTTAATAACCCACACTGCAAGGAAACACGGAGGGAGAGAGTGGGGGGAAAAGAAAGGGAGCGGGTGGGCAAGAGAGTACACAGAAGACATGGAGAGAACAAGAACATGATGCAAAATGAGAGAAAGAAAGGAAGAAAGGAAGAAAGAAAGAGTCGTGGAAAGGCAGGAGAACGATGGGAGAGTGGGGTAAAACTGTGATGCTTTTTACTAAGTTTGTCAGCTAGGAAAGAAGAAACAAGTAATCAGGCAAATGAATATGCCTGATTATATTTCAGAATACATACAGTAGGGGCACAGAAATATGACTTCTCAAGAAAAATTATCCATTGGCACAACTTACCCCACATGAGGAGTAAGATGCGTCATAATAAGGGGTAAGTTGAACCATTAGGGAACGTTTGAACTATATTCATTATATATTTTGAAAATTTTATATTATTTCATTCAAATTTTTATTTTGCGGAATGGGATTCACATTTTCATAAAATAACTAGAAAACATGTGTATTTGCATGTAGTAGAACAATAATCAACATTTTATCATACTATTTGTTTTTTCATGCTTTGGATGCAAAATTCATCCTTAATGTATTTTCAATCCCACTGTCACCTTTTACCATGAAGCACCTGACACACTTTCCCCCAAAGCTAAGATTTTGGGGGAAACAACATCTATATAGTTATTATTCGTGACATGATTTAATAATTCATTCCAGCTTTTATTTTATACATTCGCAATTCATCAAAATGTGTGATGTATGGACAGTACTGTCCAATAGTCTTGGGCACTTTAAAGGAGTAGTTCACTTTTAAAAAAAACTTTTGCTGATAGTTTACTCACCCCCGTGTCATCCAAGATGTCCATGTCTTTCTTTCTTCAGTCGAAAAAAAATTAAGGTTTTTGATGAAAACATTACAGACATTTTCTCCATATAATGGACTTTACTGGGTATCAAACGGTTAAAGGTCCAAATGAGAGTTTCAGTGCAAACTGCAAACTGTTCAAAGGGCTTTAATCAACACCAGACGATGAATAAGGGTCTTATCAAGCGAAACGATCGATAATTTCAAAAATAAATAAAGTTTAAGTTTTAGGAGCACAAATGCTCGCCTTGCTCTGTTCTGTGATGCGCGTTCGTGACTCTCCTGTTCGAACTCATTCATCAAAATGAACTAAACTTTTTTCGAGTCATTTGGTTAACTCAATGAACGAAATGACTCAACAAAGGATTAGTTAATTTCTGAACATTTCATGAGTTCGAAAAGGAGAGTCACAAACGCGCATCACAGAACAGAGCAAGGCGAGCATTTGTGCTTATAAAACTTAAACTTTCTTATTTATTTTTTAAATGAGCGATCGTTTCGCTTGATAAGGCCCTTATTCGTCGTCTGGAATCGTTTAAAGCCCTTTAACCAGTTTGCAGTTTGCACTGAAACTCTCATCTGGACCTTGAACCGTTTGATACCCAGTAAAGTGCATTATATGGAGAAAAAATCCTGGAATGTTTTCATCCAAAAAACGTAATTTCTTTTCAACTGAAGAAAGAAAGACATGGACATCTTGGATGTAAATTATCAGCAATTTTTTTTTTTTCAAAAAGTGAACTACTCAAAAATAAATAAAAACTATTTTAAGACAGTTATTCAAATCTTTTGCTGTAGTGAGTCAGTAGGAAATATCAGTTCGGTTCATATATCTGAACATTCCGTTTGCCATTAATTGTAATAATCCAGTGAGATTTTTGTATGCACAAACCGGTATAATCTGATCTCACCATCATCGAGTCCATCTGTGATGAAGAAATAGGAAAAAACTGAGCTAGGTTTCTTGGAGATGTTGCCACAGTTTTTCTGGATTTAGTCTGTCAGGGTTTTTTAGTTTGTTTCTTCACATAATCACTGACAGACTTGATGGTGAGATCAGATCTCTGTGTGGAGCACCGGCTGTTGTCAGACTCCTTGTGCATACAAAAATCTCTCTGGATTATTACAATGATCGGCAAAATGAGTGTTTAGAAATGTAAACTGATATTTCCTATTGACACACTACAGCAAAAGATATAAATAACTGCCTTAAAACCTTGGGGGGTGCCTAAGACTTTTGACAATTTGAACATTTGACCTGCCATGTGGGAAATTTATTTTAACATGCAAACATGCTTCTGTATACACCTTTTCAAAATATATGGTCATATGTTGAAAAATGTTCACAGTTTGCTGGCAGTGGCACATCTTACGCCACTCTCCCATACAAACCCAACACTGATTCACAGTCTCACAGTGGAGTTTCCAACCAGGGTAGTTTTGAAGCACATTGTAATTATCATTCGAACAACACAGAGTTTTCCATTCTGACAGCACATGGTTTGGATAGTGTTGCCTGTAATTATGAGTAATGATATCCCACGATATGTAGGCACGTACGTTAAGCATGCACAAATCAGGACCTGTTTGCAGCATATCTGCCTGGCCATTTAAAATGTATCAAAGCATCTTCCCTAGAAGCTCGAAATACCCCGAGAGACTCGGAGCCTCTTAAATTCTTAATTATATGCATGCACCCCGACGCAATCATTTGCATGCTCACACACTCGCATTAAACAATACGATTTGTATTGCTTTCCAGCCAGCTTAAATACAGCCATTTAAAAAGACTGCATATGCCTGTTTCAAGTATGTTTCTTCATCAGATTTACTTACACGCCCTTTTGCTTTTTCAAGTCCAGAGCGCAATACTTTTTTTGCACGTGCTCACGAGGTGTTACACGTCGCAGACATGTACGACACCAGTGTAGATTGAATGATAACGTGTTAGAATCAGCCTTTGTATAAATACCATTGCAGGGAGTTTGTAGTCAAGTGTGCAGATCTCATCGAGTAATGTTCAAATTTGAATCATCAAAGTATTAAAATGTAAATCATTACAATGATGGATATTCTGTGTACCTGCAATCGTGTCATATCTGAATTGTTTTATAGGCTATATATATATATGTGTGTGTGTGTGTGAAGCTTTTTACATTTGATTTTGAGCTGTCAACTGTGCAATATTAGAATTACTGCTTGCCGAATAGAGTTATTTTACTAAACACTGGCTCTGTTTCTACAGTGCATAGCCTACTATTGTTTTAAAACTGTTTGCACATCATGAATAGGACATGTACTGAAACAAACACGAGTTAATATTTTTAATGCCTTTAAATTTCGCTTTCACAGCCTGCAAAGTGTTTACTAGACCTCAGCGGTGGACTTTTCACTAGTTTCAGCCTGAGAAATGATGTTGTATTGTTCTGTTTGCATCAAAACTGTGGCTGAACGACGCTATGCAGAATATGGTCAAGAACAGCACAACTACCCCAGACACAGCCTATAAGAAGAGCTCAACAGAGAATGAGTTTATTTATTTTTTTCTTGTGCACTGCAGAAATGGGAGGCCACGGGTTTGATTTAAACGGATCAAGGAGAATGGACCAAACCCATAACCATGACACTGACTTCCTGACACAGCCTTTTCTCACACTTTTCTCAGAAACGCCTGTATTGGGTTCTGCCTCGCCATGCACCAATCAGCTGTTTTATTAACCAGTCCTGTTGTGGGACAGGAATAACTTAAGCTAATGATCTTTAGATATGTTGTGTCATGTTCTGTCTCTGTTTGCCTCTTGTGCAGTTTAGGTCAAGCCCACGATGTGTAAAGTGTCTGCTAATATGCCGCACATTCAGTGTAGAGTTAAGCAATAAATCTGCTCCCATGTCCGTAAATGGTTTTTATAAATCGTTTGCTTGTACAGAATACAGGGTAAAGCGGTATGTATATGAACTCTACTCACATACCCTGTATATATAGAGATAAGCATACTGAATCAGCTGTTACCATTATTTTTCAGAAAACATGGAATTGTTTTGTACATCAATAAATATTTCAACTTTAAAGCTTTGTTTTATGCTTCTCATTTGTGTGGGAAATACTTTGTTGTGTGTGGTTAAGCTGGAATTTATATTTTTTAAATAAATATTTTTGTCTTGTTCTCCAGTAAAATGTTGAAACTCTCAAAAAAAAAATTAAGCTAATTTTTTTGTTCGATTTATGCTTAATAAATACTGAAGTAAAATATTGAAGATCGAAATATCGAAATCGTCTTCCATTGCAATTTCTTGTATATCTAAATATCTTTAGATCTTCACAGTGAATGATAACACTTCTGAAATCTCTGTGTAAACAATGAGTGACGTACACGCGCGAGAGATCACTTCCGGCGCTTGCCGGCGCGCTTGTGCAGACAGAAGCGCCCTCCCCCCAGAGTACTTGGACGTGACTGTGATTCCAAGAAGTAAAAACGATATAAATACTGTTCATTTTCTCACACAATCTGCTCGTTTCATGTCTTAGGCCATCAATACGTACTTACATTTACGAGTCATTAAATAATGTTTAATTTGGACTTCTCTGTGCATGCTCTTGGTGGTGACCATAGACCTGCATTATATGACTGACAGACAAGAACGGTTTCGACCTAAAAATATCAAAATTAAAAATACTGCGGAGGTAAGCTAAAACATATAAAAAATTAATTTCAAAAAGAACTATCCCTTTAAAGCTATGGTATACGATGTTAAAAATCGGTCGAGAAAGCCTGAGACGGTAGGGAAGTTTTCACTTTTGAGTTCACGTCAACGCAAGATTAGCAACACACCCAAGGGGGAAATCCATCGACCGGAAGTTGAAGCCTGGCAGGAGCTGCCATCTTGTAGCAGAACTTCACTTGCGTTAGCATTCCCATTTATTTTGGCGTCACTTTGACAGCGAATAACTTTACATATGAGGTGTTTGAAGACCCCATTTGTCCTTTATTTATTTCTAAAGAAACACGACAATGTATAAAATGCTCCATTACCTTGTAGCTTATGTCATGGCCCCATAGAAGCAGTTTTAGTAAAAGTATGCTAACGATTGCGTCATACCCACGTGACTCCCTGTCGCACAGTAGAGAGATTACCGTATGAACAGGAGAAGAAGCTCACACACAATCGGGGAAACGTGGAGGCAAAATGACAAAATAATTAATCAGAATACCTAGCAAAATTGTCTCCTTCTCCTAGCTCATGGACAGTTCCTACTCACACTCTCCGCCTCTGCAAGTTTCAGAAGGGAATGATTCAGATTTCTCATGCCACAGCCACTAGTAGAAGAAGACAGTCGGGTTGCTCTCGTCACACTACGTCGTCAAGCTCTGTTTGAGTCTGCGCGTCAGGGACGGAAGTGCTAAAAAAATCGACTTCGCCCTATGCTGCAATATACATTTGAATGCTTGAATGACAATTGCTTATGTTATTGGATTTTTCAGGTGAGATTCTCAATTCATTCAGTTAACGGATGCTCTGAGGTAAGTTAAAGTTTTCAGACGGCAGACTCAGCAACTATTGCATTTAATTGTACAGTACAATAATAACATAGAACAGACATTATCTTCATTTCATGTCATTATTACAATATTGCTGGCCATACACTGCGGAAATTTGGCTTTATGCACAGCTTCACTACTTCCTGAATTTCAGCCAGCTCCCTGTTTCCTGTCTGCCATTATTGGACATATTGATTAATTCAGGTGTGCTTGACCTCAGTAGTCACGGCAACAATAATCAGACACACCTGAATTAATCAATTTTGCCCAATAATGGCAGACAGGAAACAAGGAGCTGGCTGAAGTCCAGGAAGTAGTGCAGCTGTGCATAAAGCCCATTGTACAGTACAACAAAAGCTATTTATGTAACACGTCACACCATAAAAGTATAAATAAATGTTTACCTGCTCAACCAAAAGTCAGCCGTGCCCGTGTCAGCGTCGGTTTTCAGTCCCAGATCTCCTTGAAGCTTCCTCCAACGGTCAATGGTGGAGCATCACAGTCCCGCCCACAGCCCGCGATAGCGCTGGTGCCGGAAGTAAATTTCCCATTCATTTCTCCCATTGACATTTTGTAAAATCCATATCTAAAGAGTATTAGAGCATGTCAGAGGATAATCAGCTACGGCTGAACTCATAAGCATACAACACATCATTTCGAGTGAAAAAACGAAGAGAAAATACAAAAAAGTCGAGGGTACAAACCTGTGTACATGTTTTCATTTCCGAGTAAAGCAACTACTCCTCCCATAAACCACCGCGCCTCACTGAAGTCGTCTGAAAACCATAGTGAAAGAGCCTTTTGAGCGACTTCCAAATCTGACGACGGGCACGTGAACTTTTTCCTCCAGTGAATTCTATACAGTGAATGTATAGGGAAACCCCTTTTCCTCGAATTACTGAAGCAAACGCATTTGCAGCTCAACATGCAAAAACATTGTAAGTTTCTGGCTCGCTCATTAGCTAAGCTGTGGCAACTGCACATCCAATGGCGCGCGGGCGTCTCAGAAGTGCGACCAATGAACTTAGCTCTACGTCATCACGCGATCTTCAGTCTTCACGTACCTTCGCGGGGTTTCAGACACGTGACACGACTTCCACCAATCAGATGCATCACTGTTGGATTGTGGGATTTTTCAGGATTTTGGGTAATGAAGTACTTATCCAATACATCGCGAATAAAAGGGATTCAACAATGTTAGTGCCCCATGAACTTTTGGCGTTTATATGAGCACATACAATCGCTTAGTACAGCCGTAGCTGGTTTTAAGTCTACCATGTATGGTTATGTTTTTATGGCTTATATCTCAAATGTCAATGGAGAAATTGTATTGAATTCCGGCACCGGCTGTGGGCGGGACTCCGGCGTTACATTTTTTTTATTTTATTTTATTTTTTATCTCTGCTCTTTCCTCTACATACTTTCTCTTTCGTCCAAACTTTACAGTAGGGGCAAGCAGTGGCCGCTTGCTGCTGTTGTTTATATTTTTATCCATTGCTTTAGCCATTGCTGATCTGACTTAGCTAGCTACCATACACTATGTCAGCTGTTTGCTCACGCAAGGAGGGGGCGGGGTCGGGTGCGGTTGGGTTGGAGATGCAAGCGCCAGGTGGAGTTTCAAGTGGAGCTGGTGATTGGATGAGAGCAGTTGACCAATGTAAGCTGTCCAGTCAGACAGCTTACATTGGTCAACTTTTCTGCAGCTGTACAGCCAATAGAGTGAGTGGACTTTTTAAATTATTTTTTTCCATTCATATTGTTAGGATTGTACTATATAACCATAACCAGCATATAAACAAGGATATTAATAATGAACAATCTTTGAAATCGTTTTTTTTTTTTTTTTTGCTGCTTTTTTGTTAGGGGTGATATTTTCTACTTTCTAAACATGACAAAAAATACTTTTATTTTCAGTTTTAAGGTTTGCAGCAGATGTAGCTGCAGTATGTAAGGATTCAGCAGTGAAACGTATGAATATACACATAACTTTAATGCAATCATAATTCTCACATTTGACCTCAGACATTTTCTGTACAAACAATAATAAAAAATAATAATAATAATAAAAAAAAACGTTTTGGGGAGATTCACACATTCACATCAATGAACATCATGACATTACCGGTCCATATATGGGATAAAGATGACAAAAACGTGGTTGGTTATGAATTTACACTGCCCTTCCACATGCTTCTGCAATGAATGAATGCAGTTCGGAAAGGCAACATATACTTTCTGTCTACTCTTTTACTGTAGCTGCATGTCAAGGTTAAACTACTATCTTCAAAAAAACCTGTTCATTTAGCAGCCAATCACAAATCAAACATGAAGTGCAGATAGGGAGGAAAAGGAAGGCAAAAAAAGGAAAAGAAATATGGTAGAGGATTCTCACTCATTTTGGTATGCAAGGCCATTTCTGCCACATAGGAAAAGATAATGCTTTGGCAAATCAACTGCGACATAAAAACATATAATTATAAAATAAGTTACTAAGTAAGATACTAAGGCATTATTATGAGATAAAAAGTCTAAATTAGAATAATTATGACAAAAATATATGCCAATGTCATAATGACATGATTTTAGTCTCTTTTTATAATTTAGTTTATGTCTCATAATTAGGATTTTTGTAATAATTTGACTTTTCATCTCATAAATGATGTCATGATTCCGACTCAATTTCAACTTCGGTAAATTTGTACATAATTAGTCTGTCATAATGTCATAATTTTAACTTCTAATGGCACGATTTACCAAAGCATGTCTTTTTTTCCATTTGTGGCAGAAACAGCCTTCCATAGTTTGGTAATATACATCACACAGTGATCATAATAACAGGCACATTCTATTCATAGTTACAACGCTGCATCAAAGCAGACACCTTCCTGCACCTCAACCGTTCTGGAGCAATAAGCCGAGACACATCTAAACCCCCCCAAAAAAATAAAGAAGGGGGCTTTGTATGTCCCCTAGGAAACCTGCGGCCCTGAAGTTTTAAAGACATCTTACCATGAGCATTATGTCACTTTTGAATGGTCACAGAAGAAAAACGTTTAAAACCATGTTCCTCACAGAGATATTCCAGTCTCTTGATGCATGTGTCGTCACAGATATGCGACAAACGGCGAAGCTGCTGAATACACCAAGAGCACAGGTAATGAGCGTTTCACTGGAAACTGTCATCATAATGTCACTATCATCCTACTCGCCGCTTGAATGAGGAAACAGTACCGTAGATTTCTCGAACGCTCATTTCAAACGAAGAAGCAGGGAAAGAGAGGAACAGATTAAAGGGGCGGTTCTCTCTAAAATAGAAATTCTGTCCTCAGTTACTTGCAGTTTTTATCCTCAGTGGAACACAAAAGAAGACGTTTCGACGAATGTCCACGCTGCTCTTTTCTATACAATGAAAGTCAACGGTGACCTTCAAATAAGCACCATAAAAGTATCATAAGTTGTCCAATGGATCTTTATGCGACAAACAGACTAAAATTTAAGTCATTGTTTGCTAAAATTTTTGCTTGACAGCCATAGTCACCATTCACTTTCAGCAGTTGTTATCATTAAAACCATAAACTCATTTTAATTGCTTGAAATTACCTTGAACCATGGCTAGTTGCCAAGGCAGAATTTTCCATATTTAAGTGGACATGTTTAAGAGGGAGAGTAAATGGTGACTGAATTCTCATTTTTAGATAGACTATCCCTTTAAAAGTATGGAGAAGAAAAACAAGCCATCGTGTCTGAATGCGTAACAGACTAGACAAACACTTCACAGAAGGGTTACTACAAAGGGACCGAGACAAAAGGGCGAGCGAGAGCACAAGCGTCACTGCTTGGAACCGTCTTCCTGCTCTTCCTCCTCCTCCTCCTCTTCCTCGTCAAAAGACACGGCTCCAGAGGTATCAGAGATGCTTCGGCAGTGTCTGTACCAGCGGATGACTTCCTGAAAGACGTTGTCCTCCCCTTCCTCCACATCTCTTCCATCCTCCTCCTCGGGTGAGAGGCCAGACTCGGAGTAGGAGGTGGAGTAGTAGCAGGAATCTCCCTTGCTCCACAAAGGCCTGCGGTCTGGTTTGTGAACCGCACACGTCGCCCTGTCGCCCTCCCCTTCTGAAAGCAGGAGTTCTTGGGCATGTGGTGGCACTTCTTCTGAGAAGAGCAGGTCGTCGGTGTCTGTTTGGGCGTAGCAGGGTCCCTTCACACTCCGCTCGGTGTCTGACTGATTGAGCGGGATTTCAGCGACATCTGTCTCAGCCTGACTTGGCACTGGGCAGCTTTGATTGGATAATACAGCATCTGAGGGAGGAGCAAATTGTAAGTATAGCCTATAAATACAGGTCGGAGAGGACAGAAGTGGAAAAGAAGACGAACACGGACAGAAACAAGACATGAAGGACAAAATGGTACTAAAAAAGAATAAATTAAGCAGAAAAAACAGACAAGAGATTCATGAAAAGACAAGACTTAAAAGTTATGCTCAATAAAAAGCATGTGACATCTAAGGAAATGCAAATATACAAAGTTTGCAAACTGTATAGACACTTTTTGGCACTTCGCTGCATAACATAGAAAATACTAAAAGTGGCTTATGAAAATACATGAAATGAACATGATTTCTTAATGTCTGGTGACATATCAGGGAAAATGTATGATTAATTGAAATGCATTTCTTGCATACAGAAGTATGAAGTGAGCTTGGTGTAGTTCATTATTTGAAATGTTATACAAATTTGGGGTTCTTAATTAGTTTTATGCTTTAGAAGCATAAATATATTCTAAAATGGAATTTATTCCTGTGATGGAAAAGTCCAGACCAAAACTCTAGTCTTCAGTGTCACATGATCCTTCAGAAATCATTCTAATAAGCAGATTTGCCACACAAAAAAAAACATTTCTTAGTATCATCCATGTTGAAGAAAGTTGTGCTGCTTAATATTTTTTGAGAAACCCAGGATATATACCCAGACCCAAAAGTTCAAAAGAACAGTATTTATTTTAATCAGAAATAATTTGTAAGATTATAAATGTCTTAACTTTCACTTTTGATTAATGTAGTAAATCCTTGCTGAAAAAAAAAAAAAAAAAAAAAAGTTTTTGAATGTTACAGTATAAACATTCGCTTTGATATTTTAATTTGTTCATACACTCTAAATTGCTGGGTTGTTTTAACCCAACTTTGGGCCAAATATGTACAAACCCAGCCATTGGGTTACATTTAATGAAATTTTAACCCAACGTTTGGGTTTGTCCATAAAGTTGGGTTAAAACAACCCAGCATTTTTAGAGTGTAGATGTGTATTTGTGGCAAGGGCCACTTTGAGGGTGACGCTCACCTGAGTTCAGAGTTGTGATTGGCTGGTCATATAGAGGAGGATCTTCTTCATAAGACTCTTCGTCCATCTCCTCCTCATCTACAGAGGTCCAGGCACGGAGCTTCGCCTCTGCAATAGCAAACTGCTCAGCCACACCTAAAGAAAAGGAGAAGAATCGTATCGAATGACACTGGACATTACAAAAAGGCGCTAATTAAACAGACGACAGTGCAACAAAATCTCTTTTGACACAGCGATGACGCATTTTGACAAAGTTTTGTGGTGAGGCTCTTTGTTGAGACTCGAGTTTTGCTGTGCTAAATGCCATCCTATCTCAGTGGCCCAATTCACTGCAGTCAGGAAACTGATGTATCAGAGTATAAAGCTGCGGGGAAAAGTAAAGTAAAAGGAGGAGAGCTAGAGGAATGAAGTAAACTGACATGCAGGATCAGCAGAAGGTGGAACTGTGTGACTGTGTAATCTTATTTAACACCATCTGCTGAGTCTTAAAGCCTTTAGCTGGCACAGGGGCCAAAGTTGACTGACACCTGATCAAATTCCTGTTGCATTAAATATATTTTCTGTTTTATGCTTACTATAAATATATTTGCACTTGAAGAGTTTAGACGCAAAAGCCTCTAAATGCCATTTGAAATTTTCTTCTTTAATGATGATTTTTATCAAACTTGTATATTTAAGTTCAGTAATTTCACTTAAATAACAATTAATAGGTAATTATCATTGCCATTTAAGTGAAATTACTGAACTTAAATACACAAGTTTGATAAAAAATCATCATTAAAGAAGAAAATTTCAAATGGCATTTAGAGGCTTTTGCATCTGAACTCTTCACTTATTAATTTATATATATTTATATATATATATGATAATTGCATTAATAATATCAATCAAGTTTTCTCCAAGTTTTTTTCAGCTACGTCTATTGGCCAAGGTCAAACCATTTTTAAATCATTCGGATCTTGAGAAAGCTATTCATGCTTTTATTAGCTCAAAATTAGACAACTGTAACGTGTTTTGCGGTTCGTGGTTCGACTTATCGAGACTGTTTTCCAAGATGGTTCCAGCCTGTATACACGAAGTGGACTGTCTTTATAAAATATCTTCTTATTAAATGGTCTGTACACTTACATAGTTCTTAATGCTTCATCTTGCATGTAGGGACCCTCATGTTACTGTGTTAGTGTGGGGCTATTTTGAGCCTTGTTGGTGGTATTAACTAGCAATTTCTCTTTACTTTTTCTATGACCTCATATAATAGCGTGTAACAGTTTTTAGAGATAAAACTCTTTACATTTGATTATCATGAAAACAAATCTCAGAGAATGGTTGAATAGGTACCAATGTGTTATTAGACCAAAGGTTCATTTTGTACAACTATTTTATTTACCAAACTTTTAAAATTATGGAAGAGAATGAAGAATATTATGTTGTAGTCATTGTTACAATTATTGCAGTAATTACATTAATTAATAATAAGAAGAATAACATTAACCATTTTCATAATTAATAATGCAGACTTAGATGCTTAGATAATCCATATGATATAAAGTTTGCCTTATACATTCATACAAATGTTAAAATCTTGATGTTGAGTAATACATTTTAAAATCCACATTATTTGGCAACAGCTCATGTATAAAAACCCAGGCAGCAATCTCTTTGTACATTTAGGGTTTTAAAAAAAACACTTCATCAGCAGTGAGAGATACACAGCCGTAAAACACCCACCTGCTGCAAACCGGGCCTCCTGTTCGCCCTCGCTGAGATGGGAGTAGGAGTTAAAGTGGGACTGCAGTGTAGCAGATGGAGGGTCTAAAGGCCTAGACCAGCCCTTCCACTCAATCAGATGAGCCACCCGACCCTGAGCCATGGCCGTGGGTTTGGTCACGTGATCCTTCACCACCTGTGAGATGCCTGGTAGGGAAAACACAGGGGATTGATGGTAAAGACTAATTAACGCAGTGTTGCTAACATGCATAAAGGCTTATAATGAATGAAGCTACAGGTATTTAAATCCTTACCATTAAAGGATGATCTAGCCAGAGCTGCAATTTCCTGGATGCTAAGAGCTTTTCTTGACTTGGGGAGCATATCAATAGGGTCATCAACCTGAGAAAGCAAGGTCAAAGACAAAATGGAAGAAGTGGTAAAAATGTTTTATTCATGTTTGGTCTTTCATTATTTTGCCTTACAAAATATTTCTATTTCAAATAAATGCTGTTCTTTTGAACTTTCTATTCATTAACTGTTTTCAAAATGGATAATAACTAGTGTATTGTGTGTGTGTGTTTTAAGTAATTGTTGGTTTGGTGTGTTTGAGTGCTCATTGTCAAAATTACACAGCAAAAGTTCAGTTGTGCATAGTAGAAAGCAAATACTAATACTTACTGACATAATGACATGCAATAAATATGGAAAATTGAACTAATGGTTGCATAACTATTTATAATGGTGATATTAGGTGACATGTATTTGGGTATCTGTGTACAAGTAGCAGGAATTTACATTAGATAACATCAATTTAACAGCATATTCAACATCACATATTTACAGAGTAACTTCAGCGCGCATGACAGTATTAACTTAGCATTGAGACCAGGCTGTACGTGAGTTTGTGAACAGGCTACCACAAATGATGGCCGTAAAAGAGACTGTGAACGTATTGAATAAGATATGTTTAGCTGGTGAATAGCATAGGCTACTATTAAACAGTGTGCGATAACGTTAAGCGCACCAGAATGAAATATAATATTCAGAAGTAAACAGCGTTGCTGACTTACAGATTCAGTTAACATCCACAAATGGATGACGATTCAGGGAGCAGGCTACCAAATGATCTCTGAAAAAACAGTTTGTGAATAGGCTACAACAAATGATGGCCAGAAGTATATTCAGAAGTGACGCTGACTTAATGCTTAGCTAACAGTGTTTATGTCAGAATGTTTATTTCTAAACCGCAACCCTCTAAACATCATCTAAACATCTTCAATGTGTGCTTCTTTTACCGATATACTTAACGATATCTTATGCATTTCTAATCCAAACAACGTCAAACTTGGCACTGCACTTACTTGTGTCCGTAGCAAGACACCTGTCAAGTTTGATATCCATCGGACTAACGGTTCGAGAGATATGTGAATAACAGACACACACATGTTCCTGTGATTTGAAGATAGCTAAGAAATGTTTCTTAAGCAGAAAATCATTATATTAGAATAATTTCTGAAGGATCATGTGACACTGATATGTTATTATATATATATATATAGTATATAACCCAGCCTTAAAAAAATCAATACAGTGGTGGGTGAATAAACAAACTCACTATTACTTTCCAAGTGCCCCTTGTATTCTGCTAAAATACCCACTGGGGAACAATATGTGCGCCCCGGTTGGAAATTATTGTCAACATAGCAAATACCCCCATAAATTGGATTGGTTCCAATACCCCCACCAATTGGTTCTCTTACCCTATGACTCCTGCCATGTGTCTCTTGCTGTATGAACGTACACATTAAGAAGGCTAAGTTTTCCAGTCAAGACACGAATACCAAGCTACAAGAGCTCCACATGAATGTAAAGGCTCTAAAGTCAGTGCAGACTCAAGCTCCGCCTCAGAATCAGATGTTAAATCCACAATTAACCCTTTGACAATTCAGTTGCACTTCAAGCTGAAGCATATGTTAGGTGCGTGGGCTGTTCAAATGGTTCTGTGAGAGATCAGCCACACTGTTGCATTAATAATCTAAGCAGCTGATGGCTCAGACATATTTGGCCGATCAAGCCTATTTTGTGGCTTGTTAATTTGCAAACAGCATTCGCTGCCATGTCAGATAATATTAGCCTGCAGCCCTCAAGATGATAAAACAATAAATAAATCTGGCCACAGCTGGGGGCTTATGACCTCTGGCATTTGACTTTAATGGTTTACATGATGGAAATCTGAATGGACAAGTGACATCCATTGGGTTAAAAAGAGAACTGATGTGTCTGATGGGAGATGAGGCGGCTATTTGTAGTCCTTGTACTGCAAACCTTTCAGCAACACAGATCCAGTTGCCATTTTCAAATAATCAGGTGAGATAAAGGATACATAAAACCACCAACACAAAAGTAGGCCACGGTGCCAGGCATAACATGCAGCATTTAAGATATATCCACCCTAAAATTAATCACACAGGTGGTTCTGACATGCAAATGCCCGACGTCAATGTCTAGGACGAAGGTAAATAAGCTTAAGACAGATTGTCCGCTAAAGCCCGTAAGAAAAGTTGCCAATAAAGAAGATTTGCAGAGCCACCAACTGCCTGCCATTTTTTAGTGCCGTATGTGGGTCAAATATTTCTGCGTGATTTGGGGTTAGTCGTCACAGCAGAGAGAGACAGAAACGGGCCACGGATATCATAATGAGGTCAATTAAGCTTAAACCACAAGATTTGGGCTCATTTTACGTCATTAGACTGTTATCATATGCTAATACCATAGTATTTTGATATGGTAATGATTCAGTACCATGGCACTGAGTAACACTCACTCTGCTCATCATGTCATTCAGCCTTCCAATAAGAGCTGCAGGACAATTAAAAATAAAATCCCCAGACACACTTTTTGGCATTTTACAATGGTACTTTGTCCAAAAAGTGTTGAATTACTACAAAACATACAAAAAAGAAGAACCAAACATGGTATTACCACTGTCCAGATACATAATATTAGAATGGTACATTATACAGACCTAAAAAAACATGGTGTCCTACAAAAATAACATGGTATTACCATGGCACTACATCCAAAAAAAGCAATCAAGACCATGATACATGTCCAAAATAAACAAAAACAAGGTTTCAGTACTATATTCAAGTTACTTGAATACAACAATAAAAAATAAACATGTTATTACCATGGCACTACATCCAGAAACACAGAAACATGGTAAACAGGGCTGCCAGTGCCAACTCACGCAATTGACACTTTTCTCACACTCTCAAGCCAAAACATCTATTCTCCTATTTTCTCATGCAGTGAAAAACATTGCGGAGCAAAGAGGACACAGATAACACGCTGACAGACAAGACAGCACAGGGTGATTTTGATATGAACAAAGTCTCAGCTTTTAAGTTTTGTAAGATTTATTACAAAATTCAAACGATAAATTAAGCGTAGCGTCACGTTAGACAAGCACGCATCAGTGACTCTCAGCTGATCCACGTCTACCTATAGGAATACGACGCCTATCACTGTACTCATATGAGCTCCTTCAGTATTATCATCAGCATTATCACGTTTCTCATGAGCTAATTACCCTCCTCCATCCCCAGCTCCTCCTCTCGTCATTCAGTATGGCATTTTGATTCCCCTTAAATTAGAATAAATTCTCGAATCATGTTGTACTTTAAAATCTTGAATTAATGATATCTGCAATACACATTCATGTTGGTTCTGTTTAACCTAAGGTGCTGCTCTCCCTGCTCTTATTCAAGGAGAATAGATCCTCTTGCCCAGAACAGAACCATACCGCCAATCCTAACTGTATGCTAATTGTCAATCGTATTTGACGATATTGGTCCTGACAGAAATACAGTTTTAGTAATGCAAATTTAAATACAGCTCTTTAATGTGCCGTGAACGATTGCTGTAGCCCCTCAGTTCAAGCGAAGCAGGAGCGTGTAACTGATCATCTCTTCCTCTTTATTACTAGTTATAGCACGAAATAAACATGAATGATCATCCGAACAACAATGTTCATTTTAAAAGAAACTGTACAACTTACTGAATCATTCATGTCTCATGTAATTGCTCAATCAGTGTGAAAAGACGTCAATGAAACAACTTGTAAACAATACGTAATGTTAAATTTACCTCAGAAAAGTCATTTAGTGACCATAATCTATAGTTATTTTAGCATTTTGTAAAAAAAAAATTATATGTATAATTATTATAATTATTATTTTTAAAAATATATATAATTAGCAATGTTATTATAAAAACGGTCTTGTATGCAATTGTATACAAATCAGTTGTTAATTTTCACCTTTCACCAATTTTCATAAGGGTTCCCTGTATCATTTACAAGATTTGTTGAGAAAGTTTTTTTGTTTTTTTTCATTAAGTACATGTCCTAATGAATCGATATCTAATCCCAACTTATTCCCCAGCAGTAACCCAAAAGTTGGAAGCCCTGTGGTAAGAATAATACATGATTCTACTTTCAGAGCCTACATGTACAATAAAGCATGGTATCATCTATCCTAATATTATTAAGAATGTGCTTATTCTAATTGTCAGTTGCGTTATGATAGTTTACCATGATGCTGTCCAAAAACCAAGGTACAATTCCAATACAAAAGACATGGCATGGCACTATCTAGAAACAAAGTATTAGTATGGTAACAGTTACATGCAAGTACATTTCCTAAAAATATAACATGGTACTTATAGCATAAAAATAATTAAAAAAAAAACAAACAAAAAAAAACATCCCATGATACCTGTCCAAAACAAACAAAAAACATGGTATATCTTGGTACTGTCAAAATTATTTTATGATTATATAATCAATGGCATAATAATTAGTCTGAATTGGCTATACAGGACCTACAATAAGCAGTAAAAAAAATAATAACACACCGATATGTCATAGAGGGAACGAGCTCGTGCAATGAGATTTGTTTTAAATCTAAAAATGAGCTGCAGCATCTCGAGCGAGCAGTAGCCTGTCTGTAAATGAAATACATATGTTGCCTAAACATTATTAGCCTTGTAAGGTCAAATGTATTGCAGCAATTGCAACAGAAAATGTAGTTGCAGTGAAGGAGAACGCATAAAATGGGCCACCTGAGCTCAATACATGGAAAGCAACACAATGCAGTTAACGAAATATAATAAGGACCGGTCGTTATAGCAACAGGTAACCCGTGAACCATCTGTCCCTGAGCATCATTAATTCCCATTGACCATGCACAACACGCAGGCACAGCTCTGTGAAATGTGCCGCTGTATCCGAGCTACTAGGGTTTATTGTGATTTGGTTGGTTCGATTTGATTTTTCCCTCAAACTGTTACATTCTGCATAGGCTACCAAAGTGGCATCATTCTATACGAATGCAGTGATATGAAATGGCCATCTGTGTCTATAAAGCCCGTGCACGACAGTGTTAACGTGTTAGTTATTTTGCGGATAATCAAACGTTTTAAGGTGACGGATCAGGCCCTGATAAATGAATCCCACCACAGAACTGAGGGAGACACGGCAGGACACAAGACCCGAAGTCCATTAGCGGCCGGAAAATTGACTGATTGATTGACGAGCAGATCATTTTCATAAACAACAGTAAAGCAACAGAACTCTACGCGTTTGTTTCCTGGCAACAGGCGAGCAGTGATATAATTCACGCATTACATGACGGCCTATTGCGATCTCAGCAATACCAACCAACGCAACCGCACATGCATTGCAGTAACCAAAAACCGTAAACATTGATGGTGCGAGCAAGCATCGATGAGCATTTGACTTAGAATCCACACGTACCTTTAGATTTAGTTGGGGTAAAGCTGTCAGAAGCATTGCACATGGATACAGCATTAGTATTGGGTCTGAAGAGAAGAATCGCGGAGCCGTGTTTCTTCGGCAGTGAATAATAGACACCACCTTTTCTTGAGCATCAGAGACAGGGGCAAAAATGAGTGCTGCTGTTAACCCACGAAACACATCGTCCCCAGCACACCGAATCTCTCAGACAGCGTCATCCCACCTGTAATGCGGCTCTCTTAAAGACACAGTCTCGTGAACACAGAGCCTGAGCGATGAGTGCAACTTGTATGGCAAGCCGGCTTAACATTTATACCCAGCACCCTTCTGAAACCTAAAATGACAAGTCTCTGACGGCAGCTCTTGTCCACAAGTCAACACGACATGCCATTTGGGACAGGGTCACAGCTTGTTTTCATGTGACGTCTCGCCACTGCATTGCCATGGCGCAAAATACCATGCAAAATACAGATGGAGGGCAGGAGATTTTCTGCATTTAGAAAGCACTATAACAAACTCTAAATGTCTGAGTTTTGAGTCATTTATGGTTAGTTGAATCGATCAAACCACAAGGAGTTTTTATCGTGTGCCAGAAGTTGTTGTTCATAAGGGGGACTTCCTATGTGAAATTATGGTTACTTAATAGATAAGTGACTAACTTTAGATACAACAATTGTTATCGAGACTCAGACTTATTAAAACACTTGTCACTATTGGATTACCTAATAAGACATATTGTAGCCCTCAATCGAGTTTTCAAAAACTGGGGTTGATTCGGTTGTTCTGAAGGTATGAAAAAAAAAATGTTTAAACTTCTGGTCTTCGGGGTCAATATGACCCCACATTGAAATGAATGGGAAATGTGAAGAAAACTAAATATATTTTCTTCATGTGTCAAAAAAACAACAACAACCCAAATCAGGCATAAATCTGAATATTTTTACACAAAAATGAAAGCACTAGAGCATAAATGCAATGTATCATAAAAAAAATATATTTCATATGCAAGCTAATGGTGTAGTTGAGGAATTGTGTGGTTCATGGATACAAAAGTACGTAATATCTCCAAAAACACAGCATTAATGAATAGATGAGAAGTAAAAAAAAAGAAAAAAAAGATGCATTATTTGTATGATTAAAAATGTATATTTTTTGTACAATTACTCAATTGTTGGGGTAGTACAGACCCCGAAGCCCAGAAATATAAACAAGAAACGAAGACCATTTGAAGGTTAAGCAATGAATGTTTAAACTGACTGCCATATCTATGATGACGTTTCAATACATCTTCATTCTCTGGGTTAAGAACTTATCATCTTCTCACTTATGCAGTCAGTAGCACCTGAGATAATATAATGGAAAACATGTTATTCACCCCATGGACAATGGTTTAATAATAAGCTTATATGGCTTCCTAAACATAAGCTTAGGAAAGCACATTCTGAATTAAGGCTTTCCTTTATATCGAGCAGACTATTGAACAGCACATGGATTTGCCATCTCGCTCTGACAATGATACATCAATTTGCCTGTGCTGTAAGGGCATTAAAACCTCAACATTTCAAGGCTGAGAAGCTATGACCACAATGCGATGTTCCTTTTAGCACAGTTGGAGGAAGAGAAAATCTTTAATTCAGCAGCAGTCAGAAGCCACGACTACTGTGCATGTGATACATGGAAAAAGTGTAATAAGCTAGTCTTGTCTCAAGGGTAGGCTGTGGTTTAAAATAACTTGTTAGAGGATCTGAACCTTGTCTCTACCGACAATTTGTCTTTAAGCCAAGTTGAAATTGTATATATATATATATATATATATGGGCTGTGGGTTTTTTAAACAATGCTCCATTATACAGTACGAAGGGACCCAAAGAGTTTCAAGAAAATACTTTCTTGATAAGAAAACTATAATAATAAAAAAATAAGAAAACTTTCGACGCGTGTGTTCACCTTGGTGGTAACGAGTGGCTATTTGAGTTATCAGAACAATCCAGTCCAGCCATTCTCCTCTGACACCATCAGGCATTTTCACCCACATAACTACCCCTCACTGGATCTTTTCTCTTTTTCTGACAATTTCAGACAAACTAGAAATTCTTTTACATAAAAAACCCAGTATAACAGCAGTTTCTGCCATACTCCGATCAGCCCACCTGGCACCAACAACCATGCCTCTTTCAAACTCATGGTTGTTGGTGCCAGATGGCACTGTTTTCTATATATATATATATATATATATATATATATATATATATATATGAAGAGTTCAGATGCAAAAGCCTCTAAATGCCATTTGAAATTTTCTTCTTTAAAGATGATTTTTATCAAACTTGTATATTTAAGTTCAGTGATTTCACTTAAATGCCAATGATAATTGCCTATTAATGGTTATTTAAGTGAAATTAATGAAATAAAATATACAACCCGAATTCCAGAAAAGTTGGGACGTTTTTTAAATTTGAATAAAATGAAAACTATACGACTTTCAAATCACATGAGCAAATATTTTATTCACAATAGAACATATATAATATAACAAATGTTTAAATGGAGAAATTTTACACTTTAGTCCACTAAATGAGCTCATTTCAAATTTGATGCCTGCTACAGGTCTCAAAATAGTTGGGACGGGGACAACAAATGGTTGAAAAAGCAAGAAATTTAGAAAGGATTCAGGTGGGAGAACATCTATAGCAACTAATTAAGTTGATATCAGGTCTGTAACATGATTAAAGGGATGTCTTAGAGAGGTAGAGTCTCTCAGAAGTAAAGATGGGCAGAGGCTCTCCAATCTGTGAAAGAGTGCGTAAAAAGATTGTGGAACACTTTAAAAACAGTGTTCCTCAACATCAAATTGCAAAGGCTTTGCAAATCTCATCATCTACAGTGCACAACATCATCAAAAGATTCAGAGAAACTGGAGAAATCTCTGTGCGTAAGGGACAAAGGCGAAGACCTTTATTGGATGCCCGTGGTCTTCGGGCCCTCAGACTACACTGCATCACTCATCGGCATGATTGTGTGAATGATATTACTAAATAGGCCCAGGAATACTTCCAGAAACCACTGTCGGTAAACACAATCCGCCGTGCCATCTCCAGATGCCAACTAAAGCTCTATCATGCAAAAAGGAAGCCATATGTGAACATGGTCCAGAAGCGCCGTCGTGTCCTGTGGGCCAAGGCTCATTTAAAATGGACTATTTCAAAGTGGAAAAGTATTCTATGGTCAAACGAGTCCAAATTTGACATTTTTGTTGGAAATCACGGACGCCGTGTCCTCCGGACAAAAGAAGAGGGAGACCTTCCATCGTGTTATCAGCGTTCAGTTCAAAAGCCAGCATCTCTGATGGTATGGGGGTGCATAAGTGCATACGGTATGGGCAGCTTGCATGTTTTGGGAGGCACTATGAATGCTGAAAGCTATATAAAGGTTTTAGAGCAACATATGCTCCCCTCCAGACAACGTCTATTTCAGGGAAGGCCTTGTGTATTTCAGCAGGACAATGCAAAACCACATACTGCAGATATTACAACAGCATGGCTTCGTCGTAGAAGAGTCCGGGTTCTGAATTGGCCTTGCCTGCAGTCCAGATCTTTCACCTATAGAGAACATTTGGCGCATCATTAAACGAAAAATGCGTCAAAGGCGACCACGAACACTTCAGCAGCTGGAAACCTATATAAGGCAAGAATGGGACCAAATTCCAACACCAAAACTCCAGACACTCATAAACTCGATGCCCAGACGTCTTCATACTGTTTTGAAAAGAAGAGGAGATGTTGCACCATGGTAAACGTGTCCCCGTCCCAACTATTTTGAGACATGTAGCAGGCATCAAATTTGAAATGAGCTCATTTAGTGGATAAAAGTGTACAATTTCTCCGTTTAAACATTTGTTATGTTATCTATGTTCTATTGTGAATAAAATATTGGCTCATGTGATTTGAAAGTCGTATAGTTTTAATTTTATTCAAATTTAAAAAACGTCCCAACTTTTCTGGAATTCGGGTTGTACAAGTTTGATAAAAATCATCATTAAAGTAGAAAATTTCAAATGGCATTTAGAGGCTTTTGCATCTGAACTCTTCATATATATATATATAGACATATATATATATATAGACATATATATATATATATATATAGACAATATAAATATATATATATATATAAACACACAAATATATATATTTGTGTGTGTGTGTATATATATATGTGTATATATATATATATATATATATATATATATATGCACATTGCACACACACACACACACACACACACATATATATAAAATACAACAATGTAAATTAGTAATACCATTTTTTTGTGTAAACTTTTGCTTACTCTATGCAATTTTTTTTGCTATACATCATGCCACAAAGAAGTTATTAGGTGAAAATTTAGTTCACTTATTGTCCTATTTTTGCACAGTAAACGGCTGATAAATAATTTTAGCATGGGAAATGCTAATATGTAAACAAATAAAATAAACCCACCGTACTGTTTCCCAACACTGTCTGATAGATTTCTTGAAATCTTAATTTAAGAGCACCTTTTCAAAAGGCACTAAATTGAATTTCACAGAATGACCCATAACATTTGCAGCATAGACCTAGTGTATGGTGGGCAGCACAAATATACCACAAATGTTTTAAGCAGGCTACTTTTTACCATTTATACATAAAACAGTCCCTGTTTTTTGTTTCCAGTCCAGATGAAAGCAGATCAACACAACTGTAGTTCCTTCCTCTCATCTAAACTTATCTTCCGTCAAGCAAAAGATTGATACATAGCACAAATTACGCATTTTACCATAGCCCTCTATTATCCAGCTGCAGAACGACAGCACCAGACCAGCAGCCACAGGACAGAAGTGAGAGGCAGAACTTACAGTAAAACGTGAAAATGACTCATTTAATAAAAGAACGATGTGTATGTTTGCGCAATCGGAGATTGGCGAAATCATTAACTGCATAAGCTCTTGTATACTGGTTTGAAATGGCTGGAGCTGCAGTTCTGCAGCTGGATGTATCTCTAGCCCTCCAACCTTCATTTGAACAAATTCTGTTAAGCACACCCCCTTCTGGCACAAAAACTCATTACAGAATGAAAGCGCCAAAGTTGTTTTTCTACAAATGGTAAAAAAAAAAAAAAAAAAACATTCCCCCCAAAAAATACCAAAAACAAACACTCCTTCACCCAGATTCCAATTCCCTCAAAACACACTCTAAGCAACTTGATAATTTTTTATTATTTGCAATGTTTCATCTCTCCAACGTTTCCAGTTTGATGTGAAAGCATTTAATTCCTTAAATAATAAAGAGCGCAAAAAAATATTTACACATTTTTTTTCAATAAAACTAATCAATGGATCATTGTAAGCACCTCTTACCATCTGGAAGAAAACAAATCTTAAATACAGGGAAACAGCCATTGTTTTTGGAAAAAAATAAATGGCATTACATCGGATTTTTAAACTTTTAATTTCTGGAAAAGAAAAAAAAAAAGATAAAAAAAGGAAAAAAACAAAACAAAACAAAAAACACATTTCCATATGTATGTGCAGAACGCTCCTGAAATGTATTTCCACTTTGCAAGTAGAAAAGGCTTTAGGATCATTACTGTCATTTCATCAAGTTGATTTTTCTATATGCTTCAAGTTTTAATGATTTCTCTTAAAATTCCACTGCAGGCTTGCTTAAGTAGGGCTTCCGTGAAAGACCCCATCAGTTCTTCAAGAGAGGTAAGACGCAAAAGTGTGGGGTAGGAAGCAGGATGGCTTCATAGGAAGCATGTTGGACCCCCCCTCCTCATCCAGCAGTACTAAGGTCAAAAAGGTCAAAGTCCATCCAAGACCATCATCCTGAAGTTCAACAGGTCCACCCCTTACTAAAGGATACAGGAAGCAAAAAAGGGCGAAATACAAACGCTACGCAAATTTCATCCGTCACTTAGAGAATTCAAATACTAAGCTCATATACTTTTGTCTTTGCAGATTTAAAAACATGACTCCTCTCGCACACGAAAGAAAAACTTCTGTAAGAGCTCCGTGTTTGATCTGAAATTACAAACCTAAAGGACATGATCGCCATCAAGCCCTCTATACAATATATGACATCCTGTCTGGTCCGTCATATACCACGTTGCATATAAATCTATATTAACATGTAAGAGCAGCGTTGGTTTGTACTTTATCCCCCAAGATTTCTCATAAAAAATAAATGACGATGAATTGTTAACAAGTTTAAGCAGTCCTGCGGATTTTTTTTTTTTTTAATTTTATGATTTTTGGTGGACGTCAGCCACAAGAGATATAGAGAGCAAAAGAAATGACTGAGAAATGATTGTAGTTTGTATCTGTCAAGAGCCACCCTGAACAGATAAGATTGGCTTCGTGAGGACCAAGTTCAACTTTGTTGTCAGATATCCTCCTCAGTCCCTGGCAGCGGTTTCTTCTCCAGTGCTACCTGGGCTAGCAAAGTTCAGGATTAGCTGTTGTCAGATTCGGACTCAGCCTCCCGCAACCATGTGAAGAAGGCAGTGACTGACTTCAGGGCCACACCCTTTCCCAGCTGCTCCGCCGGGTCTTTACTGGACTCCCATTTGTAGAAGGCATCCTCTTTGATCACGTCCTCGTCGTACAGCGCGTCGAAAAACATGCGCAGTAAATCTGGGTAAAACAGAGAAAACGCTAGTCAACTACACTTAACAAAAGGAGTTTAAAATGCCAACAGCAGCAAGACATTTTAAAAGTTAATAAGATAAAGACATTAACATTCAGCAAGAATGCATTTAATCAGTGGTCGCCAACCTGCCGATCGCGGTATTTAGTTTAATGTTGGAAGATCTCTCTTCCTTTATTCCAGCCATCCACACAAACCGCATTACAATCGTTTTCCGAAATGTAATTTGTGAAAATATTACATAATATTATATTTGTTTTCCTGTTGTATAAAGTCGTGTTTATAAGCACAGCTGCTTTTTTACAGCAGTGCCCAAAGAAATGCTTCTTCCCCCATAAGTGCCACCTGGTGTCCTAGAGTGCATAAAACCAAAACAGAGCAAATAGAGAATGGTGCGATTTTAGCTTTGGGAAATTGTTACATTACATTTTCATTCAGTCCAGCTAAGTAGTGAAATCATGCAATCTAATTTCTCTCAAAACAACTGATTCCAAATGTAACAAAGATGCTACACACAAATGTAGCATGAGCTACATTTGTGTATAGCATCTTTGTTTGGATTGTGATTAAAATGCAGTGGTTGCCTTTAAAAAAACTGCAGCCATTTGAAAGTGAAGGCAAATTAACAAAAACTTGCTTAAAAGATAAAGTAAAAAAAAAAAAAAAAATGGAATCAGCAATGAAAAATCTATAGGTCAATCTTGCCTCTTCAAGAGAAGTTTGGTGACCACTGCATTAAATTAATCAAAAGTGACAGAAAATACATTTAAATTAATCTCCATTTTAAATGAAAGCTGTTCTTTTGAACTATAAAAAAAAAAATTGTTTGCACAAAATATTAGCAATTGTCTTGATTTCTGAAGATTCATGATAAGAATCATAAATGAAGTTATTTATTTGTTGAAAATTCAGCTTTGCAATCACATAAATCTTCACTTATGAAAATATATTTTTTATAATAAACATTTATTTTAGATTGTAATATTGACCACAATGTTACTGGTTTTATTGTATTCTTGATCATATAAAAGCAGCCTTAGTGAGCACTTTCAAAAACATTCAAATAAATCTTACTGACCCCAAACTCTTGAAAAGCAATGTATCTCCAAAAAAAAAGGGGTAAATAAATGACTAAATTACTTCATATTCACAATAGATTAACAATACAACACAATTAAACCAAGTCATTAAAGCTGAACCCCCAAGGAAGAAAAAAAACCAAAACAGCACTCACTGGCCGGCTGCTCCATCTGCACCATGAGAGCCTGGAGAGCGTAGAGTGCCTGCAGCTCCTTCGTTTCATCAGAGAGGTACTTGTGCAGCAGCTTGGCCCTTTGGGTAATCTGCTCCCCATCCACCTTGTAGGGGTTCTCACCTTCAACAGTTCATTTATGCACACAATTAACATCAAGTACAAGCAAGTGAAATATCAGGTCTGAAGTCAAACTAAAGTGAGGGATGTGGATTGTAGAGCCCGACCGATAAAGGATTTTAAAGACCGATACAAATATTTTTGGGTTTTAGAATCCGATATATCGGCCAATATTTTATTTATTTATTTATTTTAAACTGGACATGATAGTCACAAATTTTGTCATGCTTATTTGAGTTAAGAGAACTGATGGGGATGTTCTTTTACTTGTTATTCAAGCAATGTATGTCTCATGACCAATTCAACGAGTGTTGCCAACAGGAAACAGTAGAGTGCCCTCTGGTGGACAAACTATACAACTCCAACACTCATGACATGGTTCAAGTGTGTTTCGTCCGTTTTTATTTTATTTAAATATTCATTTATCGGCCATTATAACTGTCGATACCGATAGTTTGGAAAATGCCTAATATCGGCCGATAATATCGGTCTGCCGATATATCGGTCTGGCTCTAGATTGCATTTGAGGCTCTAGATTGCATTTGATGGATTCACTCACAGATGATGGCAGACTGACACACAGATGTCATCAGGGCCCGCAAAAACTGATTGGAGCTCATCTTCTGCTCATCCAGGTTAGCCTTTAAAGGAGAAAAACACCAGTCAGTACATGTCCCATGCGAATAATCTTGTACCCATAATGCGGATCGCTGCAATAAGGCCTTGAACCACAGCCCAAAGCACACAAGCTCACCTCAACCCAGTCATAGATCCTCTGGTTGTTGGCTTTTTCCTGTAACAATCTGTCCAAATGTTTACTCAGCTCCTCAGCAGTCAGTTCTTTCTTACTGGGCTTCTCAGACTCCTCACCCAGAGTAAACTCCATTTTCTACAAATATGGCATTAAGAACCATCAGACTCATGAAGACATGGCAGCATAAAGATATGGTGTGTGGGTGCATAAGCAAGCATAGAAAAAATATAAAAATATTACTGCAAGAAAAATTAAACCAAGATTAGGAAAAATACATTTCTAGCAAACGTGCAGTGATGTTTGACCACAACAATGGCTCCCACCCTTTTTAATCTTTTTACTTTTAGCATGTTTAGCTTTCAGTACCTTCTCTGTAACAAACTTATTGACATCCTCATCTTCAAGTAGAAATTCTTTCCAGCTGAGTCCCGCCTCAAACCACATCGCTCCAGCCTTTTTGTGACTCTGCAATTTCAGAATTGATTTTATTTATTTTCTTCTCTGAAATATTTTCAGTGTATGCAAATATCGTATTCGTCAAGCATTTGCCATAGCAAGATACTCACCAGTTCTTTGCAGAGAAGGTTAAGTATTTCAACAAGCAAGATTGCTGCTTTGCCAATAGGCAGAAGAGGTTTGGCCACTTCTCTGTGGACGGTATGATTTAAAAAGTTCAGATGGTGTGTACATGCTTTATAGTCTTTGCATACATGTATCTGAGTCAGTGACTAACCTGAAGAGCTGACCCATGGGGATGCCCCCCTCTTGCAACATGGGTGTGATGATCTCAGCCAAGTAGAGCCAAATGTGAGGAATGTCAATCGCCATATCATCTGCAATCTCCAGAATGTCCTGAAGTCTACAGTGGGTAAAATTAGACAATCAAATCAGGCGCACAGAAATATTTTTTATAAAAACTAACCTAAAACCGAAATAAAAGCATAAAAACTACTAAAAATCAAATAAATTAAATCTAAATGTATAATAAATAAATACATTTAAAAAAAAATTAAGACAAAGGCTCAATTACTACAGCTTAAACTAATGAAAAGAAAGCTAAAAATATGCAAATTAAAGCAAATTTTACAAAAATACTAAAATAATGGTTTTGATAGCATTAGCTGTTATATTGTTTATGGAATTTATTTCAACTAAAGCAAACATGCTAAATTAGAGCAAAGAAAAAAAACATTTGCTGTTGTCATCATGTAACATTGTTGAACCGTATTATTGTTCAGAATAATTAACCCTCAAACCGTATTCACTTTATAGCCCTTAAACCTGTAATTGTGGACAAATGTGGGCACAGAGGACTAAAAATAAATCAAAACTATTTCGCTCACATTTGTCCAGAATACGGGTTCAGGGTTAACTGGGTATGAACTTACCCTTTGTAGTACTGCTCAGGAAGTAGTAATGCAGCAGTAACAAGCTTCTGAAACAGCAGGCCAACATGCTCTCTAGCGATGGTGCTGCGCTCCAGTGTGGACTCCACACCGTTCCGTACAAACACGAAGAGCAGAGAGGCGCTGTTCAGCTCCTGCACACACTGCACTGCCTCCTACAGACAAGTAATGAGAATAACATCAGGGGCCAGGGTAAATTTACAGGTTTAAATTGATACAGAAATGCATCATCTTTATCAAACTTTTTTTTTTTTTTTCTATGCAATGGGTCCTCAGTTCCACAATCCCATCAGGTACCCAAAATGAGGGTGAACAGCAGGCCAAACTTTCACTTTATGATAAAGTGCATCTGGATTTACATACCTTCAGGTCATTGATGTGGAGATACTCCTCAATGATGGCTTTGGACTTCTTGTCCAGCTCTTCCTCACTCAGGGCAGGTTTGGCTGGAGCAGGAGGCGGTGGAGCAGGAACTGAAATTGGCTTCACTAGGAAACCCAAGCAGGTAAAGAAGCCATTCATTTATGAATCAACTCAAACATTTGTATTGCTGGTGCAGCTCATGACAGGTTTTCACAGGCTGGTTGACTCTCACCTGTCTCTTTGCTTCTATCGCGCTCCCGACTGCCTCGGTCGCGGTTCTCCGTCATGCTGGAGACGCGTCGTACAGAATCTGGTGGTCCGCGGTTGTCGCCTCCTCTGCGCTCTTCATTTTCACGGCTAAAGCTGCGTTTGGTGATGGGCTGACGAGGTCTGTCTGGGCCTCGGTCCCGGTCTTCCCGCCTATCAAATCGGTCAAATCGATCTCGGTCATTGCGTTCTCGGTCACGGTCACTGCGATCTCTGTCGCTACGGTCCCTACTAGAACTGTTTCTACATAGGAGATGGGCATACAAAAAAACGTATTAGATGATTACCATGCAACACTGATGTTAACACTCATTTGAACAACAAAAAGCTCTTCAAAACTGTACCTTTGAGGCACTCTACGATCAGAGTCAAGTGAGGAAGAGGATGATGAGGCTTGTCCAGACTGCTGCAATGCAGAGAAGCGGTTGAGTGTGCTAGTGGCAGGTCTCCCCTGGTCTGCACAATATTAAAAAGGACAGCATTAGAGTTGAATTTACAATGAAACAGACAACTAGATTTTTAGATTTTCTGTAAAAAATGAGTGATGTTTGCCCACACGAAAGTTACGCTTGTGGGGTTGACAACTAGCTCAAGTAAAAAGAGACCACCAAGTCTGCAAGACATTCTGGTTTCTAGATTAAACTCGTGCCCCTTTGTCACAGAGTAAACCAGTGCTTGTAAAGCAAATCTACTCAAACTTCCAAGAGGGCCTTAAAACGGCTTCAAATTAGGGCTGCATGTTTAATTTGCAATTTTACATGTCAACGCACTTAAATCTTGATGGCTTATCGCCATTTGGAAATCGCAAAGATTAATAAAATCGATTAATTTTGCCAAAACTAACATTTAAATAAGCCAACACAACTTAACTAAAGCCTTGTGACATTAAAATAAGAAATATTTTCTTTTACCCCCCTTTTTTTTTTAATCACTCACGTCCGTTGCCTTCGTATGCAGCTATCTAATCCATCTATGATATGAATAAAGAGCTGGTATTCTCTTCTGTGTGAGGTTCAAGTTAAAAAAAGGTGGAATACGACATCTGGGAAAAAGCTAGCTTTAGCCTGATAGCACTAAAAGCATACGCCCCACCCTCCCAGCAAATCAACGTCCAAAGCCATTCCCTCCTGAAAGCATGAATGCAGACAGCCAATAAGACCAGAGACTATGTTACTGCAATACATCATGTGTCCTTCACCAGTAAGTAGACTTTACAGTGCAGACAGTGAGTAACATTACTACAATAAACAAATTGTAAACAAATTCTTAAAAAGGGAATTAGATGCAGCAAGTTTTCGGTTTGTTTAGCGAGCAAAACTAGCCAGAGGTACCACAATGAGAGTCTGGTTGTTGCAGCTTGCCATTGTCACTGTCTGCACAGCGTACGTGAACGCGCTGATGACTTATGTCGGGGTGAACAGCCTGTGCAGTGGTAAACAAACACCCATTGACCGACAGAGGACACATGCTATAGCAGTGGTTCTCAAACTTTTTCAGGAGGAGGCCCCCTTGTGTAGGGTGAATCCTTTTGTGGCCCCCCAAAAGAAAACTCATAACGAAAACATCCTCAAACGTACAATTTTACTTACAAATTTTAGATTGTACCAAAAACAAATGAATTTGTACAATGCTGGAACAGTTCTGTTTGTAGCTTTATGTCTTTGAATATACAAAATTAGTTAAATTGTACATTTCATTAAATATAACAATTTTTTATAAAAAATGGTTTTGACAGTTAACAGTAATATTGTCTGAAAAGTGCAACAAAAGTATTGAATACTGAACATTTGTGATGTTCATAGTAAAAGATGAACACTGAAAAATTAATTTGCTGATTGTAAAAAAGTGCATTAAACTTCTTACATTTTAGGTAGTAAATGACAGAGGCTCAAGTTTGGTTTGCAAATTTAAACAGCAATCTGTTTTTTCAGCAAGAAACAAAAAAAAAAAAAAATTCTACTCTACTTAAAGAAATACTTTTTCAATATAGAAGACATACAATTTTATACAAGTTTTACAATATAAAAGAAATCATGCAATGCAGATTTCACATAGGACAATCCAAACTTGCATACAGGTAAAATAATTTTTTTTTAAAAATTTCATATTCTAGAATTTCTTTGCGGCCCCCCTAGCGCCATCTAGTGGCCCCCAGTTTGAGAACCGCTGTGCTATAGGACCGTTCGGACCGAACGCAACGATTAAACAAACATTCTATGGTCCTACGCCTTCCACAGATGGCATATATTTAGACCGCTTAACAGAGTGATATGAGGAGACTTACAACCAGCATAATTTAATTAAGCACCTTTAATTAAAACTGGGCAAACTCACCTTGATCTGCAGTGGCCTTGGGTCCTGTGCCTCCAGTGCCTCCACTGCTCCCCTTGCCCCAGCTACCCCATGAGCCCTTTCCTCCTGGGGCCAACAGCTGGTTGCTGAAATCACCAGGCTGAAGACAGGAAAATTGACAATCAAACAACCGAAAACATTATGCCATGAATTTCAAATTAAAAGAAAAAAGGTCAAAAATTCACCTTAGTAATTTTACTAAGGCGGCTGGTGTCAATCGGTCTATTCTTAGTGGAAATAGGCACTATGTTCCAGCCCTCGTCCTGGGTCTGGCTACCACGGCCCCCTGAGGAGTGCTGCCCACCACCACCACCACCACCACCACCTCCACCACCACCACCACGGCCCCCTCGACCCTGACTAGAGTCTTTCTTGGAAAGCAGCTGTTGTTGGACTTTGATTTGCTCTCTGTGTTCTTCCAACTCAGCCTCTTTGTGGATCTGATCAATGGTCTTGGGACCGAGATCTCCTCTCCTGGGCACCCAGTTGTTCTGTGACAGGGACCATATGCACAGTTAAAAGAGTGAGGAAATAAGTGCGAGAAAAACTGGAAACGACTTTATTTACATAAAAAAACGTGATGTTTTTAAATGAAAAGAAAAATATTTCTTAAACCAAGTATGATGTTACCTTTCGGAGATCTAATACATCCTGTAGCATGAAGCGGATTCTAGAAGAGGTCTTCTTTTCTTTAATGATCTTTTCCATCTGGTGGAAGTACTGATCCATACGAGGCTGTACATAAAAGAACAATATTATGTAATGACTAAACGTAAACAAGTGAAGACTGTCACAACTTAAATTTATAATGTTCTATTGTGTAGCGTTTAAAAAAATGAATTTACTTTTTAGTATTGCTATATAGACTATCTTGCAGCTGTTCCTATATCCAATAAACCATTTGTCTGTTGCATTTGGCAATCCAGAAAAGAGATCTCTCTCACGAACACCACTGCTTAATTAGTGAGGATGGCCGAGATAAGTTAAGTTTAGTCTGGTTACACTCTAGGGTGGAGATGTTAAACTAATTTTATTTTTTATTTCAATTTTGGGTTCCAGTGATTATAAAAAAAGATGCGAGGTAAAAAATTAAAATAAATAAATAAATTAAAAACTAGCTGCGTTCCGTCTAGCTTAACTTCCATCTCCTCACGGCGGTGCGCTGTCATTTCTCTCTAAAACCCAAACTTAATGTCGGAATCAGCACAATCAGTGATTGCAGTAAAATGCAGTCTCCAGGTTGCTAAATTCCGGGACGTGTTTGAAAATTTAAAAAAAAAAGAGCTAATAAAAACCACAACAATCCATGCAGTTTCCAACCTTCAATGATGTGCGCTCCAAAAAGGACAGGCAACATGTCAAAGATGGGTGTAAATCGTTGGGAGAAAGACTAAAATAACTGGCTGTAGAAGTGTTTTTCAGAGAAAGATAATGTGAACTCAAAGGCAAACATATTATGGTATATTTATGCCAACTAAAAAAAAAAGTTACATACCGCACCTTTAAAGTGGCAGCAGTCTAATTGACGGTTGTGAATTAAACAATAAAAGGCAGAGCAGATTACTCAGTTCCTGAATTAATAACTTTAGCTTTAATAAGTATTAATATATCCATTTATGCAGTGAAAATTGTGAATTTTTTATTTGTTCTTTAATTATGGAGTGTTTACTTTAATAATGCTTGAAATTTATTAGGTAGGCTAGTGTTTTTTTATATGATATTTTTAAACCAGTCAAATGTTCCTTGCGTAAGTGTTCAACATGATATTCAGCTACAATTAAAATTCTCTCAATTGGACTAAATGGGAATGATATTTAAGTTTTTTTTTTTTTACCTTATAGGAATCGAAATTAGGATCGATAAGAATCGGATCAGATAAGCAGAAAAAACGTTAAAATTAGAACGATACCAACCCTAAAAAACATGTTAGATTATAAAGCAAGGTTTATTATGTTCTTAATTTGTTTTGTTTTTATAAATAAATATAACAAAGAACTGACAAGAATACTGTATAGAATAAGTATAGGATCGATAAGCAGTATCGGTTAGAGTAGCTCATAACTCAAACTCCTCAGAGTTCTGATGAATATTTGATTCTGATTGGTCAAATCACATCATTTTGCAAAAGTACAAACTGTGCTGTACCTTGGCCTTCTCAAAGTCTAGGTCTTTGCCAATGGTGGACAGCAGCCGGCAAAGGCACTCTAAGCTCTCCTCATCATGGTTCTTCAAGAGCTTGACAATGCAGTCATGCATGATGGGCTCTGTCAGCATTTTCAGTTTGAACAGCTCTCCGATGAACTTGATGTTTCCAAGGGACCGTCTACGTGCCTTGTCCTTGGCCTCCACCAGCTCCTCATTCAGTCGCTGACGCTCCTCTTCCTATGGAAAAACCACCCAAATAGTTTTAATTTTAATTTAACATAACTATTTGATAAACCTCTAGATAAATGTGGCGAGACGTCACCTCAGTGGAAGCATCCAACTCTTTCTGTTTCTGCTCAAAGATCTCGTCATCATCCTTGTCCTTTTCAAACTCTTTTTGACAGCGATTGAGCAGTAGTTTACGGAAATTCACAGTGACTCCCGGTTTGTCCGAAGTGGGCACTTTAAGCTGGAAAACAGATAATTGAAAACGCACTTAGATATTTTAGAATAATAGTTTATAAATCATTTCAGAAACTTCTTAAATTGTAATTATGTCATCACTTACTCAAATATAGCTTAAATGTTCTTGATGCACAAGAACCAATGATTTATTTTTAGCATCATTGTTGTTTACCATATTTGATGTTCTCTGTGTGCACGTGGATTGTTTAAATGTGACTAAAAAGTCAAATTAAATGTGTTCATATTCAAGATGTCTCAAAAGACTTGGATTAAACCACTTGATTCACATAAATTACTAAGAAGTTTCAGTGGAATAGACTTTCATTAAAAACATTGTCTTTGGTGTTTCTCGAAGATGAACAAAGGTCTTATGGGTTTGGAACTAGGGCTGTGACTAACGTTTATTTTGATGATCGATTAACGATTAGTCGATATATTATTTTTTTTATGATTATAAAAATCAATTGTTAAGTCAATTAATCCTTTTGTTAACCTTAATTTAATAAACGTAACTTCTGTCTTTAATCTTTCACCGTTTTATTCAAACATTCTCATACTACTTATTTTACAAATAAAAAAAATTCCTAACATGACAAAAATAAAGCGCCAAGAATTAAAAGGCATTTGTAAGTAATACAAATGACCATGATGGCTGATGGGTTTACTGAGAAAGCAGTTGAGTCCTGAAAACATTCATGTCTCAGTTCAAGAATAAAATACAGGTAAAAACAAAACGCTCTATGAACGCAATCATATTAAATGGCGGTGCCCATAATAGTCATTAGCATCTGCTTTAGAGTCTTGTTTTCCATGCATTCCATGCAAATTGACAGCCCTACTTGGAACGACAAGAAATGTAAAAATTTTGTAATAATTTTAAATAATTTTCTTCATTGAACTACAAGTTTAAGTCCATTAACATCAGCAGAAATGGTCAGTGACTTAACAAATTTAATAGATTTATAAACAGTAAAAGGCTTCTCAGTTCCTCAATACAATCAAGAAAATTTCAGTGGCCCAGACAAACAAAAACAGGTCATCAACGGAGCCAACACCAAAGCAAACATTACTCACCCCCATAAGGCAGCGGCACATGTTGGCATAAGCTACAGAGAAGTTGGGTTCAGAGATGGCTTTCTCGAAGATGAGGTCAATGACACCCTTGAGCCTCTCTTCCGTGTCTATGCTGAGCTCGGTCACCTGCTTCATTAGTTGCTGGAACATCTGTGGCGTGAGCTTGTTAAGGACGCTGCGCACGCGGCGGAACAACTCTTTTGTTTTTGCGGTATCTGAGTCATCTTCCTCCTCCTCTGCTCCACGGCTTCGGACTTGCTTCTTCACCGAAGGCGTCCAAGCGTTCTCAGCCTGGTTGAGTTCCACATTGTCTTTAAGAGACACGCTGGTGATGATCTTGGGGTTGCGATTGATTTGGTCTTTGCCTCGACCTGGCTGAGGGCGCCGTGCAGACTGAGAAGAGTGCTAAAAAACACAAAAATACCTGAACATAAAGCCACATTACATATAACTGACTTTTAAAATCATAATAAAGAACGTCAACTGACCGGTCCACGCCCTCCTCCTCCAGATGATGGCCTACCCAAGTTAGCATACGAAGGTGTGAAATCAGGCCCACAGTTCATCAGACTCCTGGGATCCAATGGCCGTAAGGGGGTTTTATTTGCCTGTTGTGGAAACAGCAAAGAGCAAGGGGGTGTTATCAGTAGGACATAGCTCAGGTTAAATCTGTAAGGTCCAGAAAGATGATTCACCTTGTCCAAGACAACATCACTGATGTGCGGCAAACCCTCTGGCTTGTGCATGCTTGCACTAATGAACTGGAAGCCAAGCAGGAACTCTCGATCATATTGTTTCTTTTCTTCTGGGTTGATGGGCTTCCATTGCTCTATAGGAGGGGGACAATGAAAATAAATAAATAAATAAAGCAGCAGGACAGCCCCATAAACATTTAAAGACATTTAGAGATGGTGAATTTTCCTTGTACAAGACCACCAAAAAGTCTTTAAATGCAACATTTTGGTTTTTATTTTGTGGGAATGCAAAAACTAGCCAAAAGAACATACAACCCATAGCCTTAAAGATTTAAATTTTATTCACTGTTACATAAACAATGCAATTAGAAAGTTAACTTTACTCATGAAAATTAATTAATGTACTAATGTAGCAAGTTTTTACTGTATTTTTGATCAATTAAGTGAAGTTTGTTTATCTATCATTTATCACTTCAGTTAACAAGTATTCTTGTCACTTGATAAACTTAAAGTTGAGCCACTATAGTCACTTAGACTATTTTAACAATGGTTTAATAACTTTCTGGGCCGGCAGGTTTCAATTACAATAGAAGCCTATGGAGGAGTGAGACAACTCTCAAGATTTCATCAAAAATATCTTAATTTGTGTTCCAAAGATGAACGAAAGTCTTACGGGGTTAGAACAACATGAGGGTGAGTAATTACTGACAGAATTTTCATTTTTGGATGAACTAACCCTTTAAGCGAGACTCAATCTGACTTCTAACCTTCTTTATATTGATACTTCTGTTCCACAGGTTTAGATGCCTCAGGTTCAATATTTTCCGTGTCAAGCTTGTCCTCCTTTTCCTCCCATGTTTCTTCCAACTCTTCAGCTGGTGGGGAAGGGGTTGGTGCAGGGGATGGTTCTTTCTGAGCAACCTCTGGCTCAGGAGTAGGTTTTTCCTCCTCTGGCTGAAATCGGTAATGAGGATTCATAAATGCACATGTGTACTCATGCCAAGTCACAGAATGAAACAAAAGGTCTACTGTTGTAAAGCGAAAACGTGCCTAAGTATTATAATTACTACAAACCTCTTTGAAGGCATCTAGGACATCTCCAAAACCTTTGTTATTCAGATCCTTGATCTTCTTTTTCTTCTTTGGCACTACTGTTGCGGCAGCTAAGAAGAGGAAGAGAGAAAGTAAAGTCAAACTTCAACTTGAAAAAGAGAGAAACCAATAAGTGTTGCTCAACTTATTTTCCCACCTTGCATAGTTGTTTCCTCAACAGGGCAGACTGCTACAGGGGCAGGCATCTCCTCTACTTTCTCCTTCTCTGCTTCCTCCACAGGTGCTTTCAAAGCCGTAAGGCAGCTCTGCTGGACCTGAGGAACTGCTTGTTCAGCAACTGGATTAGTGGAGCTCTCTGGCTTCACATCTGAAGCCTCATCAGAATCCTGAGGCAAACCGTTAAGCAAAGGCTGTTCCTTTGGCTCATCAACGACCGGTTCTGGAATGGGTGTCGCCTTGGTTACAGGGGTGGGGTCCTCAGAAGCATCATCACCTTCTTTAGCTACAGCAGGAGAAGGCTCCATGGGAATGGAGGCGACAGCAGCCGGGCTAGAGTTCGATACGACCTCTAATTCAGCCACAGGTTCGAACTCTTTCTCCTTGGCTACCTCTGGCTCATCTTTAGCAACCTCAGTAGAAGTCGGCTCAAGAGGGGAAGCGTCTTCGGGCTCCTCCTGTTGAGTAGGGGGGGCATCAGGGAGCACTGGAGCATCCACACTGTCACCAGTCTGAGGCTCTGAAGGTTGGGGATCGTTTGTGGCAGGAGGGGGAGAAGGAGGGAGTTTGGGGGATAGCGCAGGTTCCTCTGCTGGAGGAATGGGAATCTTGCTCAACGGTGAAACAGGTCTGACCTCTGACATAGGTTTAGAGTCGGCAGCTGGGGCTTGCTCCGGTGTCTTTGATGGAGGGGGGGTGGACACAGCTGCAAGAGGAACTATGGACTTCACTTGATCATCTAAGGAATGGCAGTAAATGGTATAAAATCAGTATAAGCAGGAAGAAACTCAAGCTGACGATTTTACATTCCTAGGGCCGGATTCACTAAATATTCCTAATAAATAACTTAACTGCCATTTTCTAATTTTCTAACTTGGAGATAGTTCACCCAAAAATGAAAATGGTCATTTAATCGCCCTCAAATATTTCTCTGCTAAACCAATATTTTTAAGAATGCTGGTAACCAGACTTGACTTCCACATTAGGAGGAAAAAAGTTAATGGCTAGTCGACTGCCTGGTTACGAAAATTCTTAAAAATATCTTTTGTGTTCAGCAGAAGAAAAACTTATACAGGTTTGGGACATAAAGGCAAGTAATGACTAACATTTATGGGTGAAATATTTTGTATTCCCAAAAACATCTTTGAATATGCTTATCTTTTTCTAAACATTGTTTTAAAAGACAAAACTTGATTTGAATGTTCTGAAAAGACTGTTCCTATAAATCATAACCTCTTAAAAAGGTTTGACAACTTCAAAAAGGCTCTTTTTAGGATTTTTTTTAACTCCCTAATATTTTTACATTTACCAACCAGGATTTTTAACCATCAAATCGGGTCATGGGGTCTATACGACCCCAATCAAATTATACTTAAAAAAAAAAAAATGTTCCCTTCATCTCAGTGGAATAAGATTTTGTGACTTTTCATACATTATCCATCTATACACACACAAAAAAACTGGGCTTGATTCGGTTGTTCTGAAGGCATGTAAAAATAAATAAATAAATGTTTACACTTCTGGTCTTCTGGGTCAACACAATGAAATGAATGGGAAATGGGGAAAAAAACGAAATATATTTTCTTATCAAAAAAAAAAATATATACACAAATTAAGCCTTAGTACTAGAGCATAAATGCAATGTGTCAAAAAATAATATTTCATATGCAAGCTAATGGTGTAGTTGAGGAATTGTGTGGTATATGGATACAAAAGTACGTAATATCTCCAAAACACAGCATTAATGAATAGATGAGAAGTAAACGAAAAAAATGATATATTATTTGTATGATTAAAAATGTATATTTTTTGTACAATTACTCAATCAATTGATGGGGTCGTATAGACCCCGAAGCCCGGAAGTGTAAACAGTAAACGAAGACCATTTGAAGGTTAAAGATGAAAACCTGGTTGGGTGTTTTAAAGAAAACCCACTCACCGGCTCTGATCGTAACAAGCGGAACACTTTCACCATTGGTCTGGACAGGACCTCCCGCCTCTGGACCAATACTCTGAGAAAGAACAAACCGTTTAAAGGATTGGCCTATTTGCCCTCCTCATGTCAAACAGATGAGGACTTCAACAAACCTGCGGAGGTGTGGGCGTGGAGGTCGTTCTCCCTCCAGACATAATCTCCTCTGTGATGTCACGTCCTCCCTGGTTAGGGTCACATATTCTGATCTGTGGAGAAATAACTTGTAAGTCACAGACAAATGAATCAAAACAAAAACACACCAAATGTTGTTGCCATACACACCTGTTTGCGTTCTCTCGGTTTGACGGGTGCCGACTGTGGAGGCGGAGCTTGCTGTGGAGGTGGAGCCGGTTGCTGCTGAGCGGGAGGCATCATGACAGATGTGGCGGAGACTGATGTTGGGTACTGCTGTGTTGCAGGGTAATAGGCAGCCGCTAGACCAATAAAAAAAAAAAGAGACCAGATTAAACGCTAAAATAAGAGTCAGATGTATTGGGAGGGGTGGACCCACATGCAAGTATTCTCACACCCAAAAAAACACTTCCCCTGGAGAAAACGGTGTCTGACAACTCAATACATCTTTCATATGATTCTTGTCAAACAGCTTGAATTACAAAATGACAAAGTGTTCTGGTTTTAAATCCCAGAGAGTTTGCAGCTCTTTTTCTGTCTAGTTCATGGAGCCAAAGGGCGAAGCAAGCACTACATCAAAGGCTACATGCTTTCTGCAGTGTTAAAACATGACCAGCCAGACTGAGACACGGACAAGAGGTGTGACAAACAGCACTGCGCTTCAGACTCACCAGGATAGCGCTGGGAGGTGAGAGGAGCTCCGTGCAGCGAGAGACGTCCGTTCTCTCTGCCTGCACCTCTCCCCGCACCCCCCCGCCTCTCCCTCCCTGCCAGAGAGGGATCTGAACTCAGCCAAAGGAGAGGGGAAGAGAGGAAAGCGAGAACAAGAGAGAGAAAGAGACAAAGGTCGCGAGTGAGTAAGAGGAAACAAGCAGCAGATATAAGTGCTGAACAGGGTTAGTGAGCCAGTAATCTAAGCAGACAGGAAGGGTAGAACTAGGCTCTTAGTAGTTAGTTATGACAGGGATGTTATGATAGATTAACAATAGGTAACTATGGAGAAGGCTTCGAGGTTACAATAATTTACAACAACATATGGAGTTAAGTTCACTAAACAAACATAAGTGTCAAAACGATCATCAAAACGTACAGCTGACAGAATGTTATAATGTGCCATCCTCACGCGAAATGTCACACACTAAAAATAAATTAGCTACAGTGGACAATGAGAAAAAAAAAAAATCCAGAAAAATCACATTGTAGGATTTTTAATGAACTTATTTGAAAATTATCGTGGAAAATAAGTATTTGGTCACCTACAAAAGTCCTTTGTTGTATACCCTTTGTTGGCAATGACAGAGGTCAAACATTTTCTTTTAATCTTCACACACTGTTGCTGGCCCCTAGAGCAGGGATGTTTCTGGGCAACACGGATTTTCAACTCCCTCCAAAGATTTTCTATGGGGTTGAGATCTGGAGACTGGCTAGGCCACTCCAAGACCTTGAAATTCTTCTTACGAAGCCACTCCTTTCGTTGCCCGGGCAGTGTGTTTGGGATCATTGTTATGCTGAAAGACCCAGCTGCGTTTCATGTTGCTGATGGAAGGAGGTTTTCACTTAATCTCATGATACACGGCCCCATTCATTCTTTCCTTTACACGGATCAGTCGTCCTGGTCCCTTTGCAGAAAAATAGCCCCAAAGCATGTTTCCACCCCCATGCTTCACAGTAGGTATGGTGTTCTTTTGGATGCAACTCAGCATTCTTTCTTTGGATGCAACTCCGCATTCTTTCTCCTCCAAACACGACGAGTTGAGTTCTTACCAAAAAGTTCTATTTTGGTTTCATCTGACCACATGACATTCTCCCAAACCTCTTCTGGATCATCCAAATGCTCTCTAGCAAACTTAAGACAGACCTTTACATGTACAGGCCAAACATTTGTATATCTACATTGATTTCTTCATATATATATTCATTTATTTATTCTCAAATCATTTCTCTCTCCATAGCAAGCAAGATTGCTAATGAGTCGAGTCTCACAGAGGATAAGAAGAGTGACGACAGAAGGATGAGAGAGGACCAGGACAGAGGCCTATTGCATGAAGCCAGTTGAACAGAGTTTCAGAGAAGGTTTGGAGTTGAGAAATCCACATAAAGCAAACCTGGTTTAGATCGGGTTCAACGGGCTTACAACACTCTGTACAAATACTGTCAACTCAGGTTTAATCCAAGTTTTGCGATTACCTCTGAAGCGCATGTACCTGATAGTGTCACGTGCAGTGACTAGATTTCTATATTAATGCATGCATTTTATTTATTTTAATTTAAAAGCAAAGTTGTCAATTAATAGAATTCTACATAATTACAATTCATATAATATAAACAAATTATTAGCAGCAAAGCAATTTTGTCTCTAAAATGTTTACACCATAAACTGCTTTAGTTTGGAGTGAAGGATACAGCAGGAGTGGCTTGATTGCATCAGATACCTGTAATTTTGCTCTCACAGCTGATTGGTCGAGTTTTGGCCTGCAATTAATTAATTTATATATATATATATATATATATAAAAAAAAAACTCTTAAAAATATCTTGATTTACAGAAAAGGTTTGGAACATGAATTTGGTGGTGAAATGTCCCATTAAAATTAAAGCATTGGTCTCTAATTCATACTGATTTGGCTTATATGTTTTTCTTTTGATTCTGGAATGAAATTAACCTGTTTTAGTGAGATTCACCCAACGCAAATATTTGTTTCAGAGAACCTCCACACGTCTAAATATTTTTCCAGGAATGTGATGCATGTAATTTTACAGACTGGCGCAAGACCACTTTTGAGCAAAAGGAACAAGTTGCATACGCAAGAAAGAACAGGTTACTGGCACAAGGCACAGTAAAGACAGGGTTGGTACAAACAAAAAGGGGAGGCCTAGAGTCTCTTACCATATGTAGGATATTCGGCTGGACTGCTTCCAGCATAGAAGCCTGCAGTTCCACTGGATACAGAGTATTGCTGGGTCGGGGGCATGTAGGGGGGCCGGTACTACAATAGAAAACAAAAATGTATTAGACAATTGAACAATCATAAAAAAAAGAGCACAACTTAGCTGTTAAGAGAATGATAGAGGTTACCTGTCCATGTAGAAAAAAAGTGTGTCCCTGAGAGTTGGTGAATGGCAACTGTTGCTGGGGAATCATCATAACCTGTGAGGTAGGTTGGTAGACATGAGTGGGTGGAACAGACCGGGGGGTGCTGCTTTGTGGGACCCGAGGGGCGCTGCCTTGCATGTTGGGCCGGTTGGTGTAGTACGGCTTTTGAGGAAATGAGAGTGTCAGAATACAAGCTGCACATGACCAAACATCACATTTTGTGTTTCTTCAAGCTTTAAGGTGCCGTCACACACTGCATTCACATCTATTCATATACATGCATTCTCGGGACCAAATTTTCATCAGCCATTCATCCTTTCTTCAGTGTCATATGATCTTTCGCTCAAACATGCATATTTGGTGCTCAAGAAACATTTCTTATAATGAATTCTGGAAAACATTTGGGCTGCCAAATTTCAGGACTTCTTGATGTATAGACATTTTTAGAAATCTTTTCTGACATTACAAAATGAATCCTTGCTTAATAAAAAATAAATAAAATAAAAATAAATATTTTTTTAGAAAACACCTCACCAACCACAAGTGTAGACTTAAAATAAGTATCAGTTATTATAAGATTAACATATCTAATACTAATATATTAACCCTCTAAGTAAATCACTTGGACTATAACGCTGGGTATCCCATAATTTACTCACCCTCAAGCCATCCTAGGTGTATGGCTTTCTTCTTTCAGCCAATCACATTCAGAGTTATACTACAATATCTGGGGCTCTTACAAGCTTTATAATGGGAGTGACCACTGAAGGCAAAACAAAACACTATTCACAAATTAGAAGTCTAAAACAAGAATTTAAAGAGAAATGTCAGAGGATTTTGATATTTGATGTTTGTTGAACAGCCCTATTTGAACTGCGAGAGGCATTTACTTGCCTAAGCTTATGCTACTCTTACATTCTACGTCAAACATTCAGGTCACTCTTCTGCCAAAACTAGACTCGTGTACTGCCGTTACCGGAAGATAGTGATTATAGTTTCTAAGGTACCATTTAAAATCGAAGGTACCATTCACTCCCAATTAAAAAGCTTGGAAGAGCCAGCATATTTTTTAATACAACTCCAAATGTTTGGCTGAAAGTAGTCAGACAGAAGAAAGCATGTGCTTTATTAGTATTTAATATTTTATTAGCACATGTTATATTAATATTTAATATTTTATTAGCATTGTAGTTAATCTTTTGTTGCAGAAACATTGAATGACCAATAATGTCTCAAACACCACCAACACCCAATAGAAGATTCGCATTCATTCATGGTTGCCACTTCATTCTAATTTGGTTCTTCAGTTGTAATTAATTTCCATCTATAAATAATGCTTGATTGATGCTCCTTAGAAGTTTTGTTTTGCTTTCAAATGACAATCACCTATGAGTCTATCTTTGTAAAAAGCTCATTTTGTGAAGAAAGGCTGATTTGATATGCATGCGCAAGTAAAAAGTGTTTGTTTTTTTGTAGCCCTCAAACCGTATTCATTTTATAGCTGTTAATCCTGTAATTGTGGACAAATGTGGGCAGAGAACACAGGTGTGATCCTAATTTTTGTTTATTAAAAATATTATATCACTGTCTTCGATAAAGTTTTGTCTATCCATTTATGGTGTTTTTTTAATTTTGGGGCTATTTTTGAATTTATTTACTTCAAAAAGTACCATATTTTCTATGTAAATTATTTCTATGTAAATTAATTACTATGTGGTTTTATTTTTTTAACTACATTAAAATATCATTCCAATAAGTTCTTAGAAGATGATGATGAACCTGAAGATGAAATGGAGTTTTTTTTCACCCACTTAACATTGTAGAATTGAGTCTAAAAAAGTGTGTGTGTTCAGGAGGCAAACTTAGGAAAAGTAGCCAAGTCTTGTACCGAAGTATTTTTAAAAAATAAATCAAAACTATTTTTCCCACATTTGTCCAGAATACAGTTTTAGGTTAATACTAGCCAATGGTGATTATATTGCCATGTGCAAAGAGCACTGTATCATTTTTTACAAACGGAAGAGCTCAAGTATTACATTCTGTTGCTGTATTATCTTGAATGTTTAAAGCCTAATGAGACCGTACCTTTTCTCAACATGACACCAGCTCACACCAAGAATTAATGAAATTTACTTTATGGTCCATCTTGCCATGAAATCAAAATGAAAAACACAAATTTCCAGTCTTAATGTGAACGATTCATCAGTTTAACTAGCTCTTCCTGAACATTTTTCTTGTACAATTTAACATGCTCACATACAACAAGAACTCTGGACAGCCTGATTAAAATGGCTGTGAACAGAGCGAGAGAAGAGAGGGCCAGTTACCTGCAGTGGCCTGAATCCACCCTTCAGCCACACAAAATAGCAGAAGAAAGAGTGGAGAAGAGGCGGGAGAGAGAAAGAGACAACAACAAGCAGCAGTAAACATTAGCCATCAGCAGTGAAAGCAAGATTCCCACATGCAACATTAAGAAGAGTCTGTGAAATATAGTGCACAGCAGAGGTCAGTGGCACACAGAAAACAAGGTGTTAATGGTGAACGCCTGAGACTCAAACAACCATTAAAACACATGCAGTCTCTAACAATTATGGATGGGAATCAAAAACGGTTTGCTTTAATTGATTTAACATTAGAGGTTTCATCATGGCATTAGTTTAATCCAACTCAAAACAACAAGATTTCAAGTGGAATGGAAGACAACAGGTTTGTTGCAAAAGTAGTTTACAACTTTTTAAAAAATGTATTTTTAGTGCTTTGAGTGAGACCGGTATGGGTGGTTCAAATGTACTAAAAAAAAAAATTATCGGAACAAGATTCATGAAACATTTGATTCCCAATGAAAACATGGAAAAACCAGAAAGAGGAGCATCTAAATGCAAGACAACCTGTAGTGAATTAGTCTAGGTTTGAGGTTTGTTGTTTTTTTGTACAGACAAGGCTCCAGTTTAGGAAAATTGGTAGTACCTGTTGGTGTAAAGCACGAGGCCCTGGCGCAAACTGGGAGGAAAGTAAAGAGTAAAAGGTCAAAGTTGAGATGCAAAAAGGAGACATACTCTGCCACACATGCAGTTTTTTTCTCCAACACAAGCAGGAATTAGGACACCTAGCTAAGCCACAAAACATACTGAAGGCTTTGTCGGCCGTCAAGACTTTCGAGGCTAGAAGATGGTGTACCTGTCTGGGTTGCGGTGCAGTGTTCATTTGTGGAGATGGTCCGGGATAGACAACCGAATTAGACTGGCCTGGGGGATAGGCACCCTGTAAAAGAAATAAAAACAATGACAATGTTGAATATGTCCAAATTCATGTCCGTAAGAATCTCCGAATTCACTTTCACCTGTGTCAGTCCTGGTGATTGGGAAGGGTGGGGAACTTGGGAGGATCCTGCTATAGGCTGAGGTGGTTTATTCATTTCCTGTGGTTCTGCATGAGGGGGCCTCACACTTGCCTGCCAAACTGGGGAGTCAACAAATCAACAAGGAATAAAGGGATACAAAATTCAGTAGTAGTATCATCTTAGTATTATTGTAATTTCTCTCATTAAATAATACTTGAATATTTGCACTCTTGTAATTCTGTAACCTATCTGAAGACATGGTAGGGTTTGTTACTTTTGCTGTTTGCACCTTGAGAGTATGAATAACTACAGAATCTGTGATAACATTTCAAAATTGTACATAGTTTGAATTATCGTGTTTATTATTGTGACGTTTTCCGGTACAATTATACTATTTTATCATCTGCACTTTTACAGAAGAAATATATATCAGCAACTGGTGTTTGGATTTTTATTGTTTTTGAAATATTAAAAAAAATAAAAAAATAAAAAAAATTCACCTGCCTGTAACTTTCTAGTAATCCTAAAGCCCGCGATTAGCTTGTTCAGGTGTGTTCGATTAGGGTTGAAGCTAAACTCTGTAGGACAGTGGCCCTCAAGGACCAAAGTTGCCCATCACTGTCGGCAGCTTTCCCACGAGTGGGCGTGGTTTCAGCGCAGCCAGCAGACACGCCCCCAGCGTTTGAGAGCAAAGAATAATGCTCATTTTTTTCAATATTTTGATAGCTTTTTTATTAAATTGGCGTTTTTTTTTACTATTCAAATTTGGCTGGGTGGCTAATAACAAATTTTTCAAAACACATACCTAAATTTGACTTTACAGGGACTTTAAGCTAGAATAAAACGTTGCTGTTTATAATCAGCAGCTCTGCTATTTTGATATATTGCATGTTCAGATATTTATAACAAAATATTCTGGGGGCCATGAAAATTGTCTGAAAATTATCAAAAATGCTGGCGGTTGCTGGTAACTTTTCTCTTGGCGGGGAAAGAGTTCAAACATGAGATTTCCATTGCCAATTTATAAAAATGAACTTCAACAGTGAAATATAAATCCTGTACATTTCAAAAGTGAAATATAAATCCTGTACATTTCAAAAAATAATTTGAGAAAACATACCTCTAAATTAGTATTCTGAATCTCTTGGGTATAGACAAGTTCTTGAGTAGTGTGTCCTTTAGCAATTCGCCCTGGAGAGGAACAAAGGGCAATTAGTTTGCTATTAAAGTTTTACACAAAATTTAACAGAAAATCAACAGGTTAGGCAAAACCAGGTCGCAGTCAATTACAATGTTCTGTATTGTAATTGTTTAGGTAATAGAAGAAAATTATCTATCCTGTTAATCAGGGTTCCTGCACACTTTTTAAAGTCAAATTTAAGGCTTTTTAAGACCTGAAGAAATCAAAATTAACACCACACATTAGGGGTGTGCAACATAGACAAAAAACATCGATATTTTCAACGCTTTGTTGATAATTAGATATTTCACTGATTGTGTTTTTGTGCTAGTGCATGGCAGTTTTAGGCCTGTTGTTGACAGCAGACTCACGAAGATATTAACATTTTCGTATTCTATGCAGTGGTCAGCTCACAACAGTCAGTGACAGAAATTAATATTTTTATTCAAGGGCAATATTTGCAACCTTAAATTGATTTCCAGAGGCATTTTCACCTGCATTTTTTTAAACAACGGTTTGACTGAAAAATGTCAAAATTGAAAATCCCGTGGAAACAAAGACACCTACATCTTGGATGCCTCAGGGAGACGCTATCAATATGCGGGAGACTTGGGATGTCTGATGACAGAAAAGCATTTGAATGTAAAAGATGGGAACTATAGGACACAGCAGATATGGGTTACTACTGTAATGATGTACACTGTGTACCTGATTAGACTCCAAGAAAGCTTGAATGAATGATCTCTGCGAACAAGTAAAAGATGGGTGGGGGTCTACTAGTGTCAATTGAGATAAGACCACACCACACCCCACCCCACCCCAAAGATCTCAAACACACAGAGACAGAATGCGCATTTAACACAATCTCCCAGCTCAGCTGAGAAAAGAAGGGAACTGCACAGGAGAGCAGCTGGAGAGCTCAGGCCAGGGGTTATAGAGATGCAGGCTCTTCATTCTAAGAGTGTCTGTCTGCCCCCTGTGACCCACAAACAATAGAGCCTGACTTACTATTCGACTCTGTGTTTTTGATCCCGACAGATGGCAACCAATTAACACCCTTAGACCCTCTGAAAAAGACTTTCTGATTTTCTGGGACACAGCAGACAGGGGAGGATGAGCGATGCTAGGGACCTGAAGCATGTGGAGAATGTGCTTCCTTCAGAGGAAACAGAAGAGCCTCTGACAGATCATCAAGGCCCAACTCCATTAATGAATTTTCACTCTCAAAAGGAAATGGAACAGGAGAACAGATCAAAGAGGCACTGGTCACAGGGCAGGCCAAAAAGCGACAGAGAACATCGAAATAAACACGATAAACATGGGGTGTTTATGGCACGTGGGGGGAAGGGTAGGCCACACGCGTGTTCAATATAACCCGATGCCCAGCCATCCATGACATCCAGATGAAGTGTTTGTTGGGTGATGGGGGGAGGGAGTCCCAGGCTCAGAGTTATGATCAATGCATTTGGGAGAATAGACAAGATACCAATCACGAACTTCCACAAAAGCCATTGTTTCGTATGGCATAAAAATTGTGAAGTACATCACTAAATTTACATATGCTCTCAAATAGGGCTGTGCAATATGGACAAAAATGCAATCACGAGTTTGATTCTTGCAATTTCAATTATAATTTGGGAAACAATATTTTCTTGCACATCCTTGTCTTATTGATGATGACATTTGCGGGCACCATATCTTTGCATAAATAACATTATGGCACTGGACATTTCTTTATACCTTTTTTTATATGTTGTGCAGTTTGCAAATCCCTGTGTATTCACCCGGTTCGGAATGTGTCATTGTTCTACTGTTCTATGCAAGATGGACATCTTTAAAGGGTTAGCTCACCCAAAAAAATGCAATTGAATTTACTGTACTCACTTGACAGGCAAGAACACGTTGTGTGTTTTTCCACAACCATAGTTTGACAGTTCTTGCAAATAACCTGGCTCTATGATACATCTGTCCTGTATCCAAATTATTCCCAAACCACAACATACATTTTTTTGGGCCAAGTCCCTTTCCTGCTCCGAATTCACCTCCTGTTCTCACCGTTTCTGTGCCTTCTTCAATGTCATAACGATAAACCCACTCTGTCCTGTTATCATGCTAGATCTAGGCCCGCTGCATTTAGATTGCACACTTAGTTAAATTATGCTTTTGTGGTTTAGAAACCATGCATCCTCACATACAGACTGTAACGTACGGTTATATCGGCCGCTATTTAGCATTTTTAAATATCGCATCAGCCAATAAGTTTGTCTGTTTAGTCGATATGTCAGTAACAGGACTTATTTTGATGGTGCTAATATGGCCGGCCGTTGCCTGTGCACACAACGCTGTACACAATTCACTGTTAGACAATTACAATTATTATTAGAGAGAATTGTTAAACAATGAAGACAATATTATAGCATATGTTTTTATATCAGCGACAAAAAAAAGCTAACACTCACTATAATTCTCATTTATCATCAGCATTCAGCATGTATCATTTAAATACATTTGAATACCTAATATTTCATTTCTCAAACCTTGTAGACTTTGTCAAAATCAGCTGTGAGATCTTCTGAAGAGTGCATTTGTAGCCTGAATAAACACATGCATCTTGTGCATGACAGTCCGTGCAAATTAAATGTGGATGGGAGGAGACTTCAGCTTCACTGGAGACACACGATCTGCAAACCTTGAACCCTTGATTTCAAACTATATATATTAATATCTATTCAACTAGGTCATATTCATATCATTTTCACTGTGTGCTGCATGTAAAATGAATGTTTCCTTGTCTTAATTTATACATAAAAAATAAAATAAAGACTCCCAATGTGCACAAACTTCACTACTTGATAAGTTTCCTGTTAGTGTTGACTTCCTTTAATTATTTTTTTACAATTTCTTCGTGAAAATACTGTAAGAGTGAGGATTGCATAAAAAAAAGAAGTGCAAGTCTGTTTAAAGCTGGAGTCCGCAGTTTTTCCTCTTCGCCGCAGTTTTTCCTCTTCGTCGCCAGTGACAACTAGAGATTTACAGCGGGTGAATTTTAGTTCACTGATGACTGACGTTTGAACCTTTCTGGATCCGCCATCAAATTGATCACAAGTTATATTAAGTGCTGAGAAAAAAAAGGTATAAATGTCCACCTCCAGCATCCTCACACTCAAAGCCTAGTAAGCCTACTAGCCGAGACTCCCTTATATGTAACAGATGTGACGTAATGGCGCAAAGACATGCTCGAATCTCCGGCAGAAATCCACCAGGAGTCAGGACCACTGGAATTAAAAACATTACAAGCTTTCCATTTTGAATCAAGCTACTGCAAGCAGATAGTTTAACACTGGCTGGTTATGTATTTTCTCAAATATGTATTTTGACTGCAGCTTTAACAAATGTATTTAAATAATTTCTAATTCATGAAATAGTAAGTTAAATATATTCGTTTTAAATAAATTAACAGCCATCTTGTTCTTGGAAAAAAAAACTTTGAAAACTATTGACTGACTTTAGAATTTCTTTTATCTGTTGCAAATTGCATAAACATAGCTACTTCTATGTTAAGTTAGAGTAAAAAGTCTTAGTTTTTAGAATCAAATTATACCAATCTACTTTTTCATGTAAATGAACTTGATAAATTAGATGACTAGATAGTGCTAACTTTATGCAACTGACCAAAAAACAAAAACATCATGAAACACTTGACTCAAAAGGCTCTCTGAGACAACTATTATCTTCAATAATTGTCACAGAGAGCCGTATTTTGCAGATATTTCATTAAAACAATTTGTTGTCATCATTTACACGTTGTTCCAAGCTTAAATAACTTTCTTCTTCATAAAAACAGCAACTTAGATACATTACACATTCACTTTAATTACACCATAAATTAAACAATGAATGGTAACGGAGGATATCATTCTGCATTACATTTTATTTTCCACATAAAAAAAGAGGGTGTATGCGCATTTAAAAAAAAGTTTAGGGTTAACTAGGCCTTTAAGCAACTAAACCCACTATGGTGATTCATAAGACAGAGCCAAGAGTAAATAAACCAAACAGGCCGGTTCAATTATGAAATCCTCAAGATACTAAAACATGAAGTGAATCTCAAAAATCCAAAAACGCTTTAAAAGAAAATGTTTGCATGCTCATTAAGCAAAATACAGGTAAGTTAGAGCATGAAAAATCGCTAGGATAACAGTTTTAAAATTCCCAAGTTTTCTGCACGCTGCACTCCCTGAAGAGTGAGGCAAGCATCGGGCTGCTCCTACAGAGACGTGTCACACCGCAGCCATGATGCTCTGCCGGTGTGGCTAACGGTGCTAGCCTCCATATGGCACTGACGCCTTCACATCCACTCCACTGTATATAACTTAACGTAACAACACGGTTTCATAAACCAAGCCGAGATTTAACCACTTCAACACACCATCCACCAAAACAAAAATCACCTCGATATCCATCTGAGAAAACTATCAAATCAACCAGGGCCTAAATGTGAGGGGAAGTGTCCACTCCACGGCACTAGCTTATTAGCTACCCCCCTTTCTAAATCAATGACATGGTGAAGTAGACGGTCGTTCGGTCGGTAAGATAGTCTCTACGGTTCGTATAACTGTAACTTATCGTATTTAAGACTTCGGTAAAGTTGTGGTCGTTAAGAAAAAACAGAAACGTTACGTCTCACAAACTTATTCTAGCGTCCGCGTGCCGACATTCCTTCTATACGTCACATGAGACATTTAACGGTCACAAAAGCTCTTAAAATACCAGAGAGCAAGCCATCCACAACAGATAGGCCGTGTGAAAATAAACGGGAGGAGACAAAACTGTCCCGAAAAGGTATGTTCTCCAAATTAAAGTGTAATGAATCCCAGAAATGCGAGTAATATGAATTGTGTACACACCTGAAACCCCCAGAAATTCTAGGAAATAACGCACAGGGTATTCATAACTGGCTTACCAGGGAGGGAAAATAGGAAAATAACTGTTGGGAAGTAAAAGGGAACGTGTTAAAAGAAGAAAATGTTTGATATGTGACCTCACATCAAAATTAAACCCGTCGTGAGAATCAATCTAGGCCCGCTTGGCCCCTACGATTATCGGTTTAGACGCGGCTATCAAAGTTAGCATGCATAGGCAATAGGATTTACTCACCCGGCACCGGAGACAAATGGGAAAACTTGAGGGCAAGACTTCGTCAACGTGTTTCTTGAAAGTTTTTTTTAAATTATTTTTCGTTACTGGCACAGGGCGTCTTGGTTTCCACAGGGATATTTAGGTTAATCAAGTGACAAGCGTTGGCTAGCGGCTGACACTTTAGGTTTAAATCCCATGTAGCGTGCAAAGCAAGAAAAAGTGACAGTATGGGGGAAAAGATAATAAAATACAGTTTTCAGATGTTACTACTGACAAAGTTGATGCCCCCAGGACAAGCCTCTTGACTGGAGGTCCATGTTTAAGGCGCGGATGGTGACGGATTGCCGGTAAATTGATCACACTTCTCTTAATAAACGCGATTAGAACGGAGCCATGGTGCTTCGGCGCTTCTCCCCTTGAGCCCGCAGAACCGGACGGAGTGCTCAGTGAGCCGCGTGGGTACTTCCGGGTTAATCAACCCGAGGGCTGCGGGGTCATTCGCCAAGGGTAGAATAAGGCGCTATAATAAAAGTCTTCGGCACACATAAAAAGTGTTTGTTTGTTTATTTATATAGAAAAACAATTAAAACACTCACGTATTGAAATAGCTATTAAAATTACCGTGAGTATAAATCAGTGAGGCAGGAACTTCCTGCTTCGTATTTATTTATAACACGAAATGGAAACAAAACATGAAATACGACATTCAGTATGCAGGTAAATGACCTGCGTGAAATTAATTTATGTAAAATATAAAAATAACATGTTGCCATCAATTAAATTAAATACAAGGAATTGAGCATAAATAAAGCACGAAATGTATTTATTTTTGTACATTTAAAAGCGTCATGAAACAGGCTAAATAGTAACTTTCACTTATTAAAGTTTTGAGGGATAGGCCTACATATCTTGTCAGTAGGCTATAACTTTAAAATTGCATACATTATATATTAAATTATTATCTCTAAGTGTTAAGATTGGGAAATCAATCATTTTTACTTAGCCTACTGGTAATCAGAGCAAGCATAAACATGTTACTCAGATAATGACTGAGCAGTAATTGTTTATCCGAAATATAAAAGTGGTTATGTCCTACATTTATTTGATTAATGAAAGAATCAAGATTAAAATATTAGAAGAAAATATTATAACAACTTAAATAAACCCTTACAAAACACCCATTATCTGGAGTGCCCTAGATCTCCACCAGAGGCTCCACTTCCCAAAACACTCATGTTCTGATTACTAATCGTGATGCTCTGTGACTTTGACCAATTGCCTGCTTTGGAATATTCAGCTGCCAGTTCAGAACCTCCTGGTCTACGACGACCTGAGACAAGACATCCTTTAATGGGTCGGCCTTGTGGTGGCAAGATGTGACAAACCCCAAAGTAATAGAACCAGGCCTCTGGTTGCCACCTTTTTACGACCTAAAAAAAATCTACAAGACCTAAAAATTAAAAACTATTGTAGCCTAAACGTCTGCTCTGCTCTAGCACGAGCTGCAGTTGGACACAGTGCAGCAGGAAGTTCACTGATCACATGATGAGAGATGAGATGACATGGCCAAATAGGCTCAAATCCACGTACAATCACTAGTGATCATTAAATCCCTTTTAACAGTATATTTCACAGACTTAGACAAGTCTTCCTCCCCCCCCCACAAAACCTTTAGTATTAGCATTAGCTACAAACACTGAATTAATACCATATTACATTTAAGTAAAGGAGCTATATCAGATACTTGGGAAAGTTGGACAATAAACAGCAATAGAATAGTTTTACAGTAAACTGGTTTTGCAGTACTATCTTATATTAATGAGCATTAAAGAAAGGCTATGTAAACAAACCAAAAAAACAGCCACTGTCCAAAAGTAGCTAATTATAGGATGACACAGCAATGGATCATGTTCTATAAGATCATCGAGTTTGTAGCATGATCCAGGGAATTAAAACGTCGCCTACAAAATATATCCAAGCCTAGTTGAGTTGGTAACTAATACTTAGTAAATGTGTAAAGTTGAATAAAATGGAAAGTGCCACCTAGTGGCTGTTGCCCCCCAAAAAATCAGAGTTTTGCCTTGTTCTTTGACATGGCGGAGTCTAATCTTGTAGAATCATACATAGACTGTAAAAAATATGGACAAAGCGTATGTGTCCTATGGTGCTTTGCTTTCTAAAGTAAAGTAAATAGAATTTCAGAGGAGCAAACTGTGTCTGGAATCACCTCTCTTTCTATGGTAGGCTCCTGACGAGCTCTCACTAAAGTACGCATGTGTAGGCTATGTCGTGTAATTTATATACGCTAAAGTGAGTTTTTACGTGCATAGGATACGTATGGTTTGTTGGGTAGGTTTAGTGCTGTGGGGTGCGTGTGGAGCCTATGTACGCAAATGAACTGCGTCTCATATGCACGTAAAAACTCATAGCAGAAGGGGCCTTTGTCAGGTTAAGGGTTAGAAAAAGGTGAACAAAACTCACAGCGAGGTAAACGTAACACAATTCACCATTTGAGCATCAATGGTCATGTTACAGATGATTATCAAATTATTTTGCACTTTTGTCAATCTTTACAAATCCAGCTATTGTGCTGATACTGCAACTCTCTTCTTAGACTCCCTAGAAAGTGTAAATTCAATAAGTGCTATAGAAAAAGAGTTTTGTGATCAGGATATAATATTAGAAGGTAGCTGATGCCCCTTTTCTTTTGGAAGTGCTTATCGATAGTATTAAAAACCACAAACTTCCTCAACATTCCTCAAGGAATAATTTCCCTCATTCCAGAACAAAGATTAGCTCTTTATTGACAATTGGCGCCCAATAAGTTTATAATGATTATAAGATTTTGGCTCACATACTCTCCAAGAGTACAAAACATGTGCTCGGTTCTATAATAGATGAGGCTCAATTTGGATTTATCAGTAATAGACACATCAAATAATGTTCAGTTTTAGATATCTTAGATTATTAGTTTAGTTTCTGATTACAGTTTTGTTCTTTTTTTGGATTTGTTTAAAGCTTTCGACATTATAGAGCATGGGTTCATCTTTCAGTGTCTTAGTGCCATAAGAACGTTATACACAAATGGCAGTAGTTCTGTTATCCTAAATCATGGCGCAACCCACCGCTTTGAAATTTCAAGGGGAATAAGGCAGGGCTGCCCCATTTCACAATACCTTTTTCTTCTCGCTGCTCAGCTTCTCTGTGCTCACATAAAAACAGCAATTTGAAAGGAGTAGCTATAGCTGAAAGAGAGGTGATCATCAGTCAGCCTGCTGATGACACAACCCTCTTTCTTAGGGATGCTATGCAGATCTATACATTTGCCTGACTATAATTATGAAACATACTCATAGAAAAAAACTTTTTTTATTTTTTTATTTTAACCACTGTTGTAATAAAACAGAAACCCAATCACATCAATCTCTGCTTTTGAGTGTGAGATTTACCAGCAATGCTACCCTTGTCTTTTATGATTTATAATGACACTACTGCAACATATGCACATCATGTTTCTCTCGTACTGGTAACTTATAAGGAGAAATAGAGTGGATTCAGGGAACATGTCAGACAAAGCTCATATGGTCTGAAGTTGATGTGTATTTCTTTTAGGAACTCAAAATACTATCCAAAGTGCATGCCTTTACCAGATCTGTAAAGAAAAACATTACAATAAATAACTAAGTGGGAATCATTTAAGAAGTCAAAAGCAACAAGACACGGCTATAAAATCTATATTTGGAAATATAGACATATTCTATACCTGGTACACCCTGGCCAGTCTCGTAGGTCTTTTCAATCATTTTTATGTATGGTTCAGTCAGGAATTCCTCCACAGATTTAGTATATTCTTGAAGGCATTTAGTGGAATCGGAGAAAAGGAGGTTTCTTTCACCCTCTGACTTGAACAGGCTGCCTGGAGACTAAAACATGGGGGAGAAAATTTAACGATAAGACAACTTTTCAAAACAGGTCTAGTAACACAAAAGATGCTGCTTTAAATACAAGTAAATGAAACGTATACATGACTGGAGATGTACATGACATCTCCTACCTGTGCCAGTTTCAACATCACAAAAGATAAAATACAGAATCTGTGAAAGAAGAAAACTGAGATCCACAGAAAAATCTACACAGAACTGCAATGAACTCACTTGAGCCGCCAGAACGGTCACCACATCTTTGCGTACATCTTCCCGAGTGATCACAGCATGAGCCGGCACTGTGGCAAGCTTACATTCAGCAAATTCAGAGTATTTGAATGTTCTGTCAGGTGAGTCTGGGCAGATCAGTTCAAATCCTTCTGACATCAGTTTCTTTGCCCATTCTGGTCCTTTACCTAAGTAGATGCCGAGAAGGAACCAAACCATATTTAAAAATATGACACTATGAAAAGTGTGAAGCTTTATTAATCGATGTAAACCACACTAACCATCGGTGTAATCCCCAACAATACTGTGCTTGATAAAAGCAACGTCACCAGCTTTTTCTGCAAGACACCTACAAGAGGAATGAGATTATGCTGTATTTATTATGGATTGGAGTCAGCATATAGATCTAAAAACATTTCCCTTTCCAATCTAGTCTACGGTCCGGTCCACTACCTGAAAGCCCCATCATAGCCATAATATCTCTCTGCAGAAGAGGCTTTGCACTTGCTTATATCTCCACCCACTGGCGACTGACTTCCTATACAGAGTTTACACATGCTTGATTGAGCATCAGCACCAGGAGCGCAGCCTTCACTGAAGAATGTGTCTGAAAAATGACATTATTTTATGCAACTACATGAACTAAATCTGAAAGAATCAATAGAAAACATGAATTAACCAGCTGAGAATACACACTCAGTGATACTCACATAGGCAGTTAGGCGTTTTGCCACATATGACTGAATCTGGGACTTTCCAACCAGCATTGCGATTCAGGCCAGTGTGGCAGGACTTTCTCCCTTTCAGATTACTCCACGTTACACCCGAGCCCTTACGCACAACCGCCACAACATGGTAACTTGAGGGCTCTGTGCACATCACAGAAATGTTCATAGCAGGATTATCGGATCAAGTATAGAATACTGTTCTCGGTTTAGAAAAATGTAATACTTGCCTCCACTATTGGGACAACCATCTGCAAGGAAAGAGAGAATAACATTTTAGGTTTCATCAAACATGTAAATTCTGACTAGTAGGTTTCCTATGAATTGATTCATGTGTTCATACTTACGTTCATCATACTGCTCAACCATGGCTGGAACTAAACCGCACTTTCCAGCAATATATACCTGGCCACCATCAGCTGCAAAGGCATCTGCTTCTCTGCGCTTTAGTGTAAATAAAACAGAATATTAACATACAGGTGGACAGCAAGTAAAGATGATTGACATCAACCTTAGCATTCATCCATGTGACCCAACAATACCATGACTTTCTGGATGCACTCGTCCACAGATGTTGCACTTCTGCACTCCATGATGTCCAACTTGTCACACTTGTCTTTCTCTGCATGGCTAATAGTACACCATCGAATTCTACTTTCCGAGGCCGGTGGTGGCAGGGTCGTAGCTGATGAGAAATGTACACAATATGCAATCATGCTTTAAGTAAATGTCAAGAACTACAATCTTAAGGCCCCAAAAGTGCTTGACACCTAAGTCAGCCTTAAAATGGGGCATCTGCAAATGTTCACAAAAAAAAAAAAAACGTGGTAACTCTTCATTTTACAGTGTCATTGTTACATGTAGTTACTATAGTAATAACTATAAATAAGGCAAAATTACATGCAACCAAACTATAATCCTAACCCTATAAGTAGTTATATAATTAATTACAGTGTAACAAGGGCACTTTAAAATAAGTGTAACCAAAACTCCGAAATAAAATGTATTTTAGCAATTAAAGGGTTAGTTCACCACAAAATGAATTTTCCCCCGTGTGGTTCGAAATCCACAAGACTTTAGTTATTCTTTGAATCATAAATGAAAATATTTTAATGAAATTATAGATTTTTGTCCCTCCATTGACAGCCTACGCCACTACCACTTGGACGATTCAAATAGTTCATAAAGAGATCATAAAAACTAGTCAATATGAATGAAGCTGTTCACTTTACATAATAAACAGATTTAATTTAGGCTTTTATTCACATGTAAACATTCATCAACTCATACATCATCTATGGCAAACAGAAGCCCAAGCATATTCGCTTGACGTGTGAGAACCAATGAGGTTCATTCTCGTGTGTTACGCAGCACGTTTGAGCTTCAGCAAGAACCAATGAGGTTCATTCTGTACTTTTGAGCTTGTTTGTTTATGTTCTGATCAATGTCTATAAGTGAATAAAAGCCTAAATTCAATCTGTTCATCATATAAAGCAATCGAGTCTCTTCAGAAAATAATCATGGTTTAGTTTTTCGATCTACTCCACCGTTTTTATATATTAAACTATGTTATTCCCATACATAACTCTGTCGTCTCAGTGCGTGCGCTCAATCGCTCTGGCGTGCGAGACACTTTCATAGCACTTAACTAGCTCATTTCATTCAACATGGGCCAATCAGAAAAAAGCGACCTACCACCTCCACGTTTTCCCTATTTAAATACAGTTACTCGAGCAGTGTAACTCGACCTAGGACGGTGACACAAAATAAAATGTTGCGCTTTTCTAAGCGTGTAAAATGGATAACTATATCGTATGGCGTAATACCACAGCAAGTGCTTGCGAGTCGGCGTAGTAATATCCGACAGTAATCTCTCAAATTTCATTAAAAACTCCTTCATTTGTGTTCCGAAGATAAACGAAAGTCTTGAGTGTTTAAAATGACACGAGGGTGAGTAATTTATGACAATCCCCCCCCCCCCCCCTTAATGAATGCTAAATAATTCAAATATATGTTGTTTAATGCATGTTTATGTGTAGCTTCATTGTCCCAGTACTTTTTTTAGGGACACTGTATACGTTCACGTGTATTTTAGTATAGTTATGTCACCTTTAAGGAAACGCATGGTCTCATAATAATCATGTCCCAGGTAGAGGAAGGAGTCTGTGATCTTTGGGAGCTCCTCCAGGCCAGTTGCAGAGTCTGAGAAAATCAGGTCTTTAACCCCAAAAGAATCAGAAGTGAAAAGAAATGAACCCTGTTGAACACAACAAGAGGCTTTCATTGTCTCCTGAATTACAGGATGAAATAGAGATTTAGATAAATATTTCACACGTTCCTAAAACAATGGCAGGCTTTCTTTAGTAATAAAGTAGTATGGAGAATTTAAAAGTTACTGATGCAGCATCTATTGCAATGACATACCGAAACCTGTGTAAGGACTTTATAAATGTGCTGTCTATCAGCATCCTTGTGGGCGATGACAGCACGGGGAGGCTCTTTGCCGAAGTGACAGTCCTTGTACTGCTCAACATCTTTCCTAGTGCCGTCCATGCACAACAGCTGGTAGTCCTGTCTCTCGCTCACTTAGGAATTCAGATTCAGATTAGACAAGAAAATCAGCAACCTTAAAATCATAACCTCCTGCCACAACTCTAATATCTTTAACAGTTTGTGGCAGTCGATAATATTTTATATTTTGACAAAAGATATCACTCACCTGGGATTCTATCTTGGCAAATAAATGCAACGTCTGCATCACCCTTTTTCAGGCACCTGGAAAGGATGCATGAGTTATTTTGTTGTTTATACAGAGAGAAGACAATGTAAATATGAGTGTAGTGTGGAATTCTCGTACTCGAAGGCTTTTTGGCCAGCACTCTGTGAGCAGCTGCAGTCACCCTGGCAAGTTGAGCACAGGTTTGGGTGATCGGCTTTTGATATTCCAGGAACACAACTGCGTGAGAAGAACTGTGACACAGCTGGAGAACACAAAAAAAGTGCCCCATCATTCAGTTATACATCAATTACAAAACAATTCACATAACCAAAAATCACATTTAAAGCTGGTCAATCTACCATTTTGAATGAGATTTTTATAGTTTTTCAGTATTTATTTAAATTTTAGTTTGTTTTAACAAGTTTGTTATATGCTTTTGTCATTTTTTTACATTTAATCTTTTTTATTTCAGTTAGCTGCCAAGGCAACATTTTAATTTTAGCGTTATTATCCCATCTTCACACGACTACTCGCCAAATTAATAAATAAATACATAAAATAAAATATTTATTCGATTTTTAATTTTTTAAAATATTTTTTCCTGCATATTATTAAAAAAAAAAAATAGCCCATGCACAGAACAATTGGTCTAGCAATAAGATGAACATTGCAGCAATATAAAAGCATAATGAAGCCCTCAAAAGGCTATTGTTAGAGATACATGAGAGTCAAGATGGCGGCAGTTTTGTGAAACGAGAGTCTGTGGTGTGATACGACGAGAGACACATACGGTAAGTGATTTCAGCAGCATGGATGAGTGGACTGATACACAGCGCATGGACAGTGGTCGATATAAGGAAATACCAGGCCACTGAATGCCAGTATTTCAGAGAGACATATAATAATAATCCACATATGATGTAGAGCCAAACTTACCCTTCTCAAGAGGCATGTCATCAGAACCAGCCCAGTCGATTATCCCGGCTTTAACCAGACTTCCAATAGGTAAATTCCAGGATCCAGGGGATTGATAACAACAGTGGCAGGAAGTTTTTCCCTTGAGATCTTTGATACTGAAGTCAGTGCCACGCTTCACCACAGCTACAGCATAACAAGGCTCTAAAAAGTGAAGCAGAGAGGAGGGGACAGACGCAATTTATTATTAAAGGAAACAAATGGAAACATTTCCTAACATATTGTTAAAGCACAAGTGGAAAACCATGAACATCATAATAATTGTCATTGACATTAATTTGAAAAAGTGTCATTAATGTGAAAGACTGCATCAAAAATTGGTAACATTTAACAAAAAGCTTCCATGTGTTAACATTAACTATATTAGTTGACATGAATTAACAATTAAAAATAGGTCTAAAGCATGTATTAATATTTTCATTGCCACATTTACTAATGCATTATTAAATTCAAAAGTTGTTCTATATCTTATATATTCTTTTATATAGTTGTTAAATATATATATATATATATATTCTTCATCAACACAATCAAATATTTACCTTTTTTACTCTTTTCTGCAATGATAGGACGGAGTTCATGAGGTTTGAGTCCAGCCAAGTAAACCTGTTCTCCATCAACAGTTACAGCATCTGCTTCACCTTCCTGTGAATTATAGACAGTGGAATGAAAATACTATTTAGACAGAACAAAACCCCCAAGGGGGAGTGAGGTAAAATAATATAATTTTTTTTACCCTGATGCTCTTTATGCATTCGGATATAGAAGGCTTGTGAAGACACACAATACTATCAGCTGATTTGATTGCAAGTCGTTCGCATTTATCCAGCTCTTTCTGTGCTTTCACACACCATTTGACTTTCTGAGCCCTGGCTGAGGGCAGTGCCACAACTGCAAAGAAAACAATCAGTGAAAAACACAATGATTAAATCAGAACTGAAGATGAAAATAACAACAATATCAAAGATGAGAATTACCAAGGCAGCCCAGCAACGAGATGAGCAAGATGTTCATATTAGGACTTCACCAGCGATTTCTGGTAGGAAGAGACAGGAGAGAGCATGCTTTTTATAGGAGGTCTGGAAGCACTAGTGGGTTGGGCCAGGCAAACACAAGATATCATCATCATCATCATCATCATCGTTTGCTCATGATTTCTCAATATGCTTGTGCAGAAAGTGAGCCATTCACATTTGCAAAGTGGACATTTTCTTTTTTCACTGAAATTCAGCAGCTAATGTTTATGTCGAACATTTATTAAAAATTGAAAAATAAAAATTCACTTTCTCTTTATATAAATAAATAAATAAATAGTAGAACGGTACAATTATACTTCACAAAATCACATAAAAACATGACAAACCTACCTTTCATTAAAATCTACCTTCATCATATATGCAATATTTGCCAAAAAGTTAGTGTGATTTTATTGTTTTTAGTTTAACATTTACAAAAAAAACTATGATATTGAAATTGTAGTTTGTAGTTTTGAGTGCAAAACCACATTTTTGCATAAACTTTTAACTCAAAATGTATAGTTAAGTTAAAGTCCCTGTGACAACTAGTCTAGCCCCGATCTTTCCTACTGCTGTATGCATCAGCATAAAAGTGTGTGTTGATTTATCCAAACACAGTCTATCACATTCCGTACATGCTTGACATGATTAACTTATTTTATGGATATCATGATTTGTAAAGAATAAATAGGCTATTGTCTCTGTTCAGAGACCGTTGCATGTGTGTGCTAGAAATCAGTTGATTGGTTTGTATTTGACTTTTGTACATTGTAAATATTACTCAATCCAAGAGTGTAAAGTACAAACTGATAGAAGTTCAGCAAAGAAACCAAAAAGCCTTTTTGGGGTATGTCAAAAGAGAGATGGTGTCCACATTGCTACTAAATCACAGAAATCACACCAGTGTGTCACTGGCATTGCACAACTCTGGGCTTTCCAGAGAGAGAAAAGATCAAATATATAAATATAGTTCTTGCAAAATACAGTAAATGCATTGTTCGGCATGTCATTTGCACTATCAACATTAAGTCTTTTTAGTTTCCGTCTTATATCCCAAAGAAAAAGAAAAAGTTTGTTTATGAAAATTAGTATTATGAATTTAGAGCAGTGGTTTTCAATCCTGGTAATTCATTGACTTGGATTCACTAGCCTACAGAATATAATCCCACATTTGAACCAAATAGGGAATGAAATCCTGTATTGGGTCAATGACAAATGAATTTTTGCACAACAAAGAAAAGGAAAAATCTTTTACAATCTGAAGTTATAAGAAATACTCTTTGCTGGTATCATATTGCTGGTATTGACTGAGCTGTCTGTTAAAGATGAGGAAGTATGTACCAAGCTTGCCTACTCTTTTACTACACACTCAATGTACTTTTTCTTCATAAAGAGAGTACATACTTATAGGGCGTAGCTAGTATAAGTGGGCGAATTGAGAAGCAACCGTCGTGTGTGCTGACGCGCCAAGTACACTGACAGAAAGGGTCACACCACCATCAGGATGAAGTTAACATCTATTCTCGTATAATGGAAATCATTGTTTTGTTTCACGCAGACTGCAGCCCATACAGCACATAAACTGGTTTCTGAGAATGAACAAAGGTGACTGAGATTCAGCTCTCTTATGTAACCGCTTAGATAGTGTCCTGTAGCACTTTATAAAATCTGAGCATGCAGTCATATTGCTCTGTTTCGATTCTACATTCCCAAGTGTGAGTACAGCTGTGCCTATATGTGTAAATCCTGTGGTTGATTGACCTGATTATTTGTCCAGCTGCAGCTATTTAACCTAGTCCTGCTTGCACAAGTTGAAAGGCCTATGCAAACATTGAAGAGCACTGTGATAAAGAGGAAACAAAACAATGAAAAGTTTTACCAAAACTGCCGAGATAGACAGCTCACAATTGTCCAATGGAGATTAATTCAAACATTTATAAATTAGGTGGTTGATTTATTTAAAATTTAATTTTTGTATACCTGTGTGAATTAAACAATAATATGTTGCGTATAGCAGTCAGTTTTACATCATAATCATATACACTCTAAAAAAAAAGGTTCTTCAGAGGTTCTTGGCGGTGGTCATGGTGCTATATAGCACCACCTGTTCATCAGTGGTTCTTCAGTAGTTCTCTGGGGTGGTTAACGTGCTCTATGGCACCTCTTATGGTTCTACCTAGCACCACATGACAAAGATAAGTATAGCACTTAAAGTGGTTCCCCTGATTACAAGCCAATGAACCACTTTTAGTGCTATTTAGCACCATTTTTTTTTAGAGTGTAGGCATTCAATGTGAGACGAAAAGGAGAACTGGTTTGGTTGTTTTGTAGGCTTGTAGGCTTGCTGCCCTATCAGGCAATGACTCTGTGGGCAGCGTTGGCGCATGAAGGTACCTCACGAAATTGATTTTGGACACCTGTGGCAGCATAACGGTTTAATGATCTACAGCAAAATAGAGCGAGCTTTGCTGAAAACTAAATTAATATTTAATCGGTACAATAGTAATTTCTAAAAATGATATCAGATGTGGGAAAATGTTCTTCTAAAATATACATTTGCACTCAAACTGACCAACTACCGCAACTTTCAGACAGTCAAGCTCTAACTGAATGGACATTTGATTTAAAAAAAATAATATTTGCAAATATTATGTGGCCAAATTCTTAACAACAAAAAAAACCAATGCTTTCTACTATTTATTCTTTTAAATTTAAATTTCTGAGTGAGTTTCTGTAGGCCTACATTATATGAATATGAATTTGATTTTTTTTTTTTTATGAATTTGGCCACATAATATTTGCAATATTTTGCAACTCTGGAGATCCCGTCACACAGGTAACATTAAGAAATCTCGGGACATTTATTGGAATTCTGTTTTTGTAACCTCATTTGCAGCCTTTGAATCTCATGTGACTCATTCACATTCTCCCTTTTTACCCTGCACACCTCAACATCAAAAAGTGTTTTAAAGTTGATGCTCTTGTGCTTGTTACCACGCAGGTGAGCTATAATAAAAAGTTAATTTAGTACTTTACGTGTTACCTGAGAAAGAATCATGACCCATGTTGAGAAACATTCTGAATATTATTTTAACTCATTAGCAAAATGTTAATAAAGCCCAAGAATAACATGAAAATGTGCAATAGAAATTCAGAGTATCATAAAAATGTACATTATTGCCTCAGGTTTTATTATTTATAGTGTTAGGGGAAGTAATCTAAGAGTGAAGCATCTGCACTAATGCAGATTGTGGGTTCATTTCCAAGGCTATATCGATTATAAAAGAATGGTGTTCACTGCGGTTCCAAAGATAAAGAACTGCAAACCACATAGTAGAAATGATCATAGTAGACACATTTCTGTGATCTTTGCCTGGAAAACTGTGCTGTCAGCATGTGGGTGGTGGGAGCACAGTGGGTAAATAGCACAGGATCAATACATGTGCTAGAGACACAAGATCAGGCACGGTTTGTATGGCTATATTATGACCATTTGGCCACATGGTGTGATGTGCAAAATACTTTTTTCAACATCTTATCAATCATATCTAAAATTGGGAATACATGTAAAATCAGAATAAACAATGAGAAATATGAACTACTATGAACACAAGGAAAGTACCATAATTATTAACAGGGAGTTGTTGCAGTTTTACTAGGGCACATTTTTAAGACTAACTGTGTCTTAACATTCTCTAAACTGTAAGTGCAAATGTCTCAACTGTTTGCTTGAACATCAGAACGCTTGCCTTTCTGAAAAATGTAGTTACTCACCCAAAACATTTAATCCATTCTTCAAAACTTTATTCACGGCAGCGCCATCTTTGATTTGTAATGAGAATGAAAGCGATGCTGTGAGGGATAGACTTGCATCTCTTATTTAATGTGTTTTCGGATTGTTCTGCTCATGAAACACTGGAAAAATATCTTTCAAAGAAATGTCAGTTGACAAAAAAAACTCCCGACAATGTAAGCTGTGGAAAATTGTATGTAATCTAGCCGCGTTATTCATCTTTTTACAGCGGATGCCATTGGAAACCTGTCATGATGGCGCTGCTCTGAATAAGGTCTATTGTGTCACTAAATTGGCCAATCGTGCTGCTATCCACTCTAGTAAAAATGTTTAGAGTTTTTTTAACCATGGAAATGTTTGTTATAGTATATACTATGTACTTTCAATACAATACATGAATGTCAGTTTTGTCAATATATTGGCTTTTTAGACTACAGATTTTAAATGTACAAGGAAAATGCAATACTGTACATAAAAAGAAAATTAATTGTATGTATACAGTACATTTATTTTTACAGAAATGTTTATGTAAAATGAAATTCACAGTTGCCTTTTTTATTTTTACACACTCGTCTTCCCCTAGCACTAAACCACCACCATTTATTCTTACACGTCTTCATATTGCTCCACAACAAGTACTTTGAATTTACAGTTTACATGTAATACATTTCTACAAAAAATAAATGTACTGAATAATACAAATGTATTTATACAGGGTTTAATATTTAGGGTTTTGACGTTCCTCCTTGTTAAAAAATGGTAGTGAATGTGCTTGACATACTTCATACAGTAAATTGTGATTTCTATTCATTAAAATGGCAGACCATATGCAAGTTTAGCAGACATGACAAACATTCCATGTCAGACATTTATGGAATATACAAACATACGTGTCTGACAGCTTTTGATGAACAAGAAACTAACTGTTCAGGGAACTGAACTTAAATTGTTTTGAGATAGCCTAAATAAAAACACATTTTGAGAATTGAGCCAAAGCCTGAGAAAAGCTGTCAATCAAAGACATTTAGCTAAAACTAAACTGACAGTGACCTCTAGTGATCAATTTGTGACATGAATATTGAGGGTGTCACAGAATTCTTGACTGAACCGTGCCCAAAATATTTTATACTCGCCTTCATGTTATTACAAACTCTGTTGTTGAAGTCACATTTTCTTAAGCATTGACATGAATTGCAATGCTCCCCCATAAGAGGGTGCAGATTTATCCCTATATTGGTTATACTGATGTCTCTTAGTACTTTGCCTGATTATGAAACATACTCAGAAAAAAAAACTTTTTTTTACAGTGATACTCACATAGGCGTTTTGCCACATATGACTGAATCTGGGTATTTTCCAACCAGCAGTGAGGTTCAGGGCAGTGTGGCAGGACTTTTTCCCTTTCAGATTACTCCACGTTACACCCGAGCCCTTACGCACAACCGCCACAACATGGTAACTTGAGGTCTCTGTCTGTGCACATCACAGAAATGTTCATAGCAGGATTATCGGATCAAGTATAGAAAACTGTTCTCAGTTTAGAAAAATGTAATACTTGCCTCCACTATTGGGACAACTTTCTGCAAGGAAAGAGAGAATAACATTTTAGGTTTCATTAAACATTCTGACTAGTAGGTTTCTTATGAACTGATTCATATGTTCATTCTTACGTTCATCATACTGCTCAACCATGGCTGGAACTAAACCGCACTTTCCAGCAATATATACCTGGACACTATCAGCTGCAAAGGCATCTGCTTCTCTGCGCTTTAGTGTAAATAAAACAGAAGGAGGTGGAGGTGAAGACAACAACTCCCATGATTCAACACTCATTCACAGTGTGATTAAGCTACTTTTTTGTTATTGATTTGAATAAGCGACCTCTTGTGGCGAAACTTACATACTGTTGTGTTATCATAAATGTCTGTTCATGATTCTAGTGTTACTCCCTTTTTTGATCCTCTTCACATCCTTTCTAAGGTGCTCTGATATTTAATGATCCCTTTAAATCCCGTCTTGGAAAGCCGGGTGCACACTGTACAATTTAGTATAGTCCTTTGCAGTTGTTCCTTGTTATATTGTTCAAACATGATCCTCGCTGTAAGCCATGTCACACTGTGAGATCTGAGTTGTCATTAATGTCAGATGAACGACAGGCAAGGTGCGTTTTAAAATGTTTTTCGTCATCAAATCAATAGACCCTTTAGACAGCAATGCCGGTAAATTATTCCAACCGCATAAGGTTAGTTTTACACTCACTGACTAAGTACTTCTAAATATTTTATGTTTCCAGGCATGGTGTCATGATTTTAAAATTCCTTGATGATGTGTAGAGGAGTTTAATCAACTAAAGGTTTGATTTTTCCCTGTTCACCTTCATTTTGAGCATAAAACTGGGAGACCAAGGCAAAAAGCAAAAGATAAATATTATGAAATGTTATTAATTTAAAATAATTGTCTTATATATAAATATATTTAAAAATGTAATTCATTCATGTGATGCTAAGCTGAATTTTCAGTATCATTAGCCTACTCACAGATCCTTCAGAAATCATTCTAATATGCTAATTTGACACTCAATAAACATTTTCTTATTGTCATCAATTTTGAAATAAAGTTGTGCTGCTTAATATTTTTGTGGAAACTTTGTACTGATCACTCACACTAACAAGCCAATTCATTTTCACTGAAAATGTTATAATGTGTAGCATACAGTTGCAAGATATCTATAATAGGATTCTCTGATAATCAATATATTTACAGCTTCAACTAATATCGGTTTTTTTTTAATTTATAAGACTATTTTAAAACACCAGTTTAAGACTATTGCAGAAATAGATATTCAGTCTATATTCAGAATAAAAAGGTTGCACCATTCTAATACAGTGGACATCTTAACTCATTAGCATTAAAAAAAGAAGAAGCAAAAGCTACTTTGACTATTCGTCTGCCCCCAGAGGCCACACATCCTTGTGCTCATACAGTCCACGATGCTAGATGCTAGATGCTAAATCACTTTACATTTTGTTCAAAACCACAATGTTCCTACCAAGAATCATGCCACAAAAACGTATACTGTCAGAACAGTTATTGAAGAAATACTCAGGTGAACCAGCTATCCCTTTTGTTTCAATGATTATATTTGAGAATCAGTTTTTTGTGGAAATGATGCAGTATATAAAAAAGGAGACAGAAACTTACTAAAGCTAAATGTCACTCTCCATTCGTCCCTGCACATTGCAGATGAGATATGCAAGGGTTTACCTCTAAATAAGCATCCACCCCAATCCATCACCTGAGCCCATGTTCAACAGGATCCTAACCTGCTCTAATGATTTTGACAGGAACTGGTAGACATTTTGGAAATGATGTTCAATCCTTAGAACATCTGCATACACATGATACACAATGTTTTTCTTATATCAAGGCCATTTGTAAAAGCTTTTGGGGATTAAATTCCATATCAAAATGAGCTTAACTCGTGTACATGGACTGTCTTGAAGAAATAGACCCAGAAGGGATGGGATGTGCCAAGTTGGTTGTAAATAAATACGTTGACAAATGCAGCTCAGGGGAAGGTCCCTATGAACTACCAAATGTTCTGTGTATCCTGGACTTATTATAAAAAAGAAGGAAAAAAAAAAAGAAGACAAGTGGTAACAGGGCACAGTCAATTCAGTCTTTCTAGGGCACAAGTGACAGGATAGAAGGAGGTGTGGTTTATCTACAAGGGGAGGGGCTAATTTCTCTCCTGCACAAACACAGTCTCCTGCGGACACAGTCCTGCTTCCTGCAGTGTGATGTCATAGTCCAAATGAGCGAGTCTTCGGCGGGGGAAGTTGGTGACAAGTTCGAAGCGTTCGTTGGGGAATCCCTTTGACTGAACATGTCTCACCAGTGCCTACAAAAAAAGAACAAAGGAAGAAAATGAAGGGTGAAACTACAAACCGACTTTGTTTTTACATTAGATCATTACTATCTTAACTCCTTACAAGTCAGCCCCAATTTTGGCAAGTGGTGCATTCATAACATCCCTAAAATAAAAAGGTTTCTGCTCATAAGTCATTCTGAATAGACACATCACACACATTTATAAAGCCAACCCTTAAGAGTTTCCTATTCAATACTCCAAATTAATCAGACTGTTATTAATATAGAGATATATAAGCTTAATTATTTTTATTAAAATTATTAAAATATTACGTGAATGTAGGATTGCAACTTATAACCACAACTAAAGTGTAGCCACAATTGTGATCATTCTTCATTTTAAATCTGAGAATGACATCTCTAAAATTAGTGTTCTATGAAGCCTATTATAAAACTACGGAAGAGGATTAGGGCCAAGCAATAATAATAATAAAAAAAAAACATCTCGAGATTAAAGTCATTATAATGCGAGATTAAACTCGGTAAATTTCGAGAAAATACTATCTTAAGAATAAACTCATTAAATATCAAGAATAAAGTCTTCAAATGTTCACTTTAAATGTCGACTTCTGTATAATCTTAGTACTTTATTTCTTTTGTATTCACTATATTTCCAATTCAAGACAAGTTCAAAAACAGCCAAGACAAGATATCTAGATATTGGTTAATTAAAAAAAAAAAATATATATATTGTCATCTTGTATTTGTTTACTTTATACAGCTTCTTTTTGTTATTTGAAAAAAAATTATAAACAGAAGTTTGTTTATATTTTCAATATGTTTGTGTAATTTGATTAAGTGTAATTAGGGAATAAGTCAGCAATGGTAAAACCATTTGAACTCTACAAATCGTGAAACGCTTTACCCACCATAAGTTTAGCTTTAGCAGACAATGCTATCTGTTCCCTCTGGCCATCTGGATATCGCAGCATTAACCGGGCCTTTGGACCTGCGGACAGAGTCATTTTAGTACATTTGTTATTACTACATTCTCTCTGAATATTATTACCTTGTATAAAAGTTCAAATCCTTTAAAAGTCACAGTTCACCGAAAAACCAACATGTCACTAATTACCCCGTGTCATTCTAAACCCGTATGTTATTTTTTCAGAACACAAGAGGACAATGTTTATGAATGTTTTGCAAAAATGACAGAACAAAACCTACACAAGACTTGTGTGTTATGACTTGTGTGCTCTAATGTAAATCTTCTAAAGCCATCCAATAGATTTGTGTGAGGAATGGATCAGACTGAAATTTAAAGTCATTAACTAATGGTAAAGTAATGATGTAAACGAATCTTTCAGTCCGATTTGGAATTTGGATCGACTGGTTGTCATCTGGTTTAAAAGAATGATTCATTCACAAATAGGATTGGTTCGGTTCTCACGTTCAGCTCACTGTCTAAATAAGTTCACACAAAGTTGACTTGTGAGGAATATAATGCACAAGTCATATGAACCACAGTATTTTTAAGCTGCTTTTACATCCACTATGATCATCAATGTATTCTGTGGAAAATATAACTGCAACAAGTAATGAGAGGATTTAATTATTTTTGGCTTAAAGGGCCAGTACACCCAAAAATGAAACAGACACCTGACATAACAGAGATGCCGTATACCGTTGTCGTCTGGATCCGCTGTGCTGGTGCCGGCAGGTTCTGAGGGCTGGTGTGATGTTGATCTGTGGTTTTCTCCCAGCCGCTGTTGGGACTCTGTTTGTCCTGTCTGACTGTGACAGACCCCAACTGGCTCTAGGTGATTCTTCTTGCTCTCCTCTTTCCTGTGGCACAACTCTTTGTGTGGGGACTTCCTGTGATGGACTGGGCTGTCCGGCCTGGTGGGAGGAGCTACCTCTGCAGAGACGTGTCCATCTAAAGAATCCTCCCCACCACCTATTTCATTATCCGAACCGTCAACTGATATCAGGCCCTCGCTGTCAGAGAAAGGCTCGGCATCTGAATCATCATCTGAGCGTGACTCTGCCTTGTCCTGGGCGGACTCATAGTGTGTTTCTTGAAGAGAGGCCCGGATAGCTGCTTCTAACTGACTGTCCTCACTGGCATCTATCAAACTCTCCTGTATAGACAGATAAAGGATTGCGAAGTTTAAGATAATATGTTTTTTTCAGAAAGCTCCAGAACCTTAAAGGGGACACTTACAGAACGGGCCCGTTTGGCCGGAGGTTGACTGGACTGCCCATCCAGCTGCCCGTGCTCTGATAGGAAGCCTGTCACCTGATCCAGGAATGAAGACACATCTAACTGGTTCCACTCCACCATCTTTTGTCCTGTGTTTGTCAGAGATGAAAACACTGAAATACTCTGAATTTCAGACAGTAATCAGAAGCACTTAAATACATTGTCATTTTTTTTTTGACCATACATAAGCTTATGAAATGGTCATACCTTAATATTTGTCAACTTAAGGCATTTTGTATCTGATAAACAATTTATTAATGAATGAATAACACATTTAAAAGGTTTTCATGTTACCATCTTAATACAATGTTATTACTATGATTACCACCTTTTTTATTACACAAACTGAAAAACAACAACACTTTTATCAATATTTATGGGAAATGTTAATGTTATATTATATAGTATGTTAAAAATGTCATATGACAATTACCAGTACTCCATTGTAATCAATGGATTTAATTAAACATCTAGTTTAAAACACACATGCCAGGTTCCCGGAAATATATTCTCGTAATTCATGTTGGTTTCATTGGTTTTAAAAGATTACATTTTTCATTTTTTTATTTAATGACTTTAAACATGTCGTGTAAATTCAAGTACAATCAATAATAACATTAGTTTTTAAATACATTTTACCAAGGTTAATTAATAAATAGATACAACCTGAATTAATCTTGCATTGTCATAAAACATATTTTGTGATCATTAATTT